CCGGTATCACCTACGTGTATACTTTTGTTTGCATAATTTTCAGCTGATGTTTTATGGCCATCATTGATAGTACCCTGCATGAAAAAAATTGCTGGACTATTGTATCGATCATTTGTTGATGCTGGACAATGTTGTTCTTTGGTGATTTTTTCTTTCCTATAGGAGTAAACAATACCCGTTCAAACATTGGCAGCGACAAAGCAGCTGACACGCCTGTCATCTACGAGCAGAATCCACGTGCCGTGACACGTGTCACGGACCTCAAGCTCGAGTGTGCGGTGCTCGTTTATAATCGTCTATTTTCATACATTGCATATGTCAATACACATGCATACATTATAAAACAAACTCTATGCCATACACACATGTCGTTACCGGTATGAGAATCGAGATAAGATTGTAACTTTCGTCAATTAATAACTTAACATTCATGTGCACAATTTAAAAACATTATTTTAAGAAGATACGACAAGATATTTAAGAACTTTTTACAAAATGTTCATTCTTATACCTCAATTCCAGCAATCCATTAAGCCATTGCACATCAATAAAGAAGATAAGAACATTTACTGCATGAATTGTATACATTGTCAAATTTTCAATGTTGACGACAATAAACTTATCTCGATACGGGTGCAGTGACAAGCTAGGGCGAGCGAATACAGATAATTTGAAAGATTCATCCCTTTGACATATGGGATGTTACTAGTGAATGCTACTTGAAAACCTTGACTTTGAAAAGGCTTAGAGCGAGTAAAAGTACCACTCGAGATTCAAGTACTCTACTTAGTAACTTCGACCATTTAAAAAAAGCCATTGGCGGCACTAACTTCAAAAACAAATATTTGTATTGCAGCGACACAGCCCCACCGAGGCGCTTCTTATATACACCAGATCATCATCACCCTTTTGCCCGACCTATATGTATGTTATAGCTAGAGCAAAGCGAACATTGCAGGTAAGGGGACGATAATTAATTACTTACGTTGACTATTTGCTTGCGTATTGACGTGTACACAACGAAATTGTTTTCAAACGTCATTCAACTTTTTAACTTTAACTACAAAAACTTCGGGCGTTTCGCTATCTCTACTGTGTTGGGTGCTTCAGTCTGGATATTAAATAATGATTAAAGGACAATCGGAAAGCGAGATGAATGAAAAAATTTGTTTGAGTAATGGCAAAGCAGATGAGGAGTCCTTTCGCGCACGTGCCTCAACTGCTACACCGCCCACCAACTGAATTTCTCAATGGGATTTATCGCAAAACGCTCGGTGCATCAGCGACACGTGTCTTGTCAAAGGAAGACGACGCTTGGTGCGAAATACTGCTCTGCCGCGTGGCTACAAGAGTGAAACCACAGATCCATTCTGTCCCGTATGTAATAATGGCATCAACCTGCCGTCGTTTGTTTGTGTGTGTGTAAACTCTCACAGCACGCGGATCTTGGCAAAAAGCAACATTTGGGCGTTGACATTGAAGCTATTTCTCACGAGTGAAGTGTTTCATTCTTTGCGCTGGCCATTTTTGTCGTAAATGAAAATTAAACGGCAAGCTTTTTTGAGAGTGCCAGCTTTGGTCGCTAATTATGGGTGCAATAAGACTTTTCTTTTTGATTCAATGAATTTATAAATATAATATTATTTTGAAATCGGATAACTTTTCATGGATTAAACAAGCAAAGTAATAAATATTTGGAAGGATAGAAATCATAATATCTATCTAAAAAAACTCGTAATCTATGATAAATCATATGTGATTTTTTTCAAGCAATCGAAACTACAGAATGCGCTTTTCCCAGTACAACTTCTCACGCAAACCGGGTTAAAAAGTCTAATGAAATAAAGTTCCCTTGCTCCCGCCCTCTTTTATTACTAGTCTGTAGATGCTCTAATGGTTATAGGGTTTCGCAACCTGATACAGTGCATGCGACGCGTGCCATAGAAGCAGCGGTGGTCTCTTTTATCCAGGCGTCAATATAGAGCAATATTTTTTCTTACGTTAACAAATATTAATCTCTAGCTGCAGAACATTTTTTGACCAAACTATCATTCTTTATTCATATAGAAATATAAATTATAATCATATTATTTTTTTCATAATGAAGTGCTATCACCCATCAACGGGTACTTGCACCACTTTATTAACAAAGTAAAGGGAAGAAAATTTACATAGCTGTTATAAATTAATGAAATATTTATAATTATATGAAAAAATACATGCATTATAAAAATTATATTTATATACTATTAAATTTCAGTTTAATTTATAGTGAGATCAAATTATCATGCTCAAGTACACAAAAAGATTTTTGCATCAAAATAGTTTTCAAAGACATAATATTAATTTTTTTAAATTTTAGGGTAGAATTTTTATAACTTAGCTGCACCGGTATAAAAAACTTGAATTCATTGCAGTTTTAATGTTAATTGGACATTAAAATTAAAGTAACCAATGCTAAAGTTTATTTAAAATACTTTCATGTTTTGCATTAATTCCTTAATGAATTTATGAAAATTCAATATATGCCAGTCTCTGCCACTAGATGGCGAATACCTGTATTTGTAAATCTGCAAGTTATAAAGTCAAAGTAATTGTATAAGTCAAAGCACGGATAAAATAACTATAAATAATATATAACGTTGTTATCATTGTATATGAATCCATTTTCATGCAAAATAATTAAAATTAACGAGATTTGAATCAAATTTAAGGATTTTTAAAATAAATATAAGTAAACTTTCACGTTACATGATTCTTGAAATAGTTACTCATGCAGCAAGGACCCAAAATGTGTTTTTGCTCATGCTTTACGCAAAAGTTTGGCACGCATAGCATACAAAATTGTATAAATGGTAGCGAAAAATTCTTAAATTATAAATATGACATTAAATACGAATACGAGGAATTCGACCATACCATAAACGCTTTTTGCGCAAAAAAGGAATTAGCACGAATGCCGGCTATGCCGGCACGAGTGGGTGTTTTTCCTCACACTCGTGCCCAAAAACGCCTTTTGGGCACTTGTTACATAAATAACTATTATGCTTTACGATTGCATAAAAATATTCCAATTCAATTCGAATCACTCTAATTTGAATGCTTTTATATGAAATTCCATTTATCTTTTGAAGGAAAGCAAATTCTTCCACGCTTACATAAATTTTAATGTAAATATTTTTAAAAAAGCACTGAACAAAAGTGTTGTTACCGGTTAAATTTTTACGTGCCAGTGGCAATATCATTGATAGAGAAATTATAATATGTGTGTTTTAATAATGGGTCGTCTAATTCATTTTTTTAAAACTAAACCATTACAATATTATTACTATTTTTATTATTAATATTATCTGAACAACCTTTTCAATCGTTGATTTTCTGTATTATCAAATTTATTAGCATAGAAAATGAATAATTATATTGACTTGAAGTAAAGCCGACAAAATTATGATGCATCCAATTTTTGAAATTTTTTGATTAATTATTTTAATTTTTCGATGTTTTTACATCTTTTAGAAAAAACTTTTTTAGCGAAAAAACAATTACATTCTAATTTTCACTTTCATTTTTGTCAAAAATATATTTAAAATTTATTTTAATATAGCTCGATGCGCTATATCATCAAACATTTTCATATTCATTTCTGTATCCTGATTTACCCGAACGCTTTAAAATTATAACAACTTTTTATTTATGGTAGAACATATCCATATTTTTATAAAGTTTATTTATACATCGAAGTATCATTTAATCTCTTTGTTGTAACAAAAATTTTTTCTAATTTTTTTTGTCTGTTACATCAAAATAGAGTTACATAGTTACGAACAAAGTTAATGCCTGATAAATCATGATTTTATGTGAGTGCTACTTGGTTAAACTTAATGCATTACAATTATCAATACTTTTATAGCTCTGCCTAGTTTAGGTTCCCATTTTCAAGACATTTTTGTAACGTAACAAAATAAAATGTACCTTGTCAATAAGTACCCATCATGACTGTAGTATCGTAATGGTACTTTACGCTTCAAGTAAGTTTTTTGGCTTGACGTATTTTAAAATACTGATTTTAGAATTAAAAAATGTTACTGATAAACTTTATATATCTAACGCATTTTCAGAGTGCTATATTAATTTACATTCATATAACTTCTTCTCTAAAATTTAAGTAAGTCTGTCGTAGCGTCGCTACGCGAGGTTATCACGGAAGCGTAGCGAGTGCGATTTCACTCGGTGAGTCTTACCCGACAGAAAAACTTGAGTTTTTCGCCCAATATGCTGTTGCTTTGTACAACTATGCGATTGCAAAAGTGGATAAGGTAAGTTTAAAAATAGAACGTAGACCTTTTTCTTTTTTTTCGGTCGATCGTTCGAAAAAAATATTAAAACTATAGATTCTGTAATATTAGCTAGACACTGCAAAAAAGTAGCAGATGTGAGCATAGAGGACAGTGGTAAAAATAGAATTATATGGATGTGATTTTAAAATTGTTTTAACCTTTGAAATTGTTTAAAAAATACTATAACTTACAAAAGAGAATTAAAAAGTTGTCACAACAGAATTTATAGGAAACAATTATTTGATATGAATTTTTTTAAAAGTTTGATTCCCCTTAAAAAAAGGTTATTTTTATTTTGAGTAAAAAATCTCGATGTTTTACACTTGTAAAGGCTAAAATAAGTTTGTTTATTTTACTATTAGAAATATAATGTTATTGAAATGATTCTTATTTTTGAACTAAAAAAATGTAAAAAGGATACTTTAGAAATAAAATAATCAATAAATAAGCATTGATGTTACAATAATCACTTCATACAAATAGAACAGTCAGTGCCCCGTTCGCAATTTTTAATTCATGAATAATGATTATAACTATCATCGTTTATTTTGAGCAAGTATTAGTGCTTTAAAATACCAATGCAAATTGAATACTATTGACGATTGAGATATTTTAATAAAATGGCCTTCCATGAAAATAAAATACAATATTCTTTGTACATACCTTCGAGCTTTTTGTTACGCGCCAGTAAAGTCAGCAGAACGTCCGGGTTGGGTATTCCGTCGGCAGTCGTAGCATCCAGCCCCGGTTGTCTCGGAAGTTGAATCGATGTATCCGCGAGCTCAGACACGTTCGGCGGCGATTTCATGTGAGCTCGCGACACCAGACCTATTCGATTCGGCGTCGATTGTAATTGACCCTGATTGGGAGCGGTGCTTGACATGGAAAAGTCAACGCCGCTTAGAATCATTGGTCGAAAATTATGTCCGATAATTGGCAAAATGTTTTCTGCAGGTCTGCTACCGCCCCCTGGCCCAGGTGGCGGCAGCGGTGCATAAGGCAGATAAAGCTCCAGCCTTTTGATTTCTCTACGTGGTCAAACTTTCACCTTAAAACTTTTGTCATTCGGCACTCGATCACTTGGATGATGTAGCGATGCGATGATTTCTTTGCAAAATTTTCGCTTGGCTTTCTGACGTAAATTTTTTCATACGATATCCAATATCGTCACGAATTCGACACTGCAATAAATAACTACCCTGATACTGACTCACGCCACGGGGGTGTACACTTTGCCAGTTTGACTCTTGAGAATGACGAATCACTTATACCGCTCAGCACGGAAATTAAGATTTAGAGTAAAAAAAAAAGGTAAATGTCGAAACTGAGATGCACCTTTGTTTAAATATAGCTTTGGTCGAGGCTGTAAGCTCTTCAAAAACTGGCGCGATACAAAAGCACTCTTTCGACGCCAACCCCCTTCTATTTCTCTATTTTCCTGATATGGTAGTTCAAGGGTGGAGGCCCAGGCGCTCTGACACGACGAACAGAGAGGCTTGACTCCCGCCTCGGCTCTTGGCAACTGTTGTCACTGCTGATGACGCCTGCGCGCATCCAGCCATCTCCCGGATGGTGAAAACCTTCCATGGAATCTGCACCTCGCTCGCTCGCTCGTATCGCGTATTTTTTTTCTTCTTTTTGTGAAAACTTTTTTATAAATAAAAAAATGATCGGAATCGATGGACTTTCAATAATTTTGATTACAGGATTTTTTGATATTTATCGTTGATATGTAATATTTAAAAATTACGCTGGAAAATTGAAAAAGTTTTCTGAATCGACGAATAGTTCTGTCGAATATATTTTCTAATATCACATTATTCTATTGTAAAATAAAAAGTTCAATAAAACCCATCTATTTATATGTATAAGGATGTATGTAGTCGTTGAAAGCTTTCAGCAATCAGTAAATGTACTCCGATAGTGAGCTTCAAAGTTACGAATCATCGACCTTAGCGTTGAAGAAATAGTACATTTTATCAATTATATACACGAACAATACCCATCATCAACCAAAAATACATCGTTAAATAAAAAATAAAGTACGTAGTTATACCACAAACTCAAATTTGAGTGAATACATAAAAAGCCCATACGCACACAATTCTAAAGCACGTGCACGAAAGAAAAGAGGAGGTGCAAATATTGAACTGTAGGGGCGTGTACTATTCTGTTCGTTGCTATGGAAATGTACTCTCAAAACTGCTTAGCAACAGAGGCGTACGAATCGTTTACTTTCTTTGTACATCTTGTTGAATTGCGCAACTCTTTTCATAAATAATTTTTATAAATATACACATCGGTAGACATGGAAATGAGCGTTTTTTTTTCTCAAAAATTTCGTAAAAATTGAAGTATTGAATTTTACATCATTTTTATTAATTTTGCCAAGTATTCTGCGACAAAGTAAACTACATTTTTCAAAGCTCAAAAAACCATATAATAATTTATCTGTTCAATATAGTTTGAATAAGGATAAAGTTGTCTATTAATACGATTCGTTGCCTGAAAGAGACGATAAACTTCCTACTTAACTTCATTATCTTATTTATTCAATAAACTGTCATTCTCTAAAAGCAAATTTACGATATGCGCCACAGATTTCATGTCTCGCAGTCTGGGTAAAAGTAAATATTCAAGGACACTAAGGAACGGTAATTAATTTATGAATAATCAACCCCCCTATGTGACTCTGGCGTGCAAAAGACGTTAGTATGTAAGCCTGGAGTGAGTTTTATGGTTTCGGGAAATTTTCAAGTCGACAGCAAGCTTCTGGTAGAGAGCAAAGGAAGGCTACGTCTTTTTAACTTGTTTTTGAAACAGTTTTATTTTCACGCTATTATTTTGATTAAGGGATGATCGTTTTCATAAATTGATTCAGTCTAATGCGATAACTGAAACAATGAATGATTGTTGCATATAGAATTAATTAGTATTTATTGGTATTTATTTGTATTTATTTTTACTAACGTGATATAATATATGAACAAACCTTCTTTTTATCTAATTTGTAATTATTGTCCTTGAATCGAAGTGCATAAGTAGGAACGTGTAGCTGCGCTCAAATTCTGCGTAAAAAAAAATTGGATATATTTTTGCTTTTGCATACGGGTATGTTATCCTTTCTTAGTTAAGTTTAAAACTTGACTACAGGGAAAACAAACAAAAATAAATTGGTCTATGCATGATACACCGTTCTTAAAGGGTTAAAAGTGTAAAGTGAAATATTCCATTGACTATCGATCATTAAAAAAAAAAAAAAAAAAAACACGCTGATTTGACTAAAATCCGGCTAAGTAAAGTTAGTAAATTATAAAATTAAGTATAATTAAATACTGTAGTACATAATATGTAACATATGTATTAATCAATTTAAAAAGCTGTTATTTTCTCAAGTTTATTGACTGCGCTAGTTTTAAAACTCGTTTTTGAAATTTTCACATCGTAATCAAATTCACATTGTACAAAATATTCGATAACCACCACATTTGAAATAATTATTGATGAATTTAATAAGACAATTTTTAAATTCCAAAAGTTGTTTTTGACTTTAAATTTTGGATTTCTAAGAATTATAATAAAATTGTAAGAATGAAAAAATATGAACTACACAAATACGTTGCTACCAACTTATTGTTATAAAAATTTTTATAAATACATTGAATAATTAATTAAACCCTATAACATTAAAATGTTGTAATTTTATTTCCTCAAGTGAAATTCTCGGAAAGTACGTAATCATGCAAGTGCAAGCAGATGTATTTCATTATAATATCAAACCATTTAAGATTTGGTGCGACAGATGCGACCTTACCAAGTGGAATAATTTCCTATTATTGATCAGCTTAATGTTCAGAATATGTTTTTTCTTATATATTTGCGAGATTTTTACGACTCAAGGCTTGAAATACTTCTTTTTAAGGTTAAAAAAATGAATAATAATCAATAAACACACAAAAACTTTGTGCACATGCATCATCATTAGAAAAAAGTATTAATATTTTATATCAAGTATAACTAAAGGTGTAATTTTAGGTTAAATGAAGTTTTTTTTCTAACTTTAGCACCCATAAAATTATCTTGTCAAAAAAAACAAACAATATGCATATCTAAACGAAAAATATTCCGCTCTTTTTAAATTTACGATAGAAATGGGGTTTACCGTATGAATTATCGATTTTTGTCTTAAATAGAAAATGTAAAACAGTAACATTTGAAAACAAATATTGCGATACAAACAAGACTTTCCGAAATTCCCTTGGGTCTTAACCTAATGATAGTATATTTCTCAACGAGTGCTGTAACGAGTTTTGTTAAAAAACCATATCTGCACCAGTTTGAGATACTATTTTTTCCTACGAGAGCCTAAAATTAGCGGCAAAGTTGCGTATTTTAGGTTAGAGTGGGAAAAATACTTTTTTTAACTTTGAGAAATAAGAGACACCTTGTTCTTATATATTATATGGCTTTGATGATAGGAGGTCGAGCATTACTAATACATAGTCACGGGTTATTGGGCACGCCAATCACACCATGGATTCGGGGCAGCAAATTTTTTAATAAATATCCAAATTTTTTTATTATGCACTTGTATAGTGTGTACGAATCTATTTACTCAATGTTTTTGATGTGAACTCTTTATTGTCTGTGAGGACTTTGAGGAAGGTAAAAAATTTCCTACAAGGAATCTTCGTCAAATCAGAATTTTGAATTGTTTTGAATGTTGTAAGATCGACGTATAAATAGACGAATCGGTAACTTGATTGTAAACGAACATAAACTAGTTTGAACGTTGTCTTTCCCGATGAAACAAGCCATAACACCAAAAGCTAAATTTTATATATTCATATTTCGCGGTAGTAAATAGAAAGATCTATTGTTCAATTAAGACCCCAAAATGGATAAAATTCAAAAGAAATCCGAAAAAGTTGTCTCGAAAAATAATTTAAGTGAACACGACTTTGTTATTTCGGACGACAAACAACACGTGTGTAAAATTTGTCAAGAGGCATTTACACTAGAATCAAGTATGATAACACATCGAGACACAATTCACAGTGAACAAAAAAATTACGCATGTGACAAGTGCGAGAAAAAATTTGAGTTCCGAAGTCAGTTAAGTAGACACCAAATATCAGTACACAAAAGCCGCAAAGATATTACATGCGACAAGTGCGAGAGAAAATTTGAAAATAAATTAACTTTACTCAAACACAAAAAAATATTCCATGAAGTTTTTAAAAATCACTTATGTGAAATATGCGCGAAGAGATTTGACAGTAAAAATAGTTTACTCATACATATAAAAACAGTCCATGAGGGTCCCAAAAATTTCGCTTGTGACAAGTGCGGGAAGAAATTTAGAAATAAATATGATTTGTTCGTTCACCAGAAGACAGTCCACGCAGGTCGTAAAGATTACGCATGTGATAAGTGTGAAACGAAATTTGGACAAAAATTACGTTTGATCAGGCACCAAAGGGCAGTACACGAAGGTTGCAAAGATTTTGAATGCGACAAATGCGAGAAAAAATTTGGATATAAAAGCAGTTTGCTCTTGCACGTAAAAACGGTCCACGAAGGTCGAAAAGATTATGCTTGTGACAAGTGCGAGAAAAAATTTGGGCAACGAAACAATTTGATAAAACACCAAAAAACAATCCACGCTGGTCGCAAAGATTACGGATGCGATAAGTGCGAAAAGAAATTTGGACAAAAATATAATTTGCTTTACCATCAAAATACAGTCCACGAAGGCCGGAAAGATTTTGCATGCGACAAGTGCGAGAAGAAATTTACACAAAAACCGAGTTTGCTCTACCACCGAAAGGCAGTGCACGAAGACCGGAAAGATTACGTATGCGATACTTGCGATAAGAAATTTGGAGGTAAATCATATTTGCTTTTGCACCACAGGATAGTACATGAAGGTCGTGAAGATTTCGCATGCGACGATTGCGAGAAGAAATTTAAACAAAAATCGAGTTTACTGTATCACCACAGGACAGTTCATGAAGGTCGCAAAAATTATGCATGTGTCAAATGCGAAAAGAAATTTAGACATAAATCGACTTTGGTTTTACACCAAAAGGCATTCCATGATGGTCGTAAAGATTTTGCATGCGACAAGTGCGAGAAAAAATTTTTAATAAAACCAGATTTGTTGAGGCACCAAAAGATAGTACACGAAGGTCGCAAAGATTACGCTTGCGACAATTGCGAAAAAAAATTTGGACAAAAAGTGCATCTGCTTATCCACCAAAAGACAGTCCACGAAGGACGCAAAGATTTTGCATGTGATAAGTGTGAGAAGAAATTTGGACAAAAATCAGATTTGTTGAAGCATCAAAGGGCAGTACACGAAGGTTGCAAAGATTACATATGTGATTGCAAGAAAAAATTTGGACTTGTAACGGATTTAATCAGACATCAAAGGACAGTTCACGATGATCGTAAAGATTACGCATGTGACGGATGCGAGAAGAAATTTGGATAAAATGTGCAATTGATCAGGCACCAAAAGATAGTACACGAAGGTCGCAGAGATTTTGCGTGTGACAATTGCGATAAGAAATTTGGACAAAAATGGACTTTACTTTCGCACCAAAGGACAGTACACGAAGGTCGCAAAGGTTAGGTATGTGACAAATGCGCGAGAAAAATCGGACTTGAATATCATTTGCTTTGGGTCAGAAAAGAAGTATACACGAAGGTCATAAAGTCACGCGTTCCCCAATTGATGGGCAAGGAATGATTATTGACAATTGTAAATATGTATTTGAATCTCATATTTGAGCAGTAATTTAAGCTATTGAAAGTGTTTGTATATTATATGAAAACCATTTTACAGAAGACTCTACAAATAAGAAAAAATGATATTGAATCAAACTAATCAACTTAAGTTAGTAGAAGTTGAAACTTACAACCATTTAATAAACAAATGTAAAATTAAAGTGTCATAACTAGCTCAAGTGTGTTTTTGGAATAATTATATCCATTTCAACTAATTACATTTGAAGGACTATATTCTTTAATCGACTGATTAACAAATGTGTTCCTCATCATATGCAATGGTTCTTCTCGTCGTTCGCTTTCTTTGATGACTTGATCAAAGTCCATAGTAAGAAAACATATATGAGGCGTTTCAGCCCAAGTGTCCCAGCGCGGCGGCCGCACGGCACTTTTAGGCGAAATTGCTTAATTTCTATCTCGCTGTAAAACCCCCAAAACGCACTAAAAAAATATGTGACATATGATTTCGATTGGAAATTTCTTCAGCTTTCCAATGGCGAAGTCAGATTTTTGAAAATTTTCCATTTTCTACGGAAAATTGTAAAAAAACTTTTAACATTAAATATCTCAAAAAGCGCATTTTTAAGATTTTTTAAAGTAGTCTCAATCGAAAGCTGAAGAAATTTCCAATCGAAATCATATGTCACATATTTTTTTTGAGTGCGTTTAGGGGGTTTTACAGCGAGATAGAAATTAAGCAATTTCGCCTAAAAGTGCCGTGCGGCCGCCTCGCTGGGACCCTTGGGCTGAAACGCCTATATTCCACATTAAACACTAAGCAGAAATATGGAAGTCGATTTTCAATTTAAGGGCTTTGCTTTAATTATACACTTATTTTTCACATTGATAAAAAAAAATCATTCATACAAGTGTAATTTTGCGAGTCTAAAAATTCTAATTTTATAAGCTTCGCAAAAACTTTTGAGCGAATATCTCTATAAAATGTATGTTTATTCAAAGGATTCTGTCCCAATTTTTGCTTAAAACCTCATATTTGCTCAAAAATGAATTGAATGATTTAATTTTACAAAAAAAACCTTTGATTGAATGAAACAAATGATGTTTATTTTACGAAAATTTGAAGAAAAACAACAAAAATACAAGTGGCCTAACATTATACATGATCTTCTACAAAGATGTGTGTAGAATGCATGTGTGTAGGTTTGATTGCCTATTTGTAGGCGTTAATTTAATTATTCATACTATGATAATGTGTGTGCATGAAAGACATAATACATTTCCAGTAAAAACTTTAATGTCCAAATCAAATGAAATTAGCTTCATTGACTTTATATTAGAATTTTCAAAGGGTTGAATATCATTGAATTTCTAATTAAAACTCACAAGCAATAAATGCACTGCTAATTGGGCAATTGGTTTTTCAATGTTGAAGCTTACATTATTTCATTGTGCGACAATAGGTGCAAAAAGCACTGCCAAAAGCTCCCTCCTATGAATGTGATTATTTTTATTTCGAAAAATAAATAATAATAACCCAGGTTTTTGTATTAAAGTAACGCTTTTCTGCGATTGGTCAATTTCTTTTTTATTTATCAAAAGTGAGATTAGATACGTCAAAATTAGCCAACTTGATTGTAAAGGATTTTTCTTCACTCAACCACTACAAATGATCGAATATTTAAAAAATTAGAATTTTTGGTGGAATTAAATACATTATGATTTTAATTTAAGTGTATATCATATATCAATAACAACGTTACATAATATTTTTCAAATACGGCAGAGAATAGAAAACAAATTAAAAAAAAATTATTTTTGTATGAAAATCTTAAATATATTTTGAAATAATGAACTGATCAATTCATCGACCAATTATTTATTAAGGGTAAAATCTCTTATCAAAAAAAGAGTTCAGTTTTTTTTTAATATTAGACTCTAAGCTCTTTAAACTGACTGTTAGCTGGAACTGACTTTGAAGAGAAAAGAAAAATTGAATCGTTTGAAAACGTCTATTACAGCCACTAAACCAGTTTCAAATCTTTTTTGAAAAATTAAAATCTAATTATGAATTTTGAACTTGAAATTAATCTATTCCATAACTAACTTTTTGAACATTATTAAAAAATTAAATGAAAATCATAAAGATCTTTTTGAATAAATATCACAGGCCAAGATTACAAATTTCTTTGACTAATAGGAAACTTTTTTGGTAAACACGGGTTTTGAATCACTCCGGGTTTCTACGTTTGCGCAGGTATAAATTTTCCTGCACATTATGTCGATGAATGTTTCTGATTAAATCCTAGCACGCGCGTCATGATAGTAGTATTTTCAAAATGAGCGCAGAATACTACCAGATGAATGAAATTAAATCTTAACGGATTTTACGATGCTTGAAAGTAAATATATTACAGAATTTTACGTGACACCGGTAAACTCCCGAGATCCGCTCAAGGTTCTGTCACCTCGAATGGAACATTTTTAATTTGCTTCGAACTACCGGTTTTTTTATTAAAATTATTCCATAACTTTAATCATAAATGATTTAACAAAAAATGTATGTAATATTGCCATTAATTTGATGTTACTATAAAAATAAGAAAACTACTTAAAAAATTACGTATGAATCTTTGGATATTTAGTATTCTAACATTTATCAAACAATTAATGCTTTTAGTAGCTCTAAGAATGAGTAAATTACACAATGAACATGTGAGTTTATTCCGTGAAGAGATGTTATGCTTAGAAAAATTATGTGCGTAATAAAAACAGGTCAGTAGGACCTATAAAAGAAATGAATGATGCAGTTGAAATATCATGTTCAAGGCAGACTCTTGATATCAATTTTTTTTTCATTTAAAACTCTCAAATAGCTGTTTTTTAACGGTAAAAATGAAGTGCACGTATCACTTTTTCAACTTATGAAATATTATATTTTATTTGATTTAGTGAAATATTTGGGTAAATTAAAGTAAAAAATAGAACGTCATTTTCATATAATATTGCTCGATAATCATTTTGTTTTTTGCGCATCTTCATATTTCCGATTGACTAAAATTATATTTCATCGGAGAGCACAGAGAAAGTAGAAAGTTTACCTCAGCTAAATATTCTTCACAACTCGAGCATACCGTCAGTCGACTGTGGAACGTTGAGTAGTATAAAAATTATTCGCTCCGCTCTAAGAGTTTTGAGTGGCTAAATATTTAAATTTTTTTTCGATTTCTATACATGTGCTAGAGTTACTATAAACATGGAATCGCAAGATTTTCGTGATTTTGGAAAATTCATGATCGATTATGTAGCTGATTACAATGAAAGTTTGCGTGAACGTGAAGTACTTCCGAATGTTCAACCTGGTTATTTACTTAATTTACTGCCGAAACAAGCTCCTGAAGTTCCAGAATCTTGGAAAGATCTCGTTGCAGACATTGAAAATAAGATAATGCCTGGGGTGAGTTTTGATTGATTTAATTTTTGAGAAGTATTTAAAAATGTTTGTAGGAAATAGATGATGTTTTTTATTTTTTATTTCAATACACGTAAAATTTCAATAAATATCAAGTCAAAAAATTGTCCCAAAAAAGAAATAAGAATATTTTTATTCTTATCTTTTTTTATTTTTGATATATTTTTATTGTACAAAAGTAACAATTTTTTAATTTTTTTCCAAACGTTCATTTATAGATTACTCATTGGAATTCCCCGCACTTTCATGCCTATTACCCTACCGCAAATTCATATCCAGCTATCGTTGGAGAAATATTAAGTGCCGGGATTGGATGTATCGGATTTTCCTGGATAGCTTCACCTGCTTGCACGGAGCTAGAAATGATTACTATGGATTGGTTGGGACAATTGCTTGGTCTTCCAAAAAAGTTTCTTAACTCCGATGAAGGTCCTGGTGGTGGTGTTTTACAGGTTGGTGTTTAATTTCAGTATATAGTTACAATAAAACTTTTGCTAGTTCTAAAAATAATTTATCATTATTTTTTATTTAAGAGAGTATAATTTGTAAATATATTTCTAAAGTAGGGTAATATTTTTACTGTCAAAATAAATTGAAAAAAATGATATTCAAGTTAGATTGCTAATAAATAAATTATCTTGTAATTTTATTTAAAAAATGTAGGGATCTGCGAGTGAAGCAACACTTGTGGGCTTACTAGCATCAAGAGAAATAACCGTCAGTCGCATTAAAGAGCATTCTGAACTGGATGAAGGAACTATTAGATCCAAATTGGTCGCTTACACATCAGGTATAGAAAAACCTAAATTGAACGCATTGCTTTTAAAAATATAATATTATACGAAAGAAAAATCTTAAAATACGAACGTGATATTTCTAATGTACTTTTTATCTTAAATAACCAATAGTATGTTGCAATCATTTAGTTTTACATTCATTTTATAAAAATAGTTTAGAATTAACTAGATAATAATAATCTGAAGTTTTTTTATTTAAAATTTAATTTAAATAAAAAAACATTAATAATGGCCATTTGACCAAAATGACCATTTAAATTATTTCAAAATACTTTATAATTCGTTGGCTGGTTTTATCTTAACTATTCATAAAATGTCGAGCATTTCCTATGGGAACCAGTAACATTTTTATCTAAAACGATACTATTTTTTTAGTACTTTCTGAAAATTGTTGCCAAACTAAATACAAATATCAAAAGATTACTACATTTTCAGTTTATAGCTTTTTATTTTTACTGAAAATGGAAAACTTACGTTTTTTTAAATTTTAGATCAATCGAATTCAAGTGTAGAAAAAAGTGGACGACTTGGATCGATGTTAATGCGACTCTTGCCAACCGATGACAATTGTAGTTTAAGAGGAGAAACTCTTTTGAAATTCATAAAGAAAGATATTGAGGACGGTCTAATACCATGTTTTGTCGTGGCAACTCTAGGTACTACTCCGACGTGCGCTTTCGATAATTTAGATGAGATCGGTCCGATTTGCAAAGAATATAATATCTGGTTACACATCGATGCAGCTTATGCAGGTATATATTTTTTTCATGCGGTTCTCTTTCGACAAATGCAATTTAATCATTAAAATTATCTAAGGAGCGGCATTCGTTTGTCCTGAGTATCGTTATCTAATGAGTGGCGTTCAGTATGCCGATTCATTCAATTTCAATCCTCACAAATGGTTACTGGTTAACTTTGACTGTTCAGCTTTATGGTAAGTAAACATTTTTTTCTCGAAGCGCGTTTACATTTATCGTATATGCAATTAGACATGTTTTTAATTGTTGTACTTCAAATTAAGTTGAATATGAAATGATTTTAATACTTTTCTAGGGTCAAGGATGCTAGACACTTGACTGAAGCATTCAATGTCGAAAGAATATATTTAGCGGACAATAAGAAAGGAACAGTACCTGATTTCAGGGTAGGTTAATTAAAAATTCTATTACCGTATAGCCATTCAATAAAAAGTATTTCCTCTAAAACTGATGCGTTATATTTAAAATTGGTATATTTATCACCAACAGATTACTGATCTTTTATTTTACGCTTGACATTTTTAGCACTGGCAAATACCATTAGGCAGGCGTTTCCGAGCTTTGAAGTTATGGTTTGTTTTGAGACTATATGGCGCTGAAGGTCTAAGGACATACATAAGAAGAACTATTGAATTAGCAAATAATTTCCGAAAATTCATCGAAGAGGATGAAAGATTTGAAATCGCCGTGGAGTCTAAAATGGGTTTGGTTTGCTTTAGATTGAAGGTTTGTAACGTTGATATTTTCTTGAATATTTTATAAATGATTAAATGATTAAATGATTAAATATAAAATATCGATGTAAAATTTAGGGTGAAAATACTTTAACTGAAAAACTTCTTGGAAAATTGATGGCAAGAAGAAAAATATACGTGATTCCTGGTGCATACAAAGACAAATTTTTAATTCGGTTTGTCGTATGCAGTCGTTATACGATTCAAGACGATATAGATTTCGCATGGAATGAAATCAGTACTCAAGCTTCTGATATTGTAAAAAGTATCAATCATCAAAACGGTGAAACAATATCAATCCCGAAATTGCTACAGAAACCTGGAGAAATGACGAAAAAAATTAAAATTTTAGAAATGGATAACGACAAACAAAATTCGACCTTCGCGATAGAATAAGCGATAACATAATACTAATTAATAAAGATCATACATCTCCTTTTTTGAAAAAATCAATCAAAATATTTTAGATTATGTGTGACCATGAACATTTTAAAATTTGTTAAAAACTCATTTTCGTACAGAATATCATAAAGCAAAGGTTTCTGTATGTTGTTAAATGATATTTTAAAATTTCTAATTTTCATGATGTTCAATTAAAATGAAAAAAGTTGATTGATTTCACCTTTTTTGCTTGAAAATTGCTGAAGTCAATCGTTAAAAATACTTCATTATGTGAAAAAGTTCATCTCATAAATTTCTTTATTTAGTATGTAATGGCATTTATCGACATATTGTAGACTATTCATTATCAATTATATTTATGGATAATAAAAACACGTTGTAAAAATTGACTTGAAATTATTTGTATAAATTTATAATTTTCTCTAGATGCAAAATTTTGAATCAAAATGCTTTGAAGTATGCATTTGATATAATATCGATCAATTTGGTAAAAAATAAAGGTAAGAGGATGCTGAACTTCAATTGAGAATGGATATGTGTGGAGATTTAAACTTTTTTTGTAAATCGTACAATTAAGTTTTTTTATGTGGCTATACATGAATTTTATCCCAAAATGATTCTATTCAATCAAATTTTCAATGATCATCGAGATATCGTTCAATTTATACACGAAAATCAGCGATCTAGTTGGTCCGACAAACAGCATAATAATTTCGTATAAGAATAAACACATTGTATGTTTGTTCATCAATCCTATTTTAAATCTCATCTTAGTTCTGGTTTTTTTCTATTGTATAAAGATTAAATATGGTTTTTACTTGAGCTTACCGAATATCAAAAATCAAAAAATTGTTTATAAAATTGTATGTACTCTGAAGTTGGCTTGACCGCAGTGTACTTCTCTGTTCGTCGTACATCAACCAATTTTTGGTTAGTTAATCCGTTATAGACGCAGTCGTATTTTCAACTATAAAAATATTACCTTATGCGGTAAAAGTCGTTTAAAATTAAAATTCGTATTCAATGAGATGCTTGTCAATAAATCCCGGCAATCTATTCGGGTACTCAAATTCTTCTCAGACAGGTGAACCATTATAAAATTATCATTCATAAAGGCCATAAATCGAGTAAATCGATCTCGCGTAAGTAAGAAAAATTACATTACAGACGATTCGCATTATGGAAAAACGAGGGGACGGAAAAAAATGCACTGCCGGCCTGTACGAAATTAACGAAATTCGATACCTGCCAGTTGGATCCGTGCATGCTCGATCCGTGCAATCCAGAGCCGACGGTCGTCGTGATCGGCGCCGGAATGGCCGGCCTGTCTGCCGCTCATCGGTTGTCGCAGTGCGGCCTGAAAAATGTCACAATCCTCGAAGCCACTCATCGGTAGGCTACTTTACTTCGTTGCAGCGACCTCTTGGAAATGAGAGAAAATTTCATCGCAATTACCTAATGCAGGCCAGGTGGCCGAATTCACTCGTGCTGGCTGGGCGACGTGGTCGCTGAGATGGGTGCGACTTGGATCGAGGGGGGCTGCCTGGCAAATCCGGCATTCACATTAGCCGCCCAAGAGGGTCTGCTCAAGTCGCCATTAATCAGGCTGGATCAGAGCAAGGGGCTCTTCTGCACGAGCGAGGGCCGAGCCATCGATTTGCCGGTGAGCGTGACGGCCTACCACGCGTTTCGACAGATCGAGCAGCAGGCCGTGGCCCTGTTCACTCTGGGCTGCGGTCGAAATCACGGCGACTTGCTGAGTTTCATGGGGATCAGAATCCAGCAGGAGATTCATAATTTTCCCGAGGAGCAGAGGTGAGTGGACGAGAACAATTGAGTGCTTATGATATTTGAAATGAAAAAAACTACACGCGGGCTACGTAGGTACGACGCCGCGCGCGTCATGTACGGCTTGACGAACTGCGTGCGCTGTCGATGCGGCGACGATCTGTCCCTGGTCTCGGCCGATCAGTTCGGCAGCTACGTCGAGATTCCCGGAGGTCGGGTTCGGGTGCCACTGGGCTACGTGGGTATTTTGGCCCCGCTGCTGCGCGACATTCCCAGCTGCGCCCTCAAGTACTGCAAGCCCGTGAGCTGCATCCGGTGGGGCACCATAAGCGAGTCGTGCCCGCGAGCCCTGGTCAAGTGCCAGGACGGCGAGGAGTTCCAGGCCGACTACGTGATCGTCACGGTGCCGCTGGGCGTGCTCAAGCACCAGCACAAGTCGCTCTTCTGCCCGGCGCTGCCCGTGGAAAAGGTCAAGGCGATCGAGAATCTCGGCTACGGATTCGTCAACAAAATCTTCCTCGAGTACGAGCGGCCCTTCTGGGTCTGGCACGAGGGCAGCATTCGCTTCGCTTGGTCGGCCACCGAGCTGGCGGATAGGTGTGATTGGCTCAAAGGTATACAACGATTTACGATTTGAATTTGCATTGCTCTCCACGTTGAACAAATCGTTTTATTTTCAGGTATTTCACATATCGAGGAGCTGACGGGCTCGCAGCACGTGCTCTGCGCCTGGGTCAGCGGTAAAGAAGCTTCGGACATGGAACTGGCCTCCGACGAGGAGGTCGTCGAGTCGATCACTCGATTATTGAGACAGTTCACGGGAGATCCGACTCTGCCTTATCCCACTAATTTACTACGCAGCAAGTGGTGCATGGATCAGTATTTCGCGGGATCTTACAGTTACATGGCGCTCAACAGCACAGTGGGGCATCAGTGCGACTTGGCTAGTCCTGTTCCAGGTTCGAATATTTTTCATAAATACATTTAAACTTGTTGTTAGCGAAGTGTATCTTATCATCTTGTGGCATTGTTTTCGTACTCAGGCTCCTGCGAACCCGTCGCGCCGATTCTATTTTTCGCCGGAGAAGCGACGATACCCGGTCACTACAGTACGGTTCACGGCGCGAGACTGAGCGGCATTCGCGAGGCCGATAGAATCATTCAGTTGACGAAGAGATTCGGTGGTCCTCCGAAGAAACAGCCCGACATTAAACCGGCTTGTCCCTGATGTGAATCGTTCAGTTAAGTTTGTCTCCAAGTCTTTCGTCATTTTTTTTTTTTTGATTCGTATTTTGTAAACGTTCGTCGAAATGAATAAAAAGGCATCAGAAAAACGTTTGAACAAGTAAATTTATTGCACTTTTAAGTATATATTCACATCCATTACGTATATGATATCAATTGAACTATTGATTCGAAACATTTTTTTTTATAGTTTTTTTCTCAATTTGCTAGTATTTTTTTGACACACGTACAATGTAACAGGTATAATTTTTAAATTCATCACTTTAAAACATTTGTATTGTTTTCATTTTTTTGGTCCACTAGATTCATTTTTATCAATTCATCAACAATTCATGAATGAATTTATAATTGGTCCCATTAATTATTGTCAATTATACCTTATAATTTAATCAAAATACTTTCTTTATTATTGTCAAATTCAAGTCTTGCTTCGGTCGTTGACTTTCACGAATTAAACTCTTTTATCGATTTAATTACTTATTTCAACTAGAAATCGTTGATTGAACCGTTACCAAGACAATAAAAATGCAAATTTGAATAAACTTTTAATTAACTAACAAAAAATTATAGAGTAGGTACGCAGCGTGATCAGTTCTAAGCCGAGTTTTCTTTTAATACTTCATCGGCTCTAGTTTTGATTTCTTGCCACGAATACTGAATATCTTTGCTCTCAGAAAAGCGAGAGCAAATAGCTAAACGTAAAAAGTAACAGTCATTAATCTTGGACGGAACTAGATGAATGTTACCTGCTCCATTAATACGTTTCAGTAATAGTTCATTTAATTCATTTGAACCCTGAAAATTTTTTAAATAAATTAGTACTTTATTATCATTTGCATAATTATAATTATAAGTTATAAATGATATTACCTTTAATCTGAAACATACTAATCCCAGAACGACTTCTTCGACGATCTCGAATCGTGGATCGGCCAATACTAACGATTCAAATTCGTGAGCTTGAGCGACATGATTTCTAATATATTTTTGTAAATTTTCTACTCCATATAGACGCAGGACGAACCACAATTTTAATGCTCTGAATCTTCTTCCCAAAGGAATTTGCCAGTGCTGCAGAAAAAATTTTTTTCACGTGAATAGAAAATAAAGATACAAGTACTTGAACGATAATTGTTTTTGGGAAAAAATATACATACTCTGTAGTCTGGCGCAGATCCTTGCATATCATGTTTGAGATAAAGAGGATCAACGTTGAAAGCATTAATCACGTAAGTAGGATCTTTTAACCAAAGGGGCGAACAATCGAAATTCACCAGCATCCACTTATGCGGGTTGAAATTGAACGAATCAGCTCTTTCTACTCCTCTCATGAGATAACGGAATTCCGGACATATGAAAGCCGAACCTGAAATAATTTCAAATGGTTTAGTAATGTCTGTTATATAAAAATAGAGTTCTGAATAAATTTTTAACGCACCGGCATAAGCAGCATCGACATGCAACCAGATCTCTTCGCTATTGCAAATTGGTCCTAGCTCATCTATACGGTCGAATGTGCAAGACGATGTTGTTCCCAAAGTACCAACAACCTGTGAATAAAAAATATCACGTAGAAATAAATAATGAGCTTCATCAAAATTTGTTGGAAATTAGTAATAGAGATTCTTACGTAAAATGGAATTAGCCCGTTCTCCTTATCAGCTTGAATAGCTTCGGCTAATGTTTCTCCTCGAAGTTGATGCTTAGAATCAGTTTCTAGCAACCTATGCTTGACACCTCCTAAGAGTCCTGCACGTTCTACCGAACTATGAGCTTGAGCTGGGCAAACATCATGATCAATCATTAAATTTTTTCAAATATTATAATATCATAAAAGTAAATTGCTAAAAGATTTTGAAAACAACAATTTATGCAAAAATGAAAGTGTTTATGAAAATCATTGTTAGTGTGTTTCAAGTATCATGTAAAAAACATACTTGAGTGAATAAAAAAATGTTGTCCACTCAGCTGTGAATGGAAAAAGTTTCAAGGGTCAAACATAAAATCCTTAGTGATTATTATGCGTTGCCATGACAACAAAGTGCTATTTGATAAAGTGCTTCGACGTCATGACAGTGAGTACCCCTTCTTCCTTTACCTCCCTTCACCATGCATACCCCTAAGCCTGTAGACCATCTAACTTCACCACCCCCCCCTCCGACTTTCCACCCTATACAACTAGTATCCAGCATCGTAGATAAATCAATACTTTTGAATAAGTCTCTAGTAACATTTTGAAAGCGAATGAAATGACAATTTTGTTATGGATAAACAATATTTTAATTGAAGTTCATTCAAGAATTTGATGAAATTAATAATTGTAGTTATTTTTTTTAAATTGATCATGGATCAGTAAAATTTGAATGAAAATGCAGTAATTAGAGTCATTACAAGAGAAATCGTTCTCTTCGTGATAATGTTGAATGAAGGTAATTTTTGAAGTTTTTGTAATTCAAGAAATTTTTTTTTCTATTTACCTGAACCATAGGCCACTAATTTTCCAACAATATCACTGTCTGACCAGTCTGGATGTTGCTCTTTTACTTGCTTAATTTTTTTCACTTTCGCCCCCAGAAGAGCGACCAAAGTAGCTTCGCTCGCAGTTCCCTAAAATAATGGAATAAATATAACTGAGTCATCCAATATAGAATAAAAACATCGAAATATTTATGTACCTGTATAACACCTCCTCCTTTTCCGCCGCTGCAAGCCAAGAACGGTTTTGGCAAGTCAATCATTTTGCCTAGCCAATCGAGCATTATCACCTCGAGTTCGGTGCAAGCAGGACTCGCAATCTAAATTGAGAAGATCGTACGAGCTATTACCATGATTGCCATTGTTATTATTATTATTATCATTATTGATATTGCTTCAACATACCCAAGTAAAGCCTATGCAAGCAATAGCACCGCTAAGCATATCAGCTACAATCGCGGGATACGATTGCGCCGTTGGAAAGTACGCGTGAAATTTTGGACTGTGCCAATGCGTGACACCAGGCATGATAACTCTTTCCAGATCGTTCATTATATTTTGCCAATCTTCGGCTTTTTGTGGAGCCTCTTCGGGAAGCAATGGTTTCATGTATCCCGGCTCGACGGTTGGCAAGACTCTCCTGTAAAATTTAAATTGTTGTAATAAAAAATAATTCGATCATATTCAAACGTAAATCGATTAAGTTGGATGGAATTTCCTCGTCGTTTGAATTAAATTGAAAGACCGGATGAAAAGTGTATGGAAAAAAAAGTTTGAATTGACCCACTGAACAATTTTTTTTTATGCAACATAATGTTTTGTTTCGTAATAATATCATATATTTTACACATTTTAAATCAAGGTTGTTTTTCCTTTCCCTCGACTAGCGTTTAGCCTTCAATTAAATGACTCGATTTCATCTGAATGTCTATCACCCGGTAGTAATATGCGTGAGGCAGTTATGCGTATAAACAATGTGAGCCTTGATCTAAAATTTATACATTTATTTAAGTACCTTTCTCTGATGTTTTCCAAGTAATTTACAATGAAACTTGTCATATCCTTGGAAAAGTCCTTGAACTCATTTGGATCCATTGTCCTGCAATACACATGTTCTTAATAAATTAATTTCAATTACTTCAAGTAATTAATTTGCCTACTTGTCATATAAAGGTACTACGGGAAAAATATATTCTAATGTTTTTTTTAATTCAGTGATAAACTGTGACGTATAGTGATTTTACTCAAAAGATATTATATTTTTAATGAAAATTTTGGATTAAGAGAAAAAATAATTTAATTCATGTCAAAGATAAATGAATAACTGAGCTGAAGAGTTAAAATTTAAAAATCATGAATTTTATGCAATGTTTTTCGGTTGCTAAAGTGTATCAAAATCGTTCACCTGAGCAATCAATTGCATAAATACTTTTTCAAAAGCTGTCGTAATATTTTAAGATGTGTGATAAAGGCACACATGACTCTTTCGAGACAAGCACGTATATTTGTTAACTTTTTGTACGTGAAAAAAAGAATGGAATGATAATTTCTGGTGTAGTCAAAAAATAAATAAATGAAGTTTCATAAAATATGTAAATTTTTGAGTCTACATTTTTATTATGGAATTTGATAGTCACCCGAATAAAAAAAGCTCACTGACAGTTCGATTAAACTAGTTTTGAGCAAAGAATTATTTATAATTTACACTTAATTTTTGAAAATAATAAGTTTATCAATGTAAATATTCTTATATTATTGAAAATTTTCCTAAATTTTATTAATTTTGAATTTTGAAACTAGGATTGCACATAAAATGAGCTTGTATTACTCGAAAAAACATACAATCATGAGGCTCTATCATAACAATTGATTAGACAAAAAAATTAATTCCCGAGCTTACCTTGCTTTTGAAGTATAAACAATCACTTGATTTGTATCGACTGTAAACGAATTCTTGTTATGTGTCGCTGCGCGGAACGTTGTGATTGCCGATCCACGCCTCAGTGAGACTTCTCACGCCAGTATACTACACGCTGTTGCACAGATTTGAGCTGGTAACAACCACCCCACCCTGATCCCCGGCCAGCCCCGCCAGAGCTGCCTCCTTCTTTTCTCCTCAGCTGGCTAATATCAAGTGCTGTATATTTACTTTTATCGGGACGTTGATAGCATTTCAAGCGCTCTTCACGCTCTTCTTAAGTAATAATTTGCAATGTTTTCAAGAGTATGTTTGAATCAATAATACTGTAATTTAATCTTTTGTTTCAGAATTTTCTATTATAAATAGCTAATTTAATTAGATTTTATGGAGGATGTATTTAATTTTCAGTTACTAATCTTTCATATAAAAAAATTTCCTTGATACTAATATTACCTTACAAAGTTACATATTAAACTGTAATTTGAATGATAAAAAAACCTGAATTATTCATGTTTTACAATCTTTAATTATTCTTTAAGTAATATCAATTATATTTACAAACAGTTGCAGTAAACATTTTTTTCTGGCCTCGACGCAAGAATCTGCCTTTCCTTTTATAAAAAAAAATCACAAACAGTGCGAACGTAAACCGTCACAACAAGAATCTGGCACGTTGTAGGTAGCCTCGCATTAATTTATTTTATTATAAGAATTTGAGACGTCAGACTGTAAAGGAGTCTTTATTAATAATATAGCGAGCCGATGAGTAAAAACCCAGACTATTTTTTTCAACTTTTACGTAAAGTACGTAAACAACCAAGTAATTTTACTTTTTTTTCATTTTTTTTTATCTCGGTAACTAAAAGATGAGTTTTTTATATAAAAAAAAGTTTATATTGCTTTATGAATTGATGCATTTAAATCAACTTATAGGCATTCTGAACTATTTAAAAAAAATAAGTTTATTGAACAGGTTTTTCATAATCGTAACATAAAAGTTTCAACGAAAAATAGGTATGAAAGACTAATATTTTTAAACTTTATAAAGTTTGTATATTATTATAACAGTTTCATTTTTATTTAAATTGAATTTTGCTCTGAAGCTTAGTCAGCTTTATCGGATCAAGTTGCACACATTTATTCTAGGAATATTTTTTCCTTGCAAGTACAGCAGAAAAATAATTTTTAATAATACATACCAGCATTTCATCTTAAAAATAGAGATTATAATTTTATTTAATCCCCATGTAAATTTGAGCATAAGTAAAAAAATTAATTTATGATGTAGTTAGTACGATTAAATTGTAAATTTTACAACTACTGCATTCTTATAATTAAATATTCATATTTATTTAAATTTAATTTTCTTGCAATCTAATAAATTTCTAATAATAAAGTATTTACTTTAGTTTTTCTCCTTAGTAAAAATGATCTTTTTTTCTACATCTAAAAATCGTTGGCAAAATCTTTACGTATTATTTAACTAATTTAGATAACTTTCTGCCCCATTAAATTTTTGTCAAAATCGATACCTTATGATTAATTGGAGCTTTATTATTTTATGAAAAGGTTAATATTTATTATTTAATTATATCGAATAAAAATTGAGTTGCACTCTTTATTTAGTAAAGAATCACCACTAAAATTGTGGTGAAAATCTGCGATCTAATGAGGTCTCTTTGTTCGAGTTATACACCTCTTCAAATCTAATTTTCACCTTAAAACTGAGAAGTTGTTTGTGTATACTCTTGACTTTTGTGCAATTTTATTTATTAATTGCTCATTTAATATTAAAATTCTTTACGATGCCATGGGATGTATTATTTTTTCAATTTTTAAAGGCTAATGCTTCATCAAAAATATTTTCTTAAATTAATATTTGGAGTACTCATATAGTGTTGAATGAATATAATCGGATGGCCACATGAAATGACAGAAAAAACAACTTGTGTAAACAACAATTCAGCATAACCTACGTGTCTTTAGATTGCAGTTCATAGTTGGTTTCGCGTGTTTATAACTCTTTGAGAATCATAACAAATTTTAATCGCGGCTCAACGTATATTAACATAAAATGTTACGGTAATCATGTCAAAAATACGAGCAGTACAGTTGTTGAAATTTTAGATTTTTTGTAAAAAATGGACGCGATACGAGATTATTTGGAATGTATGAACTTTCATTGGTTGATCGTGGTAGCCACGGGACTATACACGCATTTACGGGAAATCTGCTTAATTGGACTCTGTTCGGAAGACTACCCGGAACCTACGTTTGATTCATCCTACGCATCTCTTATTTTCATTTTTTCCACGCTTTGCTTACTGGCCGAGTACAGGTTATGGCCTCGATCATTGAAAGAACCACCAATACAACTTCTCATTATCTACGAGGTTTGTCCTGATAAATAAAAATTCTCTTAACATCTCCTACAAACTTCCATCCTTTCGCTTTCGCGCTCTTTTCGCAGATGCTTGTATCGGCTTTGGTATCAGATTTGGCGAAACGGTTGATTTGGATACCTCTCATGCGCGTAACGTGGTGTCTCACTCAGGAGTCAAGCAAAGCGGTAATCTTGTTGAATTTGAAAGATCTGATACTATTCTCACTTCAAAATTATTCTAAAGTTTTCCATTCCATTGTGTTACAGCTGACATGGGTAAATGATCAAGCCGATTTGGGTAAATACTCGTATCTCATCACGGTAGCTTCCTACATGTCAACAGAAGCGGCGGCGATGCACACAGCAATTTGTATATCTGTTCTCACATTTTTATGGATGCTCGATGCCACAGAAACTCTTGATTCTCTTCTTATAGATCTGTGGGCTAAGTACTAAGTAAAGTACTTCTTGTTCGATAAGCACAGGAAGCTCGAAATAATCGGAGAATGCCGTGTTGCTTATAAACATGTAGACGAGTCGTATCCTAATTATGAAAAAGTCCATTAAAGTGTATACAATTTTTGAAGCATTTGTTGGTTTTTTCTTTTGAAACTTAATTTCGTTGCTTTTTTGCTCGTGCTGACAAATGAAAAAAATTTAAATAGCTTGAGGTTTGTGGTGAAATATTTTTTGAGCATAAAATTATACTTTAAAATGTTTCAACACGTCAAGACAAAATAAAACTTCAACTGCGGTGAAAATGAAGTATCTATAAAAAACGATACGATCATAATAAAAAATAAATAAATTAATTAATACCGACAAAATACTAAAGAAAGATGATGCATAACCTTTCAATAGAATTATGCACATGATAAGCACAATTTCCCAATTTTATTCATAATATTTTTTATTGTTACCCTGGGTTTAAATAACGCCAAAAAAATCTGATTGAGCTTTTTTTTATTAAAATGTAGGCTTTTTATTTTGTGTACAACAAAATCTTATAAGGTTTATAAATGTTCATTTTTATCGTATATATTATAATAACTGCTATCAAATTTCACTGATTCTTTAGGTCATAATTCTAGTGAATGTATTCAGTGGCAGTATACTCACTAATAACTATTTGATATTATAATATATAATAGATCTGTACATTATAGTGTCCAATTGTGTCATCAACTATTACATAAATATCATGCTAATAAATGCTTAAAAAGTGGTAACACAGACACCAGACAATATAAAAAAATGACATTTTAGGCAGTGCTCTATAATTAAATGAAAGAAAATATTTCTCACGCGGCAGTTTGGCTTGGATTGACATTTATGTTACGTTTTTTTGTGATCACACCATAGCATCGCGGCTCGCACGTCGCTCAATCAGCTATACATTGGTGCATTCGTCATCCACTGCATCGTCGCGAAATATTCAAAACCAAAAAGGGTGTGAATTTACATAATGTTTATAATATGAAGTACGATAGTTGTGGTGCGATTAGCACTTTCTTTGTGAAATGCTATGGTATATACTTCGGCCTTAAATAGCTTCTTTATTCTTTATCAATGGAGACGAAATAAAAACGCTACAAGAGGTAAAGAGGATGGCAAAAGATCAGATACATGCCTCAGAAGTATACGAAAACTCCGGTAGAGATTGCACGGAATTTTCACGTAATTAAACATCTCATATTTTCACTTCCTTGGTGTATGATATACTTTAAAAGTCTTTACTTTAAAAGTCAAGTCAAGTGTAAATAGCTTACAAACATTTTCTTATTCTTCACTTTACAACATCGAAAATTTACCAATAAGGTCGAAAATTTGAACATTTCTTACGACTCTATCGGTACTGGAAGATTTCAAACGATTTGTAATTAAATGTTGCATTTGAATATGCAGTTTACCTTTCACTTTTAAAATCATTACCACCAACAATGTAAAAATTTGGTTTTCGTAAAAAGATTCTTGATAAAAAAATAGTTTTATCCAAGTACAGTCGAAAAAGTGAAATCTTGGGACTTCAAAAAATTGAGTTTGTTCCGATGTTTTGTGTTCATGCACGTGCGTTTGTGTAATACTGTGGAATTTTGAAAAAATTTTGCTGAAAAATATTACAAGACTCATTGAATACCTGGTTATATAAGTAGCCAAAAACAATGACCACTGCAATATTTTGGCTACTCGGTTAACTTCGTATTTAATCAATTTTGTACTTTACTTCATCAAAATTTTTTTGTACGATATGAATGTCACAAGCACCGAGAACAAGAATGACTTGTACTTAATAAAACTATTTTTTTATAAAATAGTCTTTTCAAACACTTATTTTTATTTAATAATTTTAATGAAATGTGCAAAATAATTCAGAAGATTCTTTAGAATCTATTTTTTCATCCAATTTGAAGGCAATGTATTCAAGTCTTTAAAACCGAATGTAAATAACTGAATGTTAGAAACTTAAATATGTATTTTTGTACATTTTCTCTGCAACTTTTCTACAGTTTTGACATTTCACATTTTCTGAGTCTCAAAAGTGCCTTGCAATCAATTTTTTACTACGTCTTTGAGTAGAATTTTCTCACTCATTTGAAGAATTTTTCAAGATAGAAAATTGTTAGTTATGTCCTGTAATACAGTGGTTTTCGTAAGACATTTTGTCGTCGTTTTTGAGATAGCTTTTCTCTTCTATTATCTCTGGAAATTTATATTTTGATTTTATTTGTTCCCTGGTCATAAATTTGAAAGAGAACTACATAGTTTAGATTTTGCACTGTTTTGTGTGATATCAATAGGCACAAATTTAACCGTAGGCAATGTAATTGTGCCGCTAGGCATTTCTAAACAAGCTCTCTCAAATAATCGATAATTTATTTTATGTCATTACGTACATAACACTGCTTGTTTATAGGTAATAATGAGTTCGATTAGTTTAAAATTGATTCATTCAAGGTTAAAATTGTACTTATTAAAGTCTCAAAAAAGTGCGTTAAACTGTGATTCGCGTGAATAAATTTAAAAAAAGCGTACATAGCTCCAAAAGAAAAAGAAAAAATTTCTCTTGCCGAAACGAAAAGGTCTCTTGTCAATAGCTATATCTAAGTCATTAATAAAAATTTTTAATTTTGAAAAATTTGTTCAAAAGGATTGAGAAAATTTTACCCAAAAAGTATTAAAAAAGAATTTTATTTCAAGGTGTTTATGAGTTCTTAATAATTGTACTTCACTAATATTTAATTGCTTTTATAATTGGGTTCTCCAATAACTTTTTCAGAATAGAAATGATGTACATTCATAACAATGACTAATACATGACATATTTATAATTTGTAAGATAGTCAAATTTGGTATACTGGGAGAGTCGCACACGACGATTCAAATATAAAATATGAATACATTATAAAGATACATAGACAAAAATCAACTACAATGTTTCTCTAATCATTGCATACATATCATCGATAATTTGAGACAATAGCTTGAATTTAAGTATATTATACCAGTCTTATAAGAGTATCGTTGAAATATGAAAAAAATGTTTTTCGTTTGGTTCCGATTTGAGTTCGTTTTTTTATTCAGATATCAAATGAAAACTTTTTTTTATCAAATGAATACAGAGTAATTATGTATAAACTTTAGAAATAACTCCTCCGACTGAGTATTTAAAATTAATGGCTTTAACAATTATTGCCACAACTGTAACAATTATCTTCACTTTTTACGGTGTATAGAGAAACTTACATAAAGCTAAAGATCCTTACACTTGACTCTCATTTCGGGAATACCTAATGGAATTTGAAAAAAGTCATTAAAAAGAAACATCTTTTATGCATTTTTGCACTCGGTTTCGTTTATTTCGGTAACTGTATCCTGTATAAACTAATTCTAAACAGTTAGAGAATTAAACGATGCCTAGTGTAGGAAAAAACGTGTCAATGAACTTGACGGAAGTAATGTATGAATCTTTGCCTTTTAAAAGTGTCACCTTAATTGAAGTATATACTTTTAAAATGTTCATAACAGTTAGATAATGATGAATGATGAAGTAATTTCTTACAAATGAAAATAGTAACGAATCAAAAAATTTACAATATAGAAAATGAAGTTATCAATTTTTAAAAGTTTCACATTCAATAATTTACAATACGTTCGAAATGCTAGTGTCTACATTCTCACGTCTAAATTCTCGAATGATTGCGAGACTAAGTCAATCGGATTCACGGATCGTTTATATTTGTTAAAAAAAAATAAAATTAATATCACAAATTTTTTTGGTAATTAATACTTTTTTGATTAATTGATTTAATTGTTGTAAACTTGTATAAAATTAGACGTCGTTGGGTCTAAAATGTCATTGAAGTAATAATGTGTCATTAAAATTGTATAATAAGTTAATGATAGACCTCTCGTCCTTTTACATTAACCTACAAACTCGATTCATTTACGTTCTAACTGGTATCTTAATTTTAATCATTAATCATATTTATATTTAAATTTAATTTTCTTATCAATGAACTGTTGCGCGACAACTGACTCGTAAATTGACTACATTTATAATTTTTAGTGGGTGTGTCAGAAATATTCATCACTACAAAGTAAAAACTTTTTTCATCCAGCAGTTTGTGATCAAATTGCATTTTTGGTATTGCATTGTTAAATTTGGCCATACAAAGGTAAATATGATATTTATACTTGGGTAATGCAAGAAAAAATGGCAGTGAAACATTTTTGCTATAAACTACAAGTAATTCTTTGGATACATATTTGTATTCACTCAGTTAAAAATAGACGGATCATACAGTCAGCAGTGGTAGCTTTTAGGAAGTTCTTGTCAATCATTTTTTATCCGTACTGAAAAACTTTTCATGCATTACTCAACATACTTTCAAAATGTACGTATCGATAAATTTTTCCAATTTGCGAGAGTAAATGTATAAATACAAACATGGAAATGTTTGTTGTGCACTTACAAAAATATTTTCTCATCGCCCAATTCCTAAATGTTCTCTTACTTTCTAACCGAATTTTTCTTTTTTATGTACACAATATGGAAAAATCTAACCCAAAATCATAAAAAGCAACTCGTTTAAAGAATAAAAAATATATATCAGTATCATTTAGAATACGATAAGAAAATATTTTTACAGGTGCTAAACAACAAAATAATTATATTTTAAAATAAATATTTTAAAATGAACAAAACAGTCGAGAGACGCGGTAGCGCCTTCTTTGGCAAGTATAGCGAACCAAATGGCCGAGATAGCCTTTCATATGCTTTTCGTTCGTCGTTTTTACGACAAAGCAGAGTTTTCAAAGCTCGTGTAGCGTTGATGTTGATAATATTCACAGTCAACTCAAACTCAAAAGAGTAATCGATTTTTTCCTTGGTTAGTTTGAATAATAATACATCTTGATGGTGATTTGTCAGCTTGCAAATATCTAACAAGCGCTAATTAAAAATTCAAAAGAAGTTAATATAATTCAAAAATAATATCATACAATAAATACTGTAAAAACGTGACTAGTTTTTTTACGCCACTTGTAATGCATCAATGGCAGTGATCTGAACAAAAATAATGTTTTTTTTCTAAACATTTCACATATACATTATTGCCAATGAGATGAGCATACACTTAATACTACATTTTAAATTCTGAGTGTGGTTTGCATGTACAGACGAGCGCACACACGTAAGTCACTCTTTTAAATCTCTAAACAGTCACAAAGATTATTAATGGCCATCAAGATCACATTACTTTCTGGAATCGTACTTTTTCGGCTTGTTTGAGCCCATATCGCTATTTTAATATTGATATTTAAATACATTGAGTCATTCGCTGCATGTATTCTCATGGTTTCAAAGTGGAACAGATTCGTTACTCTTACGAAATTAGCATTCTTCGTCACTTTCACGATGTAATTGCGATGTCGGAGTGTACATGTCAGCTAATTTATCGAATCTCGGTCCCCAGTTGCCTAAATACTCATATTCATGCTGTTCGTCATCTGTACCTGTTTGTGGAAGTAATTAATTTAATATTCGTCTGTTGCAGTGATGGGTCATAAGAGTTATGTTTTATATTTGAATTTCTTGTGCTCATTCATCACTCATTTGACGATAACGATAAATTTCACATATTTTTAAACTCAAGCCTTATCTATCACATCTGAATATTTGTAAAAGTTCAGTTTTTATTTTTTGCAAGCAACTGATAAATTTACAAACAATTTTTGAATCATCTTAAAATGTTTTTTCATGATTCAAAATGGATACACTCTGCCTATTTCTGTTTCAGTTAAAAGCAGGATAATTTAGTAACGAGATGAGTAATGAAAGTTGTTCTTCCCAGGTAGAAATACTCAACATTTTATGGACATATTGTCACCCCAGCGCTGGAAGGTATCTATTTCAAATCTGTAGCAAGAAGGATACTTACTCGCGCGCAGAGACAAAAAGGTATCTAACTCAAGCTCAGAAGCAAAAAGGTAGCTTATTCAAACGAAGTGGCAAAAAAGTTTTGACGCGCTGAATTCAGGTTGGCAACGTAGCCGTACATGATAAAATTTTGTTTTTATAAGAGCAAAAAAGAGGAAAAACAATTGAGCTACTGTAATGATTTTCATCCATTTGTAATGCGAGCAAACAAATCAATCTCACCATGATTTCGACTCAATTTGCCACTTATGGAGAACTTTCTATGTTCTGAGAGGAAAGTAGAAGTTATAGGCTTTACATAACTTGGAATTAAATGTTGAATGTTGAATGTTGAAACAAAATTTCATCATTTACGGCTACATTACCAACCTTAATTCAGCGAGCAAAAACTTTCTTGCCACTTCGTTTGAATAAGCTATCTTTTTGCTTCTACTCTCGAGTTAGATACCTTTTTGCGCTGCGCTCGAGTTAGATACCTTTTTGTCTTGAAAGTTGAATTTTAATGTTTAAATGATTCAAAATGCGTTTAATAATTTTAACATAATTATAATAAAAAAATCAAGATAATTAATGTAAATGTAAACATTTTAAAAATTAACTTTTGGATAATCAGAAAGTTGAACATTTCTACGAAGGTTATATTATCGCTGTTAAAAAGAATCAATAATAAATGGATGTTTACCAGAAGCCAGTGAAGATAACGAGCCAGCTGTACTTCCACCTCCTTCGTAAGCATAATTCCTCAAATCATCGAATGGAGGTGCGTTAGGGTCACTGTCTGCTCTCTTTTTATGATCCTCAATAAATATACCAACGTTAGGTTCTTGTCCGGTCGGATCTATGAAACGGAGATTGAAACTCATAAAAAACCTGTTCTATCAATCCACTTATCAAGATGTATTTAAATTCAGTACTCACAGACTATTTTACAAGGAGGTAATTTTCCTCCTACTTCTGGAATGGGTCCTCCAATAGGAATTTGTAAAGGTGTTATATCGAAAGCAGTCATGTCATCTTCGCCGCCACCTTCGTCGTCGTAATTAATAATGTTTTCTCTTACATCGTCGTCTGGTCCTGGATACTTAATTAGTGCTTCTCTTCTTCTATTATACACTACAAATACTAATACTAAAACTGAAAATTGAAAAAAAATGTAATAGTTTTATTGTCTCTCAAAATAATGCCGTGAATAATTTTTGAATTTTAAAATTTACCAAGAATCACAAGTAGACAAACTAAAATAGCAGCCAGAGCTCCCATACTTAGTTTTAGTGTTTGTCCCTCTTGAACAAGCTCACAATTTTCTCCCCAAAAACCGTCGGGGCAAATACACCTGTAGCGCAATCGAGGATCTTGATTGATGCATCGGCCACCGTTCAAACAAGGATAATCTATGCACTCATTTTTATCCATGCATCCTTTGTTATCGGGGGACTTTATCCTGCCTTCCCCGCATCTAGTTAAAATCATATTTAGCATTTGAATTTCGAACAGTAGAAAAAATTTTGATTTCGAAGAGGTAAAATCGAATAATATTCTTACGTGCACTCGTATACGTTCCACAGATCCACGCATTCGAAAGGATCTTGACAAATCACATTCGCGCATGGCTTGTTCGACGCGCAATTTTTCTCCAAATTTCGCGCCATCGTAGCTTGACCCCATTGCGTTCCGTTCATTGCAGGTGGAAGAGGTAAATGTTTGCCTTCGAGTCGAATATCATCCAAGCAACCTAAAATTTATATGATATTATTAGTAGAATGCCATTCGAAAAACTTACTGGAAAATCAGGCATACATTTTAATTTAATATTACCTTTTTGATAGTCGGAGTAAACTTCGAAAGTTCGGACGCCCGTGTACTCGGCCTTCCCACCGGCATAAACTCCTTCCTGCTTATCGACCAACAACCACTGGTGACCCTCGAACGAGAAAGTTTCGTTGAATCTGCGTCCCTCGCCACCGTCGAGTTCCAGAGTCGCAGCGGATCCGAATCTGGACACTCTGACCGTGTGCCACTGTCCGTCGTCGACCGACACGGCTGCCAGCCATATGTCCTTCTCCTCCGTTCTCAAACTGTTGAGATTGTATCTGAACCTGAGTCGGCTCTCTTTGACCTCGAGAATGGCGTACTCGCGGTTGTGCTGATCGCTGACTCGGAACAGCTCGCCGGTCGGCTCTCGGGTGCGGAAGCGCAATTGTATCTGCGTGGAGTACTTGTCGGGCTCGAAGGACAGGGCGTACTTGACGTAGCTCTGCTGCTTGAACATGGTCGGGATGGTGGCCGTCATGCATCCCGGTCCCGTCCAGCCGGGATTGCACTGGCATCTGGCCTCGACGAAGCTGCCGACGCAGGTGCCGTGCTCCCAGCATCTGAACGTCGACTCCTGATTGTTGCAGATCTCGTCCGTTTGCGGGCAGCCGGCCACGCTGTTTCTCGACAAGCCCGGATGAGCCAAGTCGTAGAGCTTGCTGTTGTGGAACAGATTCCTGATGCAACCGTCGAAGCCCTTTCCGACCGGCATGTACTTCCACTTGTATTGGTCCGGCTCGAATTGCTCGACGTACAGACCACCGATTTGCAGCGGAGCATTTACGTTCAGGTATTCGTTGAAGGGTGGCACTTTGCCTTGAGCCTGGCAAGTGAGATCGTTGAATTCGGGCATGGAGCCATCGTCTTGTTCGGTTATTTCGGCGGATTTGCAAAAATCAACGATGAGTTTGACAGTCTCGGTATTCCAAAATATATCTAGCCTGTGCCATTCGCCATCGTCAAGAGTTCGCTTCGTTTTTACTTTTAATTCTAACGTGCCTGATCCGAAATCTATCAATAGTCTTGGAATGCCTCGTTCAAGTTCCACGGATATAAAATCTGATACCATGATTTCGTCAGACTCCGGAGGTACAATAGGCCCATTATACAGCAGTAATCCGTCGGATTTTCTGGTTATAAATTCGAAACTCAAGTGGCTATCGTCGCACATTTCGAGGGCTGGATACCAAGCCCAACCATTCCCGCGGAAACTTCTTGCCGTTTGTTGACAACGAGGTCCATTGTAACCAGCTGGACATTGACATCTATAAATAATAATTAGATATTCGTAAATACTCAATAGGACATGATATATGAGACGAAACATATTTTTTCCAAACTTACGTCAAACCGTACGCCCCTTCGATGCAACGTCCTCCATTGTAACAAGGATTGTTCTTGCAAGATTCGCCTTTGCTAAAGTTTCGAGCACCACAAGTACATTCGGCAATCATGTCGACTCTAATTCCTACCAAAGCGGTTTTATTCGCATTGACCATGTACGGTAAGTTACTAATTTCCATAGTATTTGTACAGCTTCCCTCACACATTTCATTTTCATAGAAACATTCATCAATTCCAACCATGGTAATATTTATCCCAACATCTCGCTCAATCTGAATGAAAATAAGTGAATTGATAAAAAAAAATTTCACATTGAATATTAAAATCGTGTTAATGGAAACTTACCTCTTCTCTGTGCATGAGTACAATACCATTAAGCTTAACGGGTTTATAATAAGGTGAGCCATGAGCGGCGAATCTTATATCTGTTAGTGGAGGATTTTTTCTTTTCAACTGAACGCTAAACACATCGACATTGTCTCTTTCAATGTTGAGTAGTACAGCTAACTTTTCCCTAAACAAGTCAGCTTTGCTACGCGTTGTAGTTTGAGTCTGCAGATAAATTTATTCAATTAATATAGAGCTAGTGAAACTCTTTTTTTATGGTTTTTTAAAAAGTATACTCACTTTGTAATGCCACACGCGTATAAAATCTTCGTCGCTCACGCCGGAAATTCGTACCGATCCTGAATTGACAACAGCTTCGTAAGGAATGCTTTTAATAGTGACAGTGACGTTGGCCGGTACATCGGTCTGAGTGTGAGTTCGATCGTAAACTTTGAAACGCAGTTGGAACTTTCCATCCTGAGTTCCGGGTCTCATCGAGATCATGCCCGTGTCTTCGTTCAGCTTGAAGTGTTCGTGTTCCGGTCCGTCCCAATAGAACTTCTTATCGGGTAAATCCCAATCGTCCAAATCGTAAACGTAAACTCTACCAATTTCAGTCTCAGGAGATTGTCCCTGTAAAATTCAATGACATAAGAAAAGAACCGTCGATTTAAGACGAGGGATATTAAAAAGATCAACTCACCGCATAGTTGTAAACGAATATATCTTTCGAACCAGGTTGCATTTTATTGTCATTCGTGTCTCCTATGACAACAGTCAAAGTACTCGTACCAGACATCAAAGGTTCCCCAGCATCTCTGATAACGATAGGAATTAAATATTCTTTTTGCTGTTCTCTATCAAATGACCGTATAGACGAAACAATTGCCATTCCATCTCCGTTAGCTCCCTCTGAGCAAAAAAATTAAATTTAGAGTTAAATTTACAAAAACTACCCAGTAAAAATATCATCTGAAAATTCTACTCTTATACGTACTGTTATCACTTTCCACTTTGAAACTCGCTTTAATGACATCATCGGCGTTTGGATCCATCCTGAATGTGAAAGGAGGTCCGTTACTTTTCGACCGATCGTCGTCATCGGTCGCCAAGATCTCAACGACTTTTCTCGCAGTCGCGAATTCCGGTAATACCGGTCTGTAGTCCTTCAAGAAAGTAGGCGCATTATCGTTGATGTCTTGGACGATCACGGTTAAAGTGGCTGTCGCAGTTTTCGGGGGAATTCCGTCGTCGATCGCAAGGATTTTGACCTGATGTCTCGGTGTCTCTTCTCGATCGAGGCTCCTTTGAATCGACACCGTTCCATTTTCGAAGATGAAAAATTGTCGCTTTCGATCGGAACTGCGGTCGATCGAGTAAGATACTTTGCTCTTGCCACCTTGGTCGGGATCGGAAGCATTGAACGTTTCGAGCATTTTACCCACGGGGGCATTTTCAGGAACAGTCGCTTCGATATTGGCTTTATCGAACTGAGGCTTATTGTCATTTATGTCTCGCAACTTGACTACTACCCAAGAATAAGCGACGTGATATTTATCGTTGTCATTATCTTCGCCCTAATTTTTACAGAGAATTTTAAAAAAAGTGTTTAATATGTCAGAAATTTTTTTTACAAGTTATCAATAATGTTGTACGTACTTTGTCATTCACTTGAATTCTAAATCTGAAACCACTTGTTTGCATTTGATCTTCATAATCAAGCTGCTGAACAATTTTGAGTGAGCCTGTACCATCATTATTTCGTACCATTGTAAATTTATCTGCACCATATCCACTATTTTCGATGACCTTTAATAAAAAAAAATTGAAATTTATGCAACGTGTTCAATTACAGAAAATAAATTTAAAAAAATGCGATGTTTGAAGTTTTACCTTGTATTGGAATTTGTTAGTTTCGTCTTCATCGTGAACAGTGACAGTCAGGATTGGCATGTCCGGTAAATCAGGTCCATCAGTCTCATCGACTTCCGTGAACCATTCGTCTTTGGTAAACTGGGGAGGCATATCGTTTATATCTTTGACCCGTATCGATGCCGTCCCCGTCCCTATTGAAAGTCGATATAATTGTTAAAATGATTATGATTTCCGGTAACTTACAAAAGAATTATAAGAATTAATTTTTGGTTTACCTTTTAACCCCCCTCCATCCATCGCAACGACTTGTATCGAATAATCAGGTGTTCGTTCCCGATCGAGACAACATACGGCTGTTTTGATGACACCTGTGTCGGGTTCTATTTCAAAGATTGGCGACCCAGTTTCTTCCTCGATGACATTCTTTTCAATTGAATACAATAATTTTGCATTCGTCCCTTCGTGAGGATCATCGTAGTCTACAGCTGTCATAGTCATTACAACCATACCTAGTAAAATTAATAATTTTTAATAATATTAAATCATTCTCAATCAAAATACTAGATTTTTATCCACCGGAAAAATTTCGTATAAAAGTAAAAGTACATACCTGCGGTGCCGTTTTCAGTGACATTGCCAAAGTAAACTCCTTGTGGGAATGAAGGAGGATTGTCATTGATATCCTTGAGATTTACTTGAACATCTGCATAACCGACAAGTCCTTCTCCGCGTTCATCTTGGGCAAATACTGTAAAACGCCACTGGGGTCTACCCGTTGGTTGATCTCTATCGAGTGGCTAAAAATTCATTAATGCGTTAATTAAATAATTTAAATTTTTGAAGCTGTAGTTTACTATCAATGGATGGAAATTTAATCATACCTTAAGCACATAGATTTCTCCAGAAGTTCGATTGATATCGAATTTACTGTTAGCTGGATTATCAGGATCGATTCCCTGTCCAGTTAAGAAATATACGATGCTCTGGGGTCGGTCTTTATCACCATCGGTTGCAGTTACCTGAATAGTATTTATTTATTAATGATAAAATCATATTCATCGCTATTTTTTTTCGTATTTTTATACATCAAGAAATTCATGACGTTACTTGTAAGACTCGTTTCGGTAAATTGCGGTCATCTTCCTCTGTAATCTGCGTTCGATATGTTGGTCGCTCAAATACAGGTGGGTTATCATTGACGTCTTTTACGTGTATCACAACTGTTGTGTAGTTTTCCTTCAAGTTATCCGATGCTGTCAATCGTAATTCGTACTAAGAGTAGAAATATGTTTGATGAGAATTGAATTAAGTTACACATTTAAATTCCAAAAATGATTTATTTACTCTTTTCCTTGTTTCGTAATCCAAGGGACCAGCTACATAGATAGCACCGGTCATATTTTTCACAGCAAATGCTCCACCTATATTACCGCTCGTAATTTCATATCTGATACGCGAAGCTAAAAATATTTTAATTATTAATTTTATTATTATAAACAATTTAATATGAAAAGTAATATATTATTTTAAAACATGTATTAAACGGGGAATGCAAGTTTGGGGTTAGGGGCTAGGTTTCAAGTTAAACTAACTAGCATTTTTTCAACTTTTTTGAAAAGAGAATTTGCGTCATTTTGCAAAAACTGTGCTTTACTTATTCAATTATTCTGACTTTGCTACTTGCAGATTAACAAATATATGGGTACTCGCCATCTATTGGTGGAGGCTTAAAGTGATATCATCGTATTTAAAATGGTCGAAAAAATAATATTAATTTTGGAAGTTAAATTGTACTTTTTAGACCATTTTCGGTCAATGAACCGTTATTAATGTTCAACATTTTTATCGGGGTAATGAATGATCAATAATAAGTACGTAATGTATAGATAAATCGTATTTTTACTTACATTCATCGTGATCCTTTGCTGTCACTGTAAGAACAGTGTGTTGTATATCTTCATTTTCGTCAACTTCGGCTTCATAAAGAACCTTATCGAAATAAGGTGGGTTATCGTTTTTATCGGCAATGCCAATACGTATGAATTTAGTGACTGAAAATAAAAATTTGAGTTTTATGATCTGACGCGAATATATGTTATAATGGCGAAGAGAATTATTTTAATACGTATTCATTTCACCAAATTATAATACGTTTATAGTAAATATGTAGACATAATATAATTTTAAATTCATCAATTTTTGGGTTAACCATTTAAAATTGTTAGTAGTAAATTTATTCGGATTATTTATGCAAACATTCTTTTAACTCGGAAATCAAGTGAAACGCTTATAATTACTTATTGTTATCTGTTTGGACAGATAATTCAAAAATTGTTAAAGAATAATCATATAAAATTAGGTGCTACACATTATGAATTATCTAAAATTTTCTCACCGGAATTAGGATGTCCATTACTGTTTGGACGTGCGGATGGCGCTCCGTCTCTCGCTTCAACTTCTAACGCATAGGCTCCTTGTTTTTCACGATCAAATACAACTTTTGTGAATATCTCGCCAGTCTCTTTATTGATTTCGAAATAATCCTTTCCTTCATTTCGATCGCTATCCACGACATAGTAAGTAACCTTTCGAGAAACGGAAAAATAATTGGCAGGTAAAATCTCGAAAATTTACAATTTTTATGAAATGATCATCATCAAATGAACTTACTTGATTGTTAGGAAAAGTACCATCTTTATCGATTGCATTCACTTGCGTTACTTTGCTACCTACTGGCTCGCCTTCCAGAACGGTCTCTTGTTCACGCTCAGTAAAAAGTGGTATTTCGTCATTAACATCTTCTAACATGATATAAACTGTTGTTTCGGATGCAAGTTGTTGAGCACCATTATTCTGAAGTTAAAATTCAAATATCAATTAAATGGCATCAATTGTTATTCAAAATAGAAATTTAAAAATCAAAACAATTGTCATCAATTTGACCAACATTTTTAAAATCTATCATTAAAATTGTATGTCATTTAATTACTTTATCTTACAAAGCCGTTAATGTATTGTAAATTAATTTTAGTACTTACTTCTACACGCACAGTAAGATTATACTCTTTAATGCTTTCAAAGTCCAATGGATGGTTGACCTTAATATCAGCCCAAGTAACTGATTTATCAGGTCGCTGTTGCAAATAAAATGTATGGAATTTGTTGGTTTGAGCAGTTGAACCGGGCATCAAATGATAAAATACCACTGGATTATTTTCGATGCCAGAGCTGTAGGTATAAAAAATTTTAATTAGATCAAAGAGCTTTCCAGTTAATTAATGCAAACCAAAAAAAACTATCAGTTACTAAACAGAAATTGAACAAAATAGGCACCGTTTATTTTAATCGGTATCATTAATAATTACTAACATTTTCTTGATTAAATAAAATTTTTTTTCTAAAGATCGGAAAACTAATTGTAAAAAAAATTCCATATACTTTCTAATGGTTCAAATTATTGATCTTTTATTGATTTCAAAACAGAAAAATTTTAATTTTAGACATTTTTATTTTCGTGGGTAAAATAAAAATCAAATATTTTTAATTTGGACTCTCTCATTTCATAAAAATGTACTTTCCTAAGGAACGAAAATAGTATTCACACTCACCCCCCAAAAAATAACTCTTCAGATCTAATATTCGCTATCTTTTACATTAACCTTGATTAGAAATTCAAATAAGATTTCGGATATTGTTTTTAATTATTTAATTGTGAATTTACGCAATATTCAATAAATAATTTTCCTATTTCAACGGTTTCTTTGAATTTATGAAAGTTCATAAGATCATTTAATCAATAGTAAAGAAAAACTTTTATTATTATGCACCTGTAATCTAAATTTCTAGACCAAATTTTTTCTTTTTCATAATTTTGTTTGATACTATTATATAATATTTTTTAAAAACCAATTCTTAAAATGTAATTAAAAGTACACTAAAACCAACCGATTTTTTAATCAAGTTATTATAGCTGTATTTACTGTAGCTCTTTTCATATTTGATATTTTCTATAAGTTTTACGGATCCTTTTATATTGTTATCTTTCTCGGAATGCTCAAAATTTCAAACGATGTCGTTTAAACACATTTTTTCAAAAATTTCTGAGAAAAACCATTCAAAACTCAAAACCATTCATTAAAAATGACAAAATAAAAGAGTCTTCATAGCTTTTTAACAAAATGATCAAGTAAAAAAAACATTAAAAACAGTTGTGATAACTTGATCTATAAAACAGAGTAATCATGGTACCCTTACATCTAAGGCAGTTCATAATTGAGAAAATGTTTAAATACGTTGTCTAATATTTCTATTAATTCTTTTTCAAAAAAGGTGCGCAAATGTCTTTGATTGATTATTTTTAAAACTTATACGGAGTTTTTTTAGAAAATTTATTTTTAAAAATTGGAAAAAAGTGTTTGTTATTTTGACTTTCCCTGGCTTAGGATTTCCTTGAAGAGTAAATTAGGACTTAATTCTCATTATATAATATAGAAATATAATTTTAACATTATAATTCATCGACAAATTATCATTATTATTAAATTAAATAATTAAATATTAAAAAGTCTTTAGATAAAAAATTAAAGTGAACTGTTAATTCTTGCCATGATCATGGGATATTATCAGTCTATTGAGAAGTTAGTATGAAACTTGAATATTCCGTAGGCTGTAAAGATACGAGTGCAATAATGATATCCACCCCCATCGCACTTCGTTTACTTCATGCGGAAAATAGACTTTGTGATGAGTAATCACGTCTGAAGTACCACCATTAGCATGCAGCAATGGATAAAAATTTTTAGAAACCTTATAACATGAGACTATCACCTTAGTACGAGATTAATATATAGATTTAAAATTATACTGTTTCGTTATTAAAAAAGTTCATAATATAAATAAAAATTTGTAGTCGACACTACATAACTCGAGTTTATGTCAACAAAACTCACATTTGTTGACACAAAGTAGTTGTCATCGAAAATGTTTTGAATTTAAATTGGTAAAAAGGGGGAGGGGCTATTCGTGCAGCTTCAGCAAATATTTTATTTACCATTGAAAAAATTGTCTAAAAATTCAAAACACAAAAAAAGGAAAATGGAAAAATTGTAATGACCTAGCAATTTCACTGCTTCGTACTTTCAACCGAATTTTGAAAAAATTGAACTTCGTATTACGATACGAATTTCGTAATGTAATTTTTTAAGATGCAAAAAAAGACTCAATGAAAACTTAAAAAATTATGAAGTTTCACCTATGGTAATAAGTGACTAAATTTGAGAAGTGATTAGATTTGAGTTCTTAAAAATCACTCAAAATAATACTTTAGACGATTTCCTTCGTGATTAAGTAGTGTAACATCATGCACTCTTTATAGATTTCAATAAATGTATTGACTTTAAAAAATTATAGCAGTTAAATTACTATTTCAACAATACTTCAAAAAAATTTGATTTTTCTTTTTATAAAAATAAAATCTCGATCTAACCTATTGGAACGAGGTTAATAATCATTTCAAAAACAACTTCGGGTGTAATATAAAAATCAGTTCTTATAGGGTGCAAAAAAGGTACCTCGTTGTAATTTCGTGTACAATTGAAAAACAAAAATAAAAATGATTTCAAAACAAAAATGTACTCATGCCGCAGCATGTAGACATTAACAGTATGACAGACCTGGCTTTAATAGACACTACTTTAGCCCCGATAGCCATGTTTTCTTTTATGAAGATTGGGCCGTACACAGTTTGGTCCCAAACGGGCGGATTATTCGCACGGTCCACTACATCAATTTGTACCTCCACCGTTCTCGACAAAGGTGGAAAGCCCTTGTCTTGGGCCATCGCCTCCAGCTTGTATGTCTCGCGCTAATCAACACAATCGCACATGTGATGATGTCGTAAGACGAATGGAAAAGAAAAGTGACAAAAAATTAGTATTATAGTTTTATTTCAAAAATCTCCACTATATAGTACTCAGTCAAAAATTCTAGTCGAGTTCTTTCAAAACTATGTTCTAGTTGTTCTCGAATTCCATCTTCATTTCTATTTCAGTTCTATATTATAGAGTAAAAACGTTTTTTCTCGTAAGTTTGAAGGATAATAAATTTAAGGGAAGTGCGTCCATATCATCGTTGTCTCACCTTCGAAACGATTAAAATATAAAACCCATTTTGAATTATTTATAAGACATATTATTGCTGGGTATGAATACTTTTGCCAGTTAAAGGTATTGCTAAAATGGTATAGTTGAAAAATACTTAAAAAATTAGATTAGATTAGTAACACCATGTGTAAATTCTCAGTAATTCTGTTGCTGTGTTTGCCAAAAAACTTATTCGATAAATTATATATATATATATATATTTCGCAGGTTTCTTGATTTAACTAGAATTTTCGGGTATTCATAAATTAATTAATTAGCCGGGTGATGTGTATCATGAATAATTTAGGCCCAATCTATTTTTTTCATTATACAAGAATAACATTTTATAAGAATATGGTAAAATCATTCATGAAAACCTCTGATTAATTATCTGAGAAATTCTTTGAAGTAGCAAATTTAAATTCAAAAAGTAAAAAGCTGTGCCAGCTGACTGTCTAAGGATATAAATTAAGTATGTAAGAGGAAAGAGCAATGTTTAGGAGATTCGGTACATATACTTGATAACTAAAAACTTCTATTATTATGAAAATTATAATTTAGAAATGTTCATGATGTTCACAAAAACTGTTCTATGATGCATAATTATAATAATGAAATGCTATAAAAATATAAGCTCAAGAACCAACTTTTTTTAGATTATTCCGACAATTATTCAAATTAGTAATAACAGCGCAAATATTAACACAAATTTTAAATGTTAAAAATATTGAAAATGATATTAATCATTCAGTAAAATTTATAATTTGAAAAAAATGTATGATCGTAAAAATGAAAATCTAAAATGCAGTTCAACCAGGATCTATCTATTTTGTATTATATTAAAAAAATAATTTTACAACACATCAATACGAATGATATTTTATGATGGAAGAATTTCATAATGTCAAATTCTGAGACCTTTTGTTAATGTTCTCGTAGACTGAAAGAGGCTAATAATTGAATTTTTTATTCAAAAATTTTTTTATAAAATTCCCGGATCGCTTCAGAAACATTTTTTTCATTGCCATAGTAAAGAATGTTCAACATTAATAGTGGCTTTATGACCAAAATATGACCATTTACTATTTTTTAAATATACAACTATTTATAAACTTATTTTAGGCGATTTTTTGATACAATTGTGTAAAAAATATTGAGCGCATAAACTACGCATTAATAGTAACAATTTAATCATGTCAAGTAAAGTAAACCAATTTTTCATCACGATGATACTACTTTAAGGCTCTTCCACTACATCGCGAGTGCTTTTATATCTGTAAATCTGCTAGGGAAGAAGCCAAAGTAATTGTATAAGTCAAAGTATAGTTTTAGTCAATATTAATAATAAAAAAAATTGTTTTGTTCTTCATTACTTTCAAAACTAGCCTTATAATGTTGAACAATTTTAATAGAGTAATTATACTCAAAATACCTCTGACTCTACGACCTTGACTCATAATTTCTACAAATGAAAAGCTTGAGATTTAACCAAGAGGTTGAAATCCTTTCCATATAATTATTTTCCAATTATTTTCTACAATTTATAAAAAGTTTTTATCTTAATTTGATGTTAATATTTTTTTTGTAGATTAATATCCTTTTAAAGGGTGACTACAATTTTATCGGCTAAAGAGATACCAAATCTCGGCCATATATGGTAATTTTCAAAAACGTACGGTAAAATTTCAAGTACATTTTTTTTAGAATGCCTTTTTTATGTCATTTAAATTTATGCTATTTGAGATTATTATTTGGAAAAATATTAGAAAATATTCTTGAAAACATCCATTTTTAAGCGTAACATCGGTATCATCTGAATCCCCTTATCCATTTTTCGAAATTGAGATTTGAATATTTTATATAAATGTTGAAATATATGTTTCTTTTCGCGCAGTTATGAAGTAAGTAAACGGAAGGTAACGCGTACTTCCATCACTGATCAATTAATCTTGTCCATCATATCGTGCTTTCGATTTCGGGCGAATCGTCTACGCAACAATTTTATACGTGAATAGTATAAGTCCTATCGTAAGTTGGTGATCATTTATCAATTTTTTGAGAAAATAGACTATTATATTTGAAACCCTACTTATATTATTTGAAAAAATGTAATTACGAAATAATTAAATCATACAATAAATTTCTGCGATTTTAGCGAAATTTATATGCTAACAAATTTCTCTTAAAATTTTGCCTCGATTTCCATTTCTGCAGAAATATTTTTTCTCTAATCGAGTAAAGAATAACGATAAAAATAATAAAACAAACTTTTCACAATCATTATGTATTTTACGATGCATAAAAATAAAGCAGTATTTAATTTTTGAGGAAACCCTAATAGTGCGGTATATTAAATTTGATAATCATTATAAGCCTGATAAGCTCTTGAGTCAAATTACCTTTTGATTTACTTTTATGTTCTTAAAAAAGAGCTATAAAATATTTTTCAATTTGCTAATCATTATAAAAATGATTTAAAACATATTGCACTGCTTAGCATGATGTCTTTTTGCTTTCAATTTCTGCAGATTAGATTTCATGTTTTTTGTTCATGGTAACATACAAACCTGGCTTTCACGGAGGTCACTACTGTACCCACTGTGACATTTTCTTTGATGTGAATGGGGCCGTATACAAGCTCATCCCACACAGGAGGTTTATTGTTTCTGTCTACGACGTCTAATTCAACGTCCACTTCGGCAAATGAGGGCGGTGTCCCTCGGTCGGAGGCGCTTACTCTCAGCCGATATTTTTCTCGCTATTGGCAAAATACACGGACCGTAGGGTTATTTGAAAGATCACGAATTTCAAAAGACTATATAACTTTTCATCAATGAAAAAAATTATATCTCTTTTATTTTCAACCTTTCTCATCATTTTTTTTGCTTTTGATTTCCATACGGTTTTTATAGATATACTCTATGGAATATTTTCTGAAACTTTATTTTTGAATTTATCACAACCGGCTGTGAGAAACGAAAAAATAATATTTTGGCTTGCATTTATGAAGGAGAGATATAATTTCAAGCTCTTTTAATGATCGTTTCACTGTCATGGCGAATTACATTTTTTTAATAACTTACTTTTCAAAATGATATTCTACAATAATTGCACAATCAGGAAATACATAAAACTCAATTCTGAACCCAAATAAATTTTAGTTGAGACTATGATTAGTAACCATAGTGTCTTGAAAATACATAAATAACTGTCTAACTATCCATGAAAAGTTATAATCATGTCGATTAATACATCTTTCAATAATAAGAAAAGAATTTTCATTTTCTGATGTCCCGAGAGATATGAAGTTGAATCTTAAGTTTCAACAGGACATTACTCCAATAAACCAATTTATCGAAAAAGTTCTTCATCAATTTTTTAATTTACACTCATATTATCAAGAATTTTGCAGATTTTATTCTGTTAATTTGTTTATAAACTATTATTTATCATAAAAGAATAATAATTTTTCATAGAATCATTCTATTGTAAAATAAGATAAAAAGTCTTATATTTTGGCAATACAAAGTCCAAGGTTCAAAGTCAAACGTGTAATAAGTAATTGTAGTGAAATATTCATTTAATATTCATATTTGATAAATTTGAGTTAAAAACCTTCAAAATTTTTTGGGAAATATTCTTAAATGGTGTATTGGGATCATATTAATTCCATATTATACAGTATTACATTTTAATTAATAAATAGTTATAATTGTTAAAAATATTAAAAGAATGCAATAAAATTTAAGCAAAGGTGCACGTTGAAATAAATGAAATGCCATCTAATTTTGAAATTTAATTTATCATTAAGAGTGATCATAGTCTCAACTACCAAAGTTAAAGATCATTTTTAAATTGCTGTAAGATTTTTATAAGTCAAAAATGTCAGAACATTTTTTGCGCCGGAAAAATTTATTTGGGTCAGTGTAGATTTAAAAGAAATAATGAATGTAAGCTAATTAAATACTTTAATTAACTTAACCACATGTCAGATTTTATAATATATAACAACACTATTAGCAATCTCTAAAACCCGGATCATTAGCCAACAGTGCAGCATCAAAATCAAGAGGTCAAAATAATTTTTTCATAAAATTTATGCTACGATCATTTTGATAATGGACTAATTAACTTGAGTAATATAGCGCATAAATTTTTTTTGACATAATAAACAATATTATTATCGTAAAATTTAATTAATTTTTTTTAGTAATTTATTAAAATTAGTAAGAAATTATTACTACTGCGTTGGTTACTTTGATATAACATGTTACTTTTTCAAGCAGAGGATTTATCCTACTTACTGGGAAACAGCCTTCTTAATTGTCATTTGAGCAGGATCATCATTATTTAATCCAAAAAACAAATGGTGCAATAAAAAAATTGAAATAAAAAAGATATTGAGTTTATTCGTTAATACATAAATAATAATTTGGCAGGTACATGCAAGCAATACATTTACGTGTTTAGAAAGTTGTCAGGAATCAAGGATAGGTAGTTTACTAATCTTTTCAATATTCAAAAAGAAATTGTTTTAAAAGGAGTTGAAAAATGATGACAAATAGTTGGCTCAAATTTTAAATTCATTACGTTAACGACACTCAAAAACCGGTGGACGTTACGTTTTTATTACTTCATATGTATTGTTTTTCGGTCATGGCAGACGTATGCTACCCCAATCACAGAAGAAAAAATGTCACACAGCATTCAAAGTTTAGTTTGAATAACATTAAAAAACGCTCTCATCAAAAATCACCCCCTCCAAATGAAAATTATAAAAATTGCTTCAGAAAAGTCTGAATTTATATAAATCTCATTTAAATTGTATTTATCGTGAAAAAAAGAGAAAAAAACAATCAAAATGTTAAAACAAATTCTTATGAAACACAAAAACGTCACCCGTGTGCTCAAGAAACAAGAATAAATAAAGATGAACTGATTAGCGAAAATGTATAATATTTTCAAGTTTATAATTGTGTAACTGTAAGAGAATAATGTATGAGAAAAGAATGAATGTAAGAAGAGAAACTTGAGAGCGAGATCCGTTCCTGTAAAATTCATAAAAAATATTCATAAAATATGCAAGCATGTTCAAAAATTATTTGTATGATGCATCACAAAATGCGTAGATGGTGAAGATTTTTTGTGGGCTCAAAAATCGCAGTTCCCACCTGCTCCTGGAAGCTTAAAAAACATCACTTCCTTTCTTGTAAAAATATTTGTTAGTTTTTCTTACGAGAAAAAACATTCCTTATTTTCAAAATATCACACAGTTTCGAAAGTATCTCGCATTTTTACGTACAAGAAGAAACATTATTAAAAAGTCGGTAAATGTAAAAATAAGCGTAGGTATATTTACTTATGAATACATTTATGTTTCAATATAGATTAAAAATATTCTTTTTTCAACGACCGTGTTTCCATGATTCAAGTTCACAAATTATAAAAAAATTTCATCACATAGTTGTGGTTACTTGAAAAAAACTTCGTGAGCTTGAACTACAAAAGATATTCAAAAATTGCATATGAAAATTATTTCGGATATGCAGATTGTTTTGTGTAAAATTTATTTATTTCTTCTCATACATGAGTTATGTTAATTGATCTACTTAGCCCAACGAGCCTAATGACCGATCGTTTAAGGTAAGTAAAAGCATTTGAGGAAGTTTGGCATAGCTAAAATGTATTAAAATACACTGTGCATATCAATGGGAATAAAATCTATAAGTGCCGTAAAAAAGAAACTTATTCTCGTTGGATATAGTGATAAAAGAAAAGAATCCATTTTTTTTTAAATTGTTAGTATGCAATAAGTATTTCTTTCGAATTTTTGTTAAGGCTATTAAATAATTAATCATAGAAGATCAACGCAGTATGTTCATAAAGGTCTCTAAAAGGATAAACCCGTGTGAAAAAATTTTCCTTTCGCGAAAGTTTAGTGGAACTTACTTTGAGTTGAAAGTTCAATGTTCAGCCTAACTTACATGAACTTGGCATAATCCTTGGCTACTCATACCAAATTTACTTACGCAATTTGAAGTTTGAGAATGTTTCATTAAAGCTTTCCATTGAGTCTTGCAAGGCATCATTGCTGACTAAGTTCATATAAATTTGGTGTTATTGAGAACGTTTACGAAACCTTCACGAAAGAAAAAGTTTTTTACGTGGGTAGTTATAAATGTACTCATTCGAAATAAATTTCTTCGTACGAATACTCAGCGTTAGAAAATTATTGATGATTGAATCAGAGAACATGTAAATTATTCAAGTAGACTTTTCAATAAATTATTAACGACGATTTAAATAGTTTCTCCTATTCAATAGTATTTAAATATAATATGTATAAAAGTATATTGTCATAATAATTCAGTGTGAATACTTACGTCCAATGGTTTTTTCAATACAATCCAACCAGATTCTGGTTGAATTTCAAAGTATTCCAGCCCTTTTTCATCGTTCGGGGCACTCAATGAATAAATAATGGCACCATTATTATCAGCATCTTCATCAGATGCTGATACCCTTAAAATGTTAGTGCCAATACTTGCATCTTGTTTTACATTTTCGACGTATTTCTGTAATAGGAAACAAATGTCGTTGATAATTGCTTACATTAAAAGCTTCGTATTGAAATAAAGAAGAAATGTTTCGCAGTTTATTTTATTACATACTTGTCGATCGAATAATGGTGGATTGTCGTTGACATCGGTGATTTCAACAGTAAAAGAACAAACTCCTTCCAACGAAGGTTCACCTTGATCTGTAGCTTTTACCGTAACCGAAACAAATTTGCCATCGTCACCTTCACGGTCAAAAACCTATAAAACATTGTATAAAGTCCATTGTCATTTATTATGTATTCAATGGAATTTTGAATAATTTATTTCATAAAATCCTACCTTGTTCGTTACAACTTGACCCGTCTCTTCATCAACTGTAAACTTGGTGCCTTTTTGATTAGGCTGTTGCACGATGGAGTATTTAACTTGGCCATTGACGCCCTTGTCCTCGTCGGTAGCTTGAACCTTGATGACTGGGCTGCCATTGGTGGCACCTTCCTCGACCTTCGGATAATACGTGCTGCAGTCCTTGAACACGGGCTTGTTGTCGTTGACGTCGGTGATGAACACGACCACCACGGCCGTGCTCGTGTGTATGTTCTTTTCGCCGTTCGGGCAGCAGGCCCCGTCGTCCATGGCGGTGACGTTGAGCTCGTACTTGTCCCGCTCGAGGGATATCTCCTTGTTGTGCAGCCGAATCACGCCGGTTATGTCCTCGATGACGAACTGGCCCGAGGAGACGCCCCCGCCGACGAAACCGAAGCGCACGTTGTCGCCGTCCTTGTCGGACGCGACCACGGTCGTTACCAGGGTGTTCGGCCCGGCATTTTCATCCACGTTTGGAGTGTAGACTTGTTGCGAAAATTTGGGCTCCTCGTCGTTTTTATTCTTCGTGTAAATGCGAACCGTCGCTGTGCCGCTCTTAGAAGGCTCTCCTAAAAATGTATGATATTGTTAGTTACAATACTGCACTATAAATTGTATTTAATAGGCATTTTACATACCCTTATCTTTCGCTGTTACAATAAACTCGTAGTACGCATTATTATTATCCGCATCCAGCTGTTTATTGTTGACTATGATGCCGTTGGAGTCGACGCTGAAGTGATCGTCCGATACGAGATATTCTATTTCCGCATTGGCACCCGAATCGGCATCCGTAGCTTTGACTTTGAGAATACTCGTTCCCAGTGGTATGTCTTCGTCGACGTTATGTGCCTGATAATCTGGTAACTCGAATTTGGGTGCGTTGTCGTTTACATCAGAGACGCGTATCGTTAACTGCAAATTCACATTTTCATCACTATTTTTCATCCACACATTTTAATTATCAAGGTTTGAATAATAAACTAAAAGATTGAATATTTTGCAAGGCTTTTATGAAAAAAAAATTCGAACCTCGACGGAAGTTGAAAAGCCTCCCGAATCTTCGGTAGCAGTAACTAGTAATTGGTAAATGTGGGGTTGTCGAACATCTTCGAAATCCAATTCTTTGGCAAGTTTCACAATACCGGAATTTGGACCAATATTGAATGTTCCCGCTGCGCCTTGACCTTGAGCTTTCAAAGTGTAACGTATTTCTCGATCGGCAAATGATTTAGCTTTCACAGATATGATACTGAAAAAAATTGTTTTCATGAGATAACATTATAAAAAATAGATCTATTTTTTATAATTCATAAGCTATGCAGTGTACCATACAATACACATCTCGATTTTTTTTCAACTTGTTAGCAGTTATCGCTCAAAGTTGTAAAAAAGTGATGGAATGTTAGCCAAGTTTATAAAATAATATTTAGCTATAAAAGAACTCACTCAGAATCTTTCTTCCTATTTTCCGGTATTTCTGCTTCATAGGCAGTAAGGTAGAATTGTGGAGCTCGTTTTCCTCCTACAATTGATAACCTTTCCTCAGGAGTGGATTGATATCGTCTTTCATCAATGCGACCATTTTGATCTTCAGCTTTGACATACAAGACGTATTCCATGTCAAGTTGAAATGGATCTGACCCTCGAGTACGAACCACTCCTGAACGTTCGTCGACTTCAAACCGTCCACCAGCTGAAAAACAGAAATATTTCTCGATGTTAATACTGTTAACCGTGCTATTACTCAAATTATTAATAATATTTTGTTCATAATTTTCATTTTGTGAAAATAGATAAATTTAAATTTGATAATTATTTGATGTGTTTCGAAAAGGTTAAAAAAAACTTAACTTTAAATGCAGATTTAATGTAAAATCAGACAAATTACAGTAACCGATATTGATTTTTATTTAAAGTACTTATACATTTAAAACTCGTTGGAAATTAATGTTAAAAGTCCTGATTTATTTTTCTTACTTGAACTCCACACAAAATTCAGGAAAATACAAAGATAATTAATGTCAGTCTCTACCACTAGATGGCGAGTACCTTTCCTCTCTTAAAATTCCTCTCTTAACATAATGATGACCCTAAAAGTGAAGCCAATCTATTCGGCCTCTGAATGGTCGAATGACTTTTGACTCGAGTCGAAACGTAATAAAGTGACATTTACGGTCAAAATAACAACTTTTTCGAAACTGACTAAAAAAAAATGTACGCGCGCGGAGCACGTTTAAGGTTACTAGTATCTGTAAATCTGCAAGTAGTAAAGTCAAAATAACTGTATAAATCTAATAACAGTTTTGGGGAGTTCCTGTAATTAATGTAAGATTCATGTTCAAGCATTGATGAAAAAAATATTTTAATGCGATTCAAATAACATTAATTTTAATGATTTTACCGAAAATAAAATCTTAGTGAAGTGAAAAAACTGCCTCCACATTTACACTAATTTAGGAGTAAATATTTTCAACGATGTAGCTTAACACTTCGTTTGCATGATGTTTCGAAATTCGAGACAATAAAATAACATTATTTTGTGCCAAGAGAAAACTTGAATTTTCCGAATAATTAACCTTGCAGATAGGTTTTTTTTCATCTTTTCGAAGTACTTTTAACAATTCTATTAAAGAAATATTTGTTTTATTTTTTAAAAATTGTAAGTATACATACTTCGATCACGAACGATGAAATAATGAATATTGCTGTCTGTATCAGGATCTCGGGCTTGAAGTGTAAAAACGTGTGTATTTGGTGGAGCATTGAGTTGTACCACCGCTTGCATAGGTAATGGCCTATTTACAAAGTATGGAGGCTCGTCGTTTACGTCTTTAATGTTAATAATCACTCGTTGGTTGTCCGTATCTATAAATAATGATTTTTTAATTAGTATTAAACAAATGTTTCGTTTATTTTTCATTATTTTATCGATTTTTTTTCAGTTGTAAAATAGCACTTGATCATCGGGTTTTTTTGGACAAGCATGACTTTTTAGGGTAAATATTTTGAAAATTACTAAAATCTTAGAAAATAAATATTATCACGGAAAAGGAAACAATGAGAAAAAAGTGTTCGTAATTTTTTCTACAAGAATCGACAAAATAAAAACCTTGAATGAAATTTTTTAGTTTGGAATATTTTGAATTAGACTCCATACGATCACAGCAATACAAGAGTTTTCCATGCAGTACTGCCCGAGAAAACTAACTACTAGAAATTTTTTTTACAAATTTGGAAGTTTTTAGAAAAAAAGGCTGCAATACTTTTCTCTCAAATTGCGTTAATAACGAGTGAGCTTTTGTTTTATTATTTTAGATCATTTCGTGTTTTTTTTTCAAGCATCAGACACAGGGCGATGGTATTATGGTTTTCATAAAAAATACTTTAATCACAACTTTTAAAGTGATGCAATTTCTAAAATCAATACTTACATTGATAACCTTTTTGCAGCATAGTAGAAAAAAAAATAATATCCATTAATCATATGATTGATAATATTATTTTTGTGTATTTTAAAATGGTTCGAAAAATTGAAGAAAATTTAAAACTCTGATGTATTGAATTGCTTTATTAAAAATAATTTACCTGTATTAGTTATCGTGACCCAAAAGTCGATGGTTTTTTCGGGCCCAAGCTCTTCGTAATCCCACTTCTGTTTGACTCGTACGGTGCCGTTGAGACCGACCGTAACCCACTTGTTGTCGTCGCGAATTTTGTACGTCTCGCGCTCGTTCTCCTTCTCCAGATGGAAAACGACTTTGCCCTCGCTGTCGCCGTCCGCCTCGGTGAACTCGATCTTCTTGGTCGGCCTGACGGCGCGCGTGACCCTGCGCTTGCGAATCTGGTGAACCTCGTGCAGCATGACGTTGTCCTCGGCCTCGTCGCAGATCTTGGCGTCGACGTCGTTCAAGCTGGGATCGTACTTGGAGGTGGCCGACTTGGAGGTGAGCAGTCGAACGAGGACGCGAGCCGGCACCAGGGCGCTCAGGCTCGATTCGCGGAGATCGCGCACCTGCACGAACAGCTCGATCTCGTGGTCGCGATCGATCGGCAGCTGCGGCTCGTTGGCCAGCAGCAGCTCGCCCGTCTGCGGCTCGATCACGAAGTAGTTGCTCGGCGAGACGAGCCTGTAGGCCAGCGAGTCGCCGTCCGCGTCGGTGGCCTTGACGCGGCCGAAGCGAGCGAAACACCGCCAGCGCGCCTCGCGCTCTCGACCGGCCAGCAGAGCCGCCAGATTTTCCGGCCAGAGCTCGAATTTGTAGTCGGTGCTCTCGAACACCGGCCGATTGTCGTTCTGATCGATAATGCGAACTAGTCCTTTGGCGCTGGCGTAGCTCAAACCGTCCACGTCCTGGGCGCGCAGGAGCACTTGGGACTCGGAGCCGTCCGTTTCGCGATCGAGAGGCCGCGCAGTCACCAGGCTCACCGTTTCGTCCGGTCTGAGGAGGGTCACGTTGAAGCCGGTTTCTCCGGCGGCGGCTTGCAGCATGAAATTTCTGGTGCCATTTTTATCCGGCAGTACTTCGATCCGCACGGGAAAACGTCCTTGCGCTCGCAGCTTCGGTAAGCCTTCCAACGGAGTACCCGCGGCGGCGTTCTCCTCGATCTCGGTCTCTCCCAACGACTCGGGCTGCAATCGCAACAGACTGCTGCGCTCGAGCACGTGCACCTCCAGCTCGTGCGTCTCCGTGCGATTACCGTTGAACTCGTTGTCGAGCAGCAGCAGACGCACCGGCTGACCGACCAGAGCGCTCAGATCGGCGGTGGTCATGAGCAGACCGTTTTCCAGCAGCGTGAAGAAGCGACCGAAGCCCGTCTCGAGCAGCTGCAGCTTGTGACTGCCCGCGAAGCGTTTCACCACGTAGCCCGGATGCACGTCGTCCGGGAGCACGGCCTGGAGACCGGGGGAAGTCTCGACGCTCGGCTCGCTCCACGCGCCCGTTCTCGCGCCCTTCGCCAGGCACAACGCCCCGAGCAGTAGCCACCACATCCTGGATGTCAACATTTTCCAACTGGGCTCGCGACTTTTCACAGCGACATTGACATCAAGAGAGCTTCTTCACCTGAAACGAGACACGCACAACTGTTTGTTACTACACGTTCAGCCTAATTTCAACATTTGAATTGTGCTATATCTATCAAGTTTAAATTAATGAAATTCTTGACAGTCGAAATTTCAATGAAGTATATAAAAATGTTGATATAATTATTTCGATTGAATGTATTAACCACAATCTGCCCTCAATAAATTTACCCGAAATTTGTAAAGTTCACGAAAATTTAACATCATAAAAGTAAGAAATGCCAATTAGATTTTTTAATTTCTTGCGCAGTGATGTCACTAACTGGATTTTTCGCGAGATAAGAAAACCAGGTAAAACTAAAAAATAATTTTTTTAACTGCAATAAATTTGGATGCTCAACACAATTTGAAATTCCATTCCTATTTTTAAAAATCTTATTTTAGTTCTAGAAATTTTTTTCAGGTTGTCATAATAATTTTGAATAATTTTATAAACCATGATTTTTAATTAATACTTATATAAAACAAGTTTTATCTAATAACAAACGTTATTTTTACTCATGTTAGTCAAAAAAACATATAAATTTTACTCCTCTAGAACTCTCAAACTAACTTCCCACGACATATTTTAATAAAAGATAAACTTTATCTAATTCACACATAACATGCTGCATGCACCATTTTTAAGCTAATCAAGTTAAATTAGATAGAGGAAGAATCGCAGAGTACTCGTATTACTCAAAAATAGTTTTTTTTAAATATTGAGAAATTTTCTATCATTGTGCACACATTATTATTTTTCAAAATGTCTAAGAGCTGACTAGTATATTTTTAATATCATAAAAAAATCAATATTTTTTATGTCTATCATATCCATGTCCAAAGCAACAACTAAACTCCTTTAAAAATGTCTTAAAATTAGTTATTATCCAATTATTGACAAACAGTATAGTATATTACATGCATAGGGAGAGAAAAACTGGAAAGCCTCAGAAGCACGGCCGAAACTACGATGAGTATTTTAGAAACCGTACTTTGATTTATACAATTATTTTGACTTTACCATTTGCAGATTTGTAAATAAAGTTGCTCGCCATCTAGTAGTGGAAGCTGGCATTAATTATTATTGAATTTTCATGAATTTTCAATCAAAATGTTATTTGAGTACAAAATTAGATCTTTTTAATCATCTTTTGCATTAAAAATATTTTTAATAATTTTTCCTAGTTTTTTCTGCGGTTGATTTAAAAAAACGTACTGTTACATTAATTTTCAGTTAAAACTTCATGTAAAAGTACCTTAAATAAAACTCAATATCGGTTACATTAATTTTAATGCCTGATTTGACATTGAATCTATTTTAAATTTAAGGTTTTTATTACACTGTACGATGAGTCAGAACTTTGAAAAGTAATAGGCTCTATGAAAATTTATAATGGTCTGGTTTTTGTCTGAGGCATAGGTGTCTCGCATACTTCTTCTTTATTGTACCAACTGACAAATTAACACTCGTATCTTCCCCAATAACCATTATCAACAGTTATGTTCGTGATTTTATGAATTTCGATACACCCTAATAGTGATACAAAAAAATTTTAGTAAATTAATAACTTTTTCTTAGTGATAGGATTCGAACATTTAATTTAAATGTTCGAATCTAAACAAGCATAATTACTTAATGTCCTATGAAACTAAATTAAGAATTTTGTAATACTATATAACACTATTTCAATAAAATTACGACTTTCATGTTTTTAAGGAAGGGCCATAGCAGAACGCAAAAATATTTATGTCTGCACTGATAAATTCCAATGAATGAACTTTTCAGTTATATTATAAACAAAAGAAAAAATTTTATTGATAACGTTGATTTAAAAATTGTTGTTTCAAAGTGGTGCCCTTTAATTATAACTAAAGAAAGAAATAAAACATATCTCAAAAAACAAATTGATTATTAGGGAGTATTTATCAAATTTGTTTCATACAGAAGAATTATGTAAAGAAAATCCTTAGAGCAATTTACAAAAGCCAATGAGCTTAAAATAAAGCACAGACAAATAAAAAAAAATAAAAGCTCCTTTCAGCTATAATTTCCCTCTGTATCGATTACGACATGGTAGATTATCATTTGATAGTACAAAATGGCACGCACACTGACACTTATAAGTCAGTTCACAGCCGTCAACCGAAATTTGCGCTGGCTATTTCTCCTTTAATCTATTCTTGTCGTGTGGACCACAATTTTCGCTCTTACTATCGGCGATGCTCTCGCGCATGCGTCCAGCGTAGTACTCACTCACATGTATATTTTCCTACTATCATACTATGAAAATTTACTACAATTGTAGATTATAGACGATATTCAAATGAATTGGAACTACACAAAATGTATCAAATCTTATTGTACGATCAAAAAGTATTCGTTCAATAAAACTGCAATTATTTTAATTAAAATAAATAAAATCATGTAAGCACACGAACATTTTTTAGGAAATTGAGAAAATTCTACGATACCTAAAGGTATCTCAGAAATCTTAATTTGATTGACATTAATTAAAAATTTTGCTCTTTATAAGTTGTTGGTTTGGCATGAACCTTTGTGAAAATTTTCAAAACTTTTAAATATTTTAATTTAATTTAAAAATAACTTAACTTTTATTCCTACTTCCTACTCAGTGGTTGTTATATTCAATTTTCATACACGCACACACCCACACACATACGCACACGACATCATACATTGTATATACTATATCATGCACAATACATTTCACTATAATTGAAGATGAATAAATATTATTGAACCGAATTTTATTGAATAAAAAATCGAAAAAATTTATTTAAACAATACATCTAGTGCAATTGTCAAAACAAGTGAATTTTGTATCACACGAGAAAAATCGCTGAAGTATAGGTAAATGGGTGGGAGCAGCAACCCCTCGGTGTACCGTCAGGTCGAATACCCTTACGAATCCAGTGCCGTACAATTTCTGTACGTTGAGTTCAACCCAAAATAAATTCGAGCTTATATAAATTTTTTACTTTATAAAAAATGTGCAAATGCATTAATTTATAATTTATACGCGTTTGATGCTGAGATTTTAAATATCTAAAAAAAATTTTAATTTGTCAAATTTTAATAATATCCAGTCAATTAACATTTTCAGAGGCTAATTTTGTCTAAAGTCATAGGAAACTAGATTATTCATAAATTTCACTGCTAATTCAAATGCAATAAAACGCTTACCTGTACGTGAGGGTTAATAAAATGTATTCCCCTTGAAGACTTTCAGACTTTCAAGCTCTGTAAAGCTCGTCTAGTTTGACACTTTGCACACGAGAATACGAACACAAAGCTGAAGCATTATTTGAGAACAGTTTGATATTTTAACAGTAATTCCCATCATTTAATTGACATAAAAAACCATCACTAACACTGAAAGTACTTATAATTGTGCACCGCCGATACAGTCTCAATTTTTGTATACAAATTATGAAGTATAATCGTCCAATGAACCCAATCAAATCGATCGATTGAGGGCCTTGAGGCCGTTTCTCAATACTTCCGGCATGCAGAGGCGAATGTTATAGTGTACCTGCAGCACTGATATTCTAAAGGCGCGGCGATGGGCACTGTGTAGCTCTGGAAAACATCTCTTGCATGGCTCGGTCGATAGATCGTGTACGCTCTGCCGTCGTGTCCCCACCCACGGGGCTGCAGAGAGACGCGTGCGCATGAAAATAGTATTCAATGATTGCTATTCTGTTCGCCGTACGCTCCCCCGCCCGCCCTCTCAATATATCACCATCACCCTAAACATTTGGCAGTTTCGCAGTCCTTTCATTGTATCCCATGGTATATGAGCGACTATGCGAGCTAAGAATTCTTCCAGCTCAAGAAAGCCCTGTAATTTTTGTCCGTGCAAGAATTGACAACGAAAATTCGAATTCCACCATTACAATTCATTATCGCATATAGTTTATTGACCCGTTTTTGAATTTAGTATCTAATGTAAATATAAATGTTCAAAGCATTCAGTTTTTTATGCTGCTTTTTTTATACTTTAAAATTCAAATACACAATTCATCAAAATTAAATGTTCTTTATTAACAGATCATACAAATTATAACGAAAAAATTTCCGCATTGTTGATATGTATTTTTAACGGTTTTTTTTTTTTATAAAAGTACGTATTTTATGTTTATAGGTGCTATAAAATCTAATTGAAGAGAATTTTTTTACAGACTATAACTTATTTTATATTCTCACAAGTTTACAGCTTTGAAAGTATATTCCTCCTTCATAAAATCATTTAGTTTACGAAACATTTTGAATCGAATTCAATGTCCTTAACTCAATTAACTATGACAGAATTATTTATATTATTTAAATTTTTGGCATGGTGTCTATAACAAAATTCATTTATGCGAAGGCAAGCTTCTTCCAATAAATGTTTGGGTATTGTGATTACTAATCTCATATACGATGGATAATCGAAACACTGCAAAATAAATAAATTTTAGCAAACTAATGAAAAACAAATGTTTAGTAACCAATTAGCTTGTATAATTTACTTGTCCTGGTAAGCAGAAAACTGATTCTTCGGCTAGTAATGTTTTTACAAATTGAAGCTCAGAATCAAACTCTGGAAAGCTGGGTAGATCGATATGAACCTGCGAAAATTCATTGATGACATTTTTTTCATGAATTATTTCGATTTCCTTATGTAGTGAGTCATAATAATCAAAAAATAGTCAAAGAATAAGTATTATTTCTAGTCAATATAAATGTGATGTCTCTGATGAGTTTTATCTCTTCCTTCTACTGTCGTACTTTTTTCCCCATTGGCGTTGGCTCGAGCACAACGATCAATAATATGAAAACAGTTACAATTATACTTAATACTTTTTTTCAACTAATAAAAAGTTACTTTGTCAACGTCCTTCAATAAAAAAATGTAGTGTATGAATTTTATTACCTTAATATGGAAAAAAAAATTTAAATATTTTATGGTTTAGTAACAATTTATTATAGTTAGCCCAACAATATTAATGTTATTTTGGCAACTACAATTATCAGAGATAAATTTTAAGTTACTACTTTTCTAACTTAGTAATAAGCTATGGGTACACTTCGAATCTTACCACTTCGGTTTCAAGAGTTCATCTCTCTCGAGAATTAAAACTAATTTAATTTTTAGCTAGACAGTAAGTTTCCCTGAGATGATGGTTATTTTAAAACTACATTACGTCTTCAATTAATTTACGTGAGATAAATATTCTTTCAATAATATTAAAGTTTTCATTGGTCTGCATACTTGTAAACATAAGTGTGTTCAAAAATAGCTACTAAATTTAGTAATTATTTGATACATTCACGAAAAATGAAAAATTCCATGTACAAATGAAATTAAACAAAAAATCAATTATTTTTATGAGATTTCAATGCATCCATTTTTGTAAAACATATACAAAACCTTACATATTTATATTGCTCTTTATTCTGTGAATACACGACTATCCTTCATACATCATGACAAAAGAAACAAAAAATTGAAAATAATAGATGTAATTATGTTACAACTCACCATCATGTACATCGCCCCATCCGGCATGATAGGTTTGAGCCCGGAAATTTTCGAAAGTAGTTCATAAGCTAATAAAGCATGAGTCTGTAATTATTGAATGTATAACGGTCATGAATTAAGTTAAAAAATTTGAAATATTGTAAATGGCTGAAAAAAGTGAGGTATTATTCCATAAAACTAAATCCAATTTTAAAAAATTCAGTTCATAAAAGAGTTAAAAAGTATGAATAAACTATAGAGTCCCGAAAGTTACAGCAACGAAACTTTACAATTGGTTTAAGGATAAACTTTATAGTGTAGGTACAAATAAAGCTTTCTCTCACTTTTAGTTTTATGATTTACATATGATACAAAGGAAAAAATATTTTGAACAATAATTTTTGAACCGGTAAAAAATGTTACGCGTGACTTCGCGTGTATACTGAACAGGAATTGTACAACTTAAACTTCGTGCACGTAAAGGTATTTCGAAATCAATTTTACCTTCAATTGTGAAGCGATAATATTAAAAAGTGATCAAGTTTACTCATATTTTCAAATTTTGATGAGTACAATCTTACAATATAATAACGCTCCTATCCCATTTTTATTGACGAAAATTAATTGAACCGAAGTAACATTTAAAACTAAGTATATCAATTTTTAATGTTTACATTTTTATTCGGACTTTATACAATTGTATTAAATTTAAAACTGTAATGACCGTAAACTTCTTTAGAAAGTGTTGGATGTAAAGTAAAGAAAAATTAAATCCGCGTATTAGTATTTTTAAAAAATTGAAAATATCATCATCAAATTATGAAAAAAATATTAGTTAGCTTTATTGATTGATTACTTCATTAGCTGTGCATGCATGATTTAAAAAAGTTAATTAATCTTACGTTTAAAGTTAATATAACGTCTTCAAAAAATTGTTGCGGAGTATTTTTCAATATTTGTGCGAGCGCTCCTTGGACAATGGTGTTACTTCCAATTATTCTTTGACTCAGGCAATTTAAAGCGTTACGTATCTATAAATAACAACAAAATCACACGGATATTATCTGTGTACAAATGGTATAAGTGTCATTTTTCTAAATAGTGCTGTACAAATATTATAGTTAATTTTATGTAACGGCTTTGCGTAGTACAATTAAGTACGTATAATCATAAGCGTGTAGTCCAATAACCACGGTAAAGTGCAAATATTTTAATTTAACATTAAAAAAATTGAAAATATTTAATAACTCACTTCTTCGTTTAAAATATGATGTCGATCGTGTATAATTATCCAGCCCATTCTCCAACCAGGTACTAAAAATCTAAATTAAAGACCAATATTAAAAATAAAATTTTAAAAAATGTCAACTATTTAAAATAATTGTTTAATTTATTTTGAAAAAAATTCTCTTCATTTCAAGACGTAATTTGAAGAAACCAAATCTTTTGATTTTGAGTTTGAATCTACATAGCAATTAAATTATCCATCAAGGGCTGTAAAACAAAAGAGGAAAGTAGTAGAAACGTTTTGTTTTGTTATCTGATTAAATCTTCAAAGACTGAAAATTGAATCATGCTTTTCGATCCAAAGCCTTGAAATTTCACCTTTAAAGAGAAATGAAAGATTTTTCGTTTGTAGATTTGAAAATGTCATCTAGTGGTAGAATATAACACTACTCAACGAAGCAATGACTTATCAAAGACACCTATTAAATGATATCATACCCAACGAAAATGTACTTATATACTTAAAAATACTTAAAATAATTCATTTCATAGATTTAGACCAAAAAAAGATTATCCGAACATTCATTATTCAAAAAGTTCCTCATCCCTTAGAGGACTAGCATTTTAAGAATCTCAAAAAAAACTTTAGTTTTGGAATAGAAAAAATATTTTTTCTCTTTTTGATAAATTAATTCTTCAACTCATACCTCTTTGTTAAGCCACTGCAAGATAATATTGGAACTTCAGTAGACACAGATGCCAAGGAACAAAATATTTTTCCTGGAAAAACCTAATCAAAACAAAAATGAATAATACATTTTATACTAACATTCAAATTTTTTAGCAGACCATTTTCTTTGGGTGCGTGTATTTTAATGTGCAAGAATATTGCAAAGTACATGTGAAAATGGAGGGTGAATTTTTGGATACAGGTATAAGTCACAATAATCTTTTTTAGTTATAAAAATGTCATTCAAAATTCATCTAATTCATTCTCACACCATTATATAAGTCGCATTTTACTTCAAATATAATTTAAATTAATTTTCTTATAATGATTCCTGTGAAAAAAGTTCAATGTTTGTTAAAATAAATAATATTACAAGATAATCAATATTAACCCCAGCGGTCGAGATATTTGTCTTTCATACCAAATTATAAAAAAAAATCGTATATACAGTACGGGAGAAAGGAGAGAATGTCTTAGATCACATGTTTATCACTCGATGCTTCGGCCTGGGACATTTTTTACTTTTCCTCCATTATTGTGTAATATACTATGAAAATACATGACAAGCACGCAAAATATATTAAAAAATTACCATGTGTTCGTAAATTTCATCTGCGATTATTGGAACGTAGTATTTAGCTGCAACTTGAAGAATATCCAATAAATGATCACGACTAAATACAGAACCGCAAGGATTTGAAGGATTGTTAATAATTATAGCTGCCGTGGATTCATCAATCTGAGCTTCCAAGTCATTGAGATCTATCTCCCATCCAAATTCAGGCTAAAAAAATGTAATACCTTTTATAAGTGTTTAAATTCAACTTTAATTTAGCCTAAACTTTAGCTCAAAGTAAATTCGATGCAGCACTTTTTTTTTTAAATCACAAATTTGCCAATACTGTTAAGCTCTTGTGCTATAAAATTGTATGCAACTTTTGTAGCAATATGATTTTGCAACATAACTCGTGATGAATTTGCATTTGGTTCGTACCACAATTCTACGATTCGCACACATACGCGAATATTCTAACGAAAAGTTGAGACTAAATGGTGTAAATAAAGTTCGATTAGATCTTACTTGAAGGTTGTATGACTTAACGGTTATGCCCAATCCTTCTGCTAGTGTGCGATAAATTGAAAATCCTGGTCTAGGTATAATAATATTTTGACCTTCTCTTGCCAACGCTGTAATACATAGGTCGAGGGCACTTGAACAACCGCTACACAATACTACGTCCTGTAAATTTTTATTGACTGTAAATGACACTCGTTAATTGTGTAATACATTTTATGTAGTTTAACGTGGCGAAAAAGTTCACAAAAATTTCAAAATTCATAGCCACATTCAAACAACTCACTTTGAATTGGACATTAGTAAATTCATTTGAACTGTATTCAGCCACGGCTTGTCTTGCCTCTTTATAACCTGACGAAAGAATAAAATAAATCTTTCAAGTTTTTCTATGAAAAAGATGTCAATCTATTTGCATAAAACCAATTTTCAAATCTGTTTCCTGAAATGTCTATTAAACAGTATCGGAAAAGATTTAAGACTGCCCTTGAGAATATCAAAAATGAAGAGCCCCATAATGCACTTGAGGAAAATTTTTGACAGATTTTCAGAAAGTAGTATTGAAAAATTGATTTTGGCCTGGCATTGACATCCCTTTAAAAAAAGAATAATTTTTCCTAATATACCTGTGCTTGGGGCATACCCATTATATAATTGTGAATCAATACTTTCATGTACAGCTTTTATCACTTCTTTTGGTGGCTTCAAGTTTCCGAATGTGGTTGGATCACCTGGAAAAAGGATTATAACTTTTAAAAAACGCAAAAAAATAATTTCTTTGTTCATTAAATTACGTGTAATTAACTTATGTAATGTTTCGAATTATTCATAGGAATAGTTCATCCTAGGAAAGGTAATAAAAGCGGAAGAACATTAATTCAACGAGCAAGCAATGGAAAAACTTGGGACTAATGAGAGACTCAAAAGCTTAGATTGACCATGACTTTAGAGATTTGAATGTCAGATCAACTCTAATTGCATATTGGTTTTGGTGCGTTAACCCGTTACGTTACGTAATATCGTTATTACATTGAGACGCAAAAACACGGAACATTGATCTTGATGTAGAGTATAAAAAAACAATGAAATGCAGAGTCATTTTGTGCATCGAGACTGCAACTACGAAATAAACAGACTTAATCAGTGACATAACATAAAGCTGGCATGGTTCCCGGCAGGTAGGTAAAAAATTGAGAACTTAATTAGCAATGATCTGGTTCATAGGTCTGACGGTAGACTTCTAAAAGAGGACTTTTTAGAGAATATTTTTTCGTAAAACAAGAGCGAGTCTATCAGGATATTACTGCAACGTAATAAAACGTTTCTAAAAATCTCGTAAAAAATGATCTCGTTTTTAGTTTAGAAAGATATATTTATCTATATTTAAATCTACAATCTACAATATATGAAAAAATTCAATCTCAATAAAAATTATATCGAGTTTTATTTTTGTAATACATAAAGTATTATTGTAGTATCAAACGAGGCAAATATGATTTTTTAACAAAACTCATTACAGCACTCGCGTTCGGCTCGTGCTATAATCCCTCGTTTTGCTAAAAAACCATAACTACACCCATTAAAAAATATATTATTTAAATTACTTTTGAAAATTCTTATTTCAATCTTCGAAAATTTTCTAGTCCTGAGATATTTTTCAAAACAGTATAAAAACATCTTTCTTCGTTAAAAACGTGTTTTTTATTTTAATCATTCTTTATCAAATGTACAATCTCAATTGAAAACAACTTATTCATTATACTTATCTATATCTATTTGCAACAAAATTAGCAGTAAAACTAATCAAAAACAAAAACATTACTAAAAATTTGATTCATAAAAACTCACCGATTGATAAAGCAATGAGTTGTTTATCTGGATTAGGCTCGACTACAATATTTTCCACGATAGATCTTATTGGATTGTGCGTCCTTTTTGCAATGAGGGATGCTTCAACATTCCAGTTGTTTCGAAAATTTTTTCGAGAATTTTTAGACATGATTGTAAATAGCTTAAGTATTGGATGAAATAATAGCACAATTAATAAAAACTTTAGCGCATAATTTTTTAATTACCACTTTTAATGTATCACTTCATGTAACAAAGTGATTAATCATTAACCTTTTTTCTACACTGTTAATTGACTAATTGGGCGGATTTTTAAATTAGTAAAATATATTGTTGGGGTACGAAGTAAAAATTCAGTTTTGACTGAATTGATTCTTATGAGTTTCTGCAGATACTTGTAACAAGTCGAGACAAGAAAGCTGGAGGACGATTGAACCGGTCTGATCGGTGAACACTCCTTTTACAAACAGGAATATCGTTCATTTATCATTCATTTTATTTTTGCTATTTTGTTTGAATGTTTTAAATTTTACACAAAAATTTTAAAATCGTTCGATTGAAGACGTCATATTCGGTTTACGAGTTAGAAAAAAAATTGTTTTTCAATTGGTATTACCTGCAAGATCTATATCTTCATAAATAGTATTCATGATTTTTATTTCAAGTGCACGGCAGAACATGCATGCAAATCTTCTTGTTTATAAGTCGTAACTAACGAAAAGTTATTTAATACTTATAATGCATCATTGTAGAGAAAAATATTTTAAAAAAACCTCATAAACATGACTCAAAATAAACTTCTAATAATATTTTCAAACTACTATCTTTATGAATTTCTGAGAAAGTTTTTCTATATAATATAATCGTTTTTCGTTTATCAACTCAAAATCATAACGAATATTTTTGACGTCTTTTTGATGTAAGAATTTTGTACTTTATAATTCTGCTTTTACAACCTTTATCAAATAACATTAAGGTGGGGCCCTCCGTATAGTTGCTGTGAACAACTGCGTCAAATTTTAGCCGATTTCATCAGGTAATTTTCCCGGAAAAAAGATCAAAATTTTTGACTACTGTTTTCAGTATAAAAAATTTTGATCCTGTTTTCCGGAAAAACAATCCGATGAAATTGGCTGAAATTTTGCGCAGTTGTTCACAGCAACTTTACGGAGGGCTACACAGTGCTATTTTTTTGAAAATCAGCCTAGATAAAAAATTATTTAAATTTACATTTTTAATGCTTGGCCGGTCAAAATCGGGTCTTTGGCATCACCTTAATAAAAAATGAACTGGTGTGCAACACATAAAAAAAGACCTTCCTAAATTTGACAAATGGTTGCAAATTTGTGAAATGAAGAATTTTTATAATGAAAATTTAATTCTCTTGCTGACTCGAATGAAAATGTTGAAATTTATATATGAACTGTGAGCAGTTTTTCAACTTTTAACATGAAGTACGATAAAAATGTTTCAATGAAATGAGTAGTAAATTTTTTGCAATCACTTTACTACAAAATAAAAATTTCAGATTGTACATTTTTTCCTGTGACTATTAAAACAACTACTAATTTCAAAAAGTTTAAGACTCAAGAAAATAGTAGTAATAATAGTAGATATTGGCACCGCATGACACCGATTTTCGCGTGATGTAAGTTTCACGTTGAGACTCCACAATGTGTTTATAAAACACTCGCAGCACAGGTGTGCTAACCTCACACATTCCGTCGCTATCGTTATATTACAACAACAAAGGACATACGTGCGAATTTTCTCAGGGCCTATCCTATCCTATAAAAGTGGTGAGGATTTTGGCGTTAGCATTTTATACGCGCTGTGATTGGTTGTTCAGTAGCTTGCTTTTGTTTTGTAGCGCACAAATACGAGTATTATAGTAAGTTAAGAAAGTGGAATATTAGCCTACGGACGGCTGAAGACTAATTTTGATTGGTTTTCTCGAGGAGACGCTGAGGTGAAAAGCCGACCTATTGCGTATTTTTACAGTTTATAACATAACCTTTATTTAATTTTTTTATTTTAAATATTGAAAAATGGCAAAACGGAATGAGAAAGAAGAGAGTGCGCGAAGCGCGCTGAAAGTCGGGCTAGTATAAAATAATGTATCATACTTGGAGCATGTTGAGCATATTCATAAAATAAAGTGTACCAACAGAATTAAATGTCACTAATGACTTAAAAATCGTAATTTCTATTACAAAAAAAGTGTAATAGTGCGTAGCAGCTTACGGCACGGTAAAATCCTAAATTTTTAAAATTTTCACATTGGGAATTAGAAAATATAGAAGTATTCTCTATAAACATGCAGTTCAAAGTAGATTGATAAAAACACAAAATCACCATCACCAGGCTCCTCGAATTTGTGAATGAAAAACATTTCACAAAAATTCACGCACAAAAAACTATATTATTAATCTTAGCGATTATTCATATCGCAGCTTAACTTGCACAAGTTCTGCTAAAGTAAGCTCGATTTAAAGAAAGCTTTTTGATTAAAAAATAGAGCTTGCGTTAATCAGAGCTTGTATTAAATACAATGTATTTATAGGATTTGTGCTCCTAAAAATGAGATTATTCCGATCTATTCTTATGTACAATTTAAGATTCCACAGCTAAAATATGCAATAAGCGCACATACAAACATTTTTTAGGAATCAATCTAGTTTACAAGTACGTTCAAAACCAAATTGTCCCACAATATCTGGTTCTAAACACTTTTCCGAGCTTTTCACAGAGCTCTCTACAAGAGTGCCAAACCACGAAAATGAATAGAGTATTTTTTGTATAATTCACTTATTCATAAGTTTTTTCGTTCTCAAAATTGATTTATTATTAATGCATCTTTAAATTTTTCTGTCATCTCCATTACAATTTTATCGAAAGGGACTTATGGTTCAGATCACCTTGCCTGGAGTTGTGATTATAACCATCGGTATTTCGAAGAAATATATACCGACTTAGCGCTGTAGCTCAATAAACTACGTAAAAGTTTTTACTTTTGAAGCTCCTAAAAGCCCTTAATAGCTAATTTCGTTGCATTTCTTCGGCAAAACTGAATGGTAAATTTTAACTTTTATTATAATGCCACGTTTCGAAATCAGGAATTCAATATTATTTTTCAAAAAGGCTAAAAAATATGTAATGAAAAATAAATATTTGTAGAAATTTTAATTTTGATTCTCTATTTAATTTGTATTTTGTTAATTTTATTAATGAATAATATAAACATAAAACAATGAAATAAAGATAAAAATTACAGCTTATGATTTATTCACATGCGGATTTATATTAATGCGATTGAGTTTTTCTAGACGTTTTATAAAATAAATCGTTCACTTTATTGAATTATTTATTTAAAAAAAATTTTGTTGTTAAAGTTACAATTAAACTTACTGGTCTTAAACTACCATGATTAAGTGCCACGTATTTTATGTGAAATAAAACAATAAATATGATTACGACAATAATGGAGAATATATTTTTCAAGTATTTATATATAACTAATTGATATTACTCCAGTAAATATAATATTTTTGGTTTGTTTTTGCTCATCCAAATATTGTTTACTAAATTATATTCAAATACAATAATAGAACAATACTAAAAACAGCAAATTGTAAGGGCTCGACAAAATTTCATCAATTTATGTTGCCCTTTTTAACTGCAAAACATATTTAATGGGCACATACAATTTTCAATGATTGATTCATGATACTGAAGTAACAGTCATTTAAAATTGAGTTTCTTATTTTTAATTGTTATATTTAGCATATACAATAAATGCATATTCAATAATGTCAATCTAAATCGTGTGATTTATCTGCAAGTTGAATATTACGTATTTTTCAAACACACTTGGCAACGACTTATTCGAGAACGTAGATTTCCCGCTTTGAGGGTCTGCTTTTCAGGTTTTTGGAATTGATCACGATCTTCTATCGTAGCCATCCAAAAACTGAATTCGTTGGCGTAGTAATGGCAATGTCCTTTAGCTCCATTGCATTCGATAAATGGAGTCGCTCTGAAGTCTTCGAGACACGAACCAGGACTAGATAACGATTGCCCACCACCTTGCGAACCAGCACCAGTGTGCTATAAAGATAACATTTATTATAGATTTCATGTGAAAAAAATTCAAGTTTAACTTCTGATAAAAATTAAGATGATATTTTACCATGACAAAACTATATCCAATCCAGAGACCTGACCATCCCTCAGGGCACTCAGGAATGTTCAAAGATTGACTATGTACTGCCAATACATTAGCAGGAACTTCACAAACGACACATCTGTAATGAAAAAATTTATTATTATTCTTATATGAAATTTCAAAGCCCGAACTCGAAAAATTATTGAAATTACTTCGTCTAAAACATTCAGAGATAATTATAATGTGTATTTTTTGGTTATTTATTATAGTAAGTTAAGTTCCTTACCTAGATATATATTCTTCTATATGATGTTCCTCGACTGGCATCATAGGTATGGGGCTATTTGTTGATAACCAATAAGACCGATCATTTCGACTTGCATAGTGGCATACACTATTTACGTCACAAAACAAGAATGGCATCGTAGAGAATTTCCGTACACAAGAACCAGAGTAACCTATTATATAGTAATTGAAAACATTAAAGTAATAAAATAAACATAATCGTATAATTTTTGAGTCATCATCATTTGATATCGATCATTTTCGCTGTTTAAAATAATTTTTTACCTAAATCTTGAGAGTGAGCTCTTTCATCTCCATCAGTGTAAAGTAACGAATATCCATCCCATAATTTTATATGTCCTTTTTCACATTCAGGCACGAATTTACTTTGACTGTGTTTAACGAGTAATATTCCAGTCAGGTAATCTGGTTGTGTTTCACACGGAAGGCCTGGTTCACCTGGAACTCCAGGAATACCTGGTGGTCCTGTCAAACCTTGCGGTCCTGGAGGACCCAGTAAACCAGGATTTCCTCGTAAGCCGGGAGGTCCTATCGATCCAGGTAGACCCGGTTCACCTTTCTGTCCGTCTAATCCTGGTAATCCAGGAAGTCCGTGGTTACCCTTTTCACCCAACATTCCTGGAGCTCCCATAGGTCCTACGATTGAAAAATTGAAATATTCATGAAAATCATATGAGTTTTTTAAAAATAAAATTTGGTCAAAAATAAATGAAAAATTATGTACCTGGGAATCCACGGTCACCCTTTTCACCTTTGCCCATCGGTAATGCTAAGCATGCATCGCCTTTATCACCTTTCGGACCCGTAATACCATCTATACCCATCTTTCCGTCATAGCCTGGTAAGCCAGGATCACCTTTTTCTCCTGGAGGACCTCGTAAGCCTGGAACTCCATCCCAACCTCGATCACCTTTTTCTCCCGGTATTCCATCCTTGCCTTCTCGACCTATAATAAATGAAAGAATTCATAGCAAAATTATTTAAAACGACTTCATCTATAGAACTTCAACATAAAAGTCATGACTTTAACGCTATTTTCTGGCTCTCATGCTATAAAATCTTGTATGCAACACGAGTAAATGTTTTTTCACTAAAACTTAGGGCAACCCATCGTTTAAAAAAAAAAATATTCACACTCAATAAATAAAGTATAATATTTGATACTCTACCTGGGAATCCTCTGTCTCCTTTTTGACCAGGAGCTCCAAACAGACCGGGTTGACCAGGTTCTCCCTTGTAACCTTTGTCACCTGTTAAACCTGGTAATCCTTCGAGTCCAGGACTGCCATCTTTTCCTGGGGGTCCTACAGGACCCGGTAGTCCCATATCGCCTTTAGGACCAGGAGGACCTAAAGGACCCGGTAGTCCAGGCTCTCCTTTGATACCTGGTAAACCAGGTAATCCCATGTCACCTTTTATACCTGGTAAGCCTGGAATTCCATCTCGACCTGGCCTTGCAACTGAACCTGGTAAGCCTTTGTCTCCCTTCACTGTTTTACCAGGAGGCCCAGTAAAACCTATAGGTCCTCGATCACCTGTGAAAGAAGCATTTTTATTTTAATGTGTGAATATCTTCGGGATGAATGAAATACATTATCAGAATTTTATGATGATTGATCTTTAGTACCGTAAATCCTAGAAATGTTGATTTTTTTAAGTTTACCCAATGGAATTTAAAATCTGTTGGCATTTAATTTTTAATTATTCGTAAATATTTACCTTTGATTCCTTGAAGTCCGTGCGGTCCTGGATATCCAGGCATGCCAATACCACCCTTGTCACCTTTTTCTCCAGGAGGTCCAGCTGGACCAGGGAATCCGATATCACCTTTTTCCCCGTCTCGACCTGGGTAACCTGGTAATCCAGGTTCACCTTTTTCTCCCTTTACATTGATGGTAAGACCAGGTGGTCCTCTATGTCCTTTTTCTCCGGGTACTCCAGGATATCCTATTGGGCCTTCAAAACCTGCAGGTCCAAGCTCTCCTTTTGGTCCATCGAATCCTGGACGTCCTGGTGGACCTACTTCGCCGTCTAATCCAGGAAAGCCTGCAATACCTTGAGGGCCAATATCTCCCTTTTCACCATCTACTCCATCTAATCCAGGCAGGCCAGGCTCTCCTTGGGGTCCAATGAAACCCTGAATTTTAATATAAGTTAATATAATTAAATATAAGTTTTAATCTTAAAGTTTTAATAATTATATTTTAATAATTAATTTAGATACAATATTGCATATCCACGCAAACACATAAATAATATAAACTATTTTGTTCAGTTCACCATTTATATTAATAATGAGTTTATAAATAATACTAACTTTTTCGCCTTTGAGACCTGGGTAACCACGGAAACCGATATCGCCTTTCATTCCTTTTTCACCTGAGATACCATCTCTTCCAGGTAAGCCAGGCTCACCTTTTTCACCAGGGAGCCCATCGCGACCATATCCAGGCAGACCCGCTTCTCCTTTTTCTCCATCAATACCATCTCGACCAGTCAAACCTGGTGGTCCTCTTATACCTGGCATTCCTGGTTCGCCTTTCTGACCTTTTTCTGAAACTTGACCAGGATCACCTTTTTGACCCTAAAATCATAATTAAATGTTCAAAAATTATACTAATTGTTATTTTACCATTTATTATATTTAGTTGTTAATTTTCACGCATCTTACCGTGAAACCTCGGTCACCAAGATCTCCTTTGTCTCCAGGTGCTCCAAGCGGTCCCATTGGACCAGGTTCACCAGGGTATCCTATATCACCTTTAGGTCCTTGTTCTCCTGGTTTTCCTGGCTTTCCATCTATTCCAGGCATACCTGGGAAACCTTGGAATCCTTTTTCTCCTCGCTCTCCTTTTACACCCGGTGCTCCATCAATACCAGGACGTCCTGATGAAAAGATTCATTTTTATCGATAATACTTTAAACTAAGATACTTTTAAATAAGTATACCCAGGTGAAAATAGTATGTCAGATCTGACTCCAGATCTGGCATCAGATCTGGTGTAAGATCTGATAAATGTACGCCAGATCTGATACCAGATCTTGTATTCGATAATCGACATCAGAACTTATATCAGATCTGACATCAGATCTGATGTCAGATCTGAAGTGACTGTATTGCCTTTAATTAATTAAACAATAACTTTATTAATAATTAAATATTTATAACAAATTTAGTTATATTTTAATAATCACATCGATAATACCTTTAAGAAAAATTCCTACAATATTTAGGTTTCTGATAATGTGAATTTAAATTGATTCAACAACTTTTATTATTAAGATTTATTATAAAATTTTAATTATTAATAAACTTATTGTTTAAATAATTGAAGGCATTACAGTCACTTCAGATCTGACATTAGATCTGATGTCAGATCTGATATAAGTTCTGATGTCGATTATCGAATACAAGATCTGGTATCAGATCTGATGTCAGATCTGGTGTATATTTGTCAGATCTTATACCAGATCTGATGCCAGATCTGGAGTCAGATCTTACATACCATTTTCACCTGGGTATAATATTAAAAAAATTTCCGAGAAAATGAAGAGCCTGATCAATAAAAATTGATATATATTAGGCATTAAAAAATTAATTTATTGTTTGTGTTTAAATTTTGGACTTTGATTTTTATATCCACTATATTTGATGTCGTTATCGTATATTGATACAAACTGTTTAATAATTAAGCAAATATTGATTTTACCTTGTAAACCAGGTGGCCCTCTTCTTCCTGAAAAGCCTTTCGGTCCATCAATTCCAGGCACTCCCATATCTCCCTTTGGACCAGGTAAACCCGTTAAACCAGTTCTTCCAGGTTCTCCAGGTATACCTTGTTCTCCTATTTTTTTTTTTTTTATTAAAATTTTTTATTAGTTACTTATGGAATCTCAAAATTTATAATTAAAAATCTTATAAATTTATTGCAGACATCACTTATATTAACCTTTTAAACCATCCGTTCCTGGTGTTCCCATTATTCCTGGAGGCCCTGGTGGACCCAGTGGTCCAGTATCTCCTTTATCTCCAGGTTTTCCTGGAATACCATTGTATCCAGGCTCTCCCAATTCTCCCTTTTCTCCCGTCAATCCAGGTAAACCTGAATGACCAATGGGTCCTTCCTTTCCTTCTGGGCCTGGCAAACCCATATCACCTTTGGGACCTTGAGGACCCTGTAATCCTTGAATTCCCTTGACCGATATACCAGCTTCTCCTTTATGACCTTTCAGGCCTGGTAAACCTGGGAAACCTCTTTGACCAACCAGACCTGGCTCTCCCGGAAATCCTATTGGTCCTGTGTTTCCTTTTTCTCCTCTAGGGCCTGGCAAACCTCTTGGACCGACTGGTCCAGGAACTCCGAGTAAACCTGGTGGTCCTGGCAATCCCTAAAATAAGAAATGTACTTTAAGCACTCTATTTTAAGAGATATGATATTTTTTTGAACTAAAACTCACTATGTCACCCGGGTAACCTCGATCACCTTTTTCGCCATCATACCCAGGATTTCCTGGTTCACCTTTAGGACCTCTATCTCCAGCAGGTCCTTTCGATACATGTTCAATATTTAAAGGTGGACATATTCCTATATTGATCAGGACAACAAAACACAAGTAAATTTAGTATCTATGACATGAAAGAATCATTGATTTATTAGGATTATTTTTTAACCTGCATCTCCTTTCATTCCAGGAAAACCTGGTTCTCCTTTTTGACCTGAGAACCCATCACGACCTCTTTCACCTTGATCACCTTTGATACTCAATCCCGTTTCACCCTTGCTGCCTGATATACCAGGTCGACCGGGTATACCATCTTGTCCAGGGAAACCAGCATCACCCTATATAACAATGTATTATGCATAATTATATTGAATTTAATACTTTAATATTTCTACGACAAACCTTATCTCCTTTTAGACCTGGAAACCCTGTACTTCCTTGCACACCCTTTTCACCTACTGGACCAATAGGTCCAAACGGCCCAGGCCTACCCAATTCTCCTCGTTCACCTTTTTGCCCTTTCTCCGTATTGAGCTGTTCTTTGCTAATAAGACAGTCTTTTCCAGACTCTCCTTGAGGACCAGGTGCGCCAGGTGTACCATCATTACCCTATTCATATGAATAATTTAATTTTTATTCGTTACGTTAAATTTTAATTTGTGCAAAGAGAATAGTAATAAAAATATAAATGTGCCATTCTTAAAAGAAGGCATTTTATTTCTGATCAAATGAAAAGTATTGATCATTTTCAAGTTCATGTTAAAACAAATAGAAATTTCTTTTCAACTGGAACAGGTAGCCGGAATATTCTTTTGAAATCAACGCAAATGTTATAACAAATCTTAATAATAAAATATAATTACCCTATTTCCTGGAGGACCTGTAGGTCCCGGAAGACCATCAAGACCAGGCTCACCAGGAAATCCTCTTTCTCCAGGGGGTCCTCGAGCACCTGGAAATCCATCTTTGCCATCGATGCCTCGATCTCCTTTAGCACCTTTGATTCCTGGGAAACATTGTGAACATTTTCCACCACTGTCTCCTTTTTCTCCCATTGGTCCTTGAAAACCAAACATTCCATCTTTTCCTGGTAAACCTGGTTCTCCTGGAAGACCTGGTTTTCCTGGAGGCCCAGGTATTCCTTCTAACGAATCACCAGGTCTACCTCGAGGACCTGTGTAGCCTTTTTCTCCTTTTTGACCCTTACTTCCATCTCTTCCAGGTACACCATCCATACCCGACGGACCCTTGAATCAAATCATTTTATTAGGCTATCATTCATAATTAAAATCATATTTTTAAATTTATATCACTTTATGACAATGAAAACCGTTTCAAAAAGTTTTTACATTTCATTAGAGAGAAAAAATGTCAAAATAAGTAGTTCGATATTTTCATATTTCAGTTATAAAAATAAAAAGAAACGTACAACAATAGAAAGACCCTTTTCTCCTTGAGGGCCCCTAAGTCCTGGAGGTCCTATAGCTCCCGTGAATCCTCGGGGTCCTACTTCGCCAGGAAAACCATTTAGACCAGCGTCACCTTTGTCACCCTTTTCACCTGGTGGACCTTCTGACCCAGGAATTCCCGGTAAACCAGGACCTCCAGCTGGTCCAACGGGCCCTCGTGGACCAGGTATTCCTGGTAATCCATCTGCTCCTCTTATACCAATAGGTCCCGGGTATCCTCGAGGTCCTTTTTCGCCAGGTGGACCAGGTTGTCCTTTTCCACCCTAAAATTAATAGAAAAGGATTTTTATTGAACCCCCTTAATTAATAGTCGCCTTGTAACTAGATCATCTTTTGACTTCTAATGCGGTCAATGTTCCTCTATGAAGGCAAAAGCTAATGAACTGTAACAATTTCCCGTCGTCAAAAAACGTACACTTATAAGAAATCTTTTTTCCGGAAATATCAAAGAATCGTGCAAACTGCAACAATTTTTCGTTGGCAGACTTCTGATTTTTGACAATTTGTTATAAAACGATTCTATCAATATATTTGGGTATTTTATAAAGCCTTGTAAGTGGTTCTTTATTACTGAAAAAAAGATGTATACTCTTCACGTCTTAACCAAAAATTATACGTATTCAAATACATTTTCGTTATGCAAGAATGATTCACGTACGTAGGATCAAAAAATGAGCCGGTGCCGTATGAGAGTTTATGCAGATAAATTTGTACTATATGAATTAAAATAGGATTTATTTTGCAACTTACTCCTGGAGGTCCTGGAGGACCTCTTAGACCCGGTATTCCAGGTAATCCAGCTGGACCTGTATCACCTTTTAATCCTGATGGTCCAGGCAACCCATCGACTCCATCATAGCCTCTGTCTCCTTTACGACCAGGTGGTCCTGGAGGGCCGGAATAGCCATCACGACCCTAAATAATTTTTTCTATTAGAATATTTACATTTTTTCAATAGCCAACTTGAATGTATGATTAATTATACCCGTATTCCAGGCGCTCCGGGGAGACCCCTTTCACCTTTAGGACCATTAAACCCTGGCAAACCTATGTCTCCAACATTTCCTGGTTCTCCTTTAAGACCTGGAGGTCCAATATCACCCTGTAAAAGTGTAAAAATTATCAAAATTATAAATATGCTAGCTTATATTTACAAAGACGTTGTAATGAATGTTATAAATTGTAAAAGAATATTAAGAGAATTATTATCAATAAATTCAATTATAAGAGTTACAGAAAGAGTTCTAAAAAGAGTTCTTTGATATTAATTGCGGTAACTACAGCATTACATATTGTTGCAGTAACAGAATTTAATATTGAAATGAACTTTTTTGAACAAAGTCGTTAAAAATTATATACCTTATCTCCTTTGGCTCCCGTAAGTCCAACAGGACCAACAGTTTCTTGGGGATTCGATGAAAAAGGATACAAAGAATTTTCACCCGGCAATCCAACTTCTCCTTTTTGTCCCTTATCTCCTTTAGATCCTTCGAAACCAACACCCATGTTTCCTTTTTCTCCCTTATTACCCGGTGGTCCGGTCAAACCCTAAAAATTTGTAAAAATAACTATCGATTTTGTAAATTACAATGTACGTTTTATGTTTCATTGATCATACCATTGGCCCTGTTTCGCCTTTTTGTCCTGGATAACCAGGAGGACCTTGAGGGCCTGGAATACCTCGGGATCCTTGTACTCCATCAATTCCAGGCTCACCTTTTTGACCAACGAGCAACCGACCACAGTGACCTGCTTCTCCTTTATCTCCTTTTGAGCCTACAGAACCTGGTAGACCTCTGGGCCCTGGCTCACCGGGAAAACCTTGATGCCCTGGTATGCCCTATTAAATTATATTATTAAAAATTAATTTAGTTTCAATATCATATGAATTGGAAATTTAGTGAAACTCACATCTGTTCCGTTGCACCCGTCTCTACCGGGAATACCAGAGGGACCCGGAGCACCCATAATTCCAGGAACACCGTTCTGACCTGGATGACCGGGCAGACCCATTTTTCCCTAAATAGATTTGAAATAAAAATATTTTTTTAAATAATTTAAACTAATTTTTATCAAAGTTTAACCAATCAAATATTCAAATGAGTTTTTTACCCTTTCACCTCGTATGCCTCGCTGTCCCTGGGGACCAGGGTCTCCTTTGTCTCCTTTGGGTCCTACGAATCCCTCAGCCCCTGGAAAACCACGTTCACCTTTAGGTCCGACAGGTCCCATCAATCCAGGAGGTCCCTAGTTGTTATGATATGAAAATTCAATAAGTCAATACATGATCATTACTAAGTTTATAGCACTGCGTGGCATAAGTCGCACATTCTGGCACTGCTGCTTTCGCATCACACTCGCACACGCTCGTGCGCTAACCTCACTTCGCGCTACCAGAAAGTGCGACTCATGACTCGGAAAAGGGGGCATAAATTTGAACTTAGCACAGTGCTATAAAATGTTGTACGATACTCGGGCCACATAGGAGACACTTTTTGGCCCAGCTATTAGGACCGTCGTTGCGCTTGGGCCCCTAACTACGCCGCGCCAAAAAGTGTTACTTATGGCACTTGTATCGTAAAGTACTATAATGTTTTTCTTACTCTCGATCCTTTTTCAGCGAAACATTTGGGGAAACAACAATTGCTTCCGGAGCAATTTTTACTTGCACCAGGGGCTGGATATACCGAGTAACTGCTTGGATAGCCATGTTCTTGTTGTTTACTATAGTAGTCTTCTTGATGATTATAGTGAAGATTATAACGTTCATCTTGAGTTCTTCTTGATTGATTATCTCGATCATAGCTGCTTTGATCGTAACCAGTTTGACCTTCGCGATTGTAGGTATTTGGATAACCATTTCTTCCTTGATTATTTCGATTGTAATAGGTTTGTTCATAGCCATTTTTGTTATAATCATCTCTGTTATTGACATTTTGGCCATAATCAGTTCGTGAATTTACATCTTGACGATGACCTTCATTAACGTTTGGTTTATATCCTTTATAATCATTCCAGTTAATATCAGTATTTTCTTCATCGTCATAATTTCGATGAACCTCATTTTCATTTCGTGTAGATGACCGTGTTGAATATTCATCTGGGTAATTTTCTTCGTCGTAGACATCGTCTTTGTCATCGAAAAGTATACCTGGTAAATCACCACGTTGTGATGCTTCCCCGGTTTCAGGCCATGTCCTATTTAGGAATTGTGGGGTCCGCTGAAAAAAATTTTTCATGTATTCAAATAAAACTTCACATTGACACATACAGAAGAAACATTGTTTAACTATAAAATAATTCATGAGTAATTTTATTACATTGTGAGTTTATAAAATAGCGAAAAATACAAATACGAAATAATTAACGATTTTCTATAAACCTGAAAATAAAAAGTATTAGGAGTATTAAATTTTCCTCTTGAAGTACTACTCTAGTTTTGGTCTGTATATTCAAGAAAAATTCATACACTAAATTTAAAAATTGATAAATGATACAATGATCCGAGACAACCCTAGTTTTCCCTGAAAAATTGACATTTTAGAATACGAAAATAAAAACTTTCATGTACAAAATTTCCCTAAATAGCCCACTCGTTAAGTATCGTGATACTAATCTTGACATGTAATTAATCAAAGTTTACGTAAACTAATAAAATATAAAAATAAATAGACATACAGCATAATATCATCGCCCACACTAATAAATATGTTAAAAGGATAAGACTAAGGCATGTTTTTGATGTTCGAGTTTATTAGTGCAGTTCTTGTGATAGGACAACATATAACCACAGTAAGAAGGAGAATAATAAGTTTTTTGTGCATTTGTGCATCAAAAAGGAACCAAATAATTACCATAACTTAAGCTAATACTATACTAAGCCAAAATTTTTTTCAAAATTTCATTAGAATATTAAAAATTATTTAATAAAAAACACTCAAAATTTATTTATAGATCGAACTAGATTTTTTTAACATCATTTTTATTGCTTTATGGGTTTAAAGTTTTACATAATAAAAAACCAAAACTATTCAAAACATGATGAAATCTTTTCACATTGTTTGCTTTTGCTTTTTTTGTGTGTTTGTGTATATTCAATTCTGATGGCATACAATTGACGAAATTCGTATTAAATATTAACGATTCACTCAATGACATTTTTTATGCTACCGCAACATAGAGTAATATTTTATTTCATCCAAGCAAAATCACAATATTACTTTAGGCTGACAGATTCACAAAAAACTATATTTGCACCTGTGCAGCGAAAAAAGAAAGTCTTCGAGCAAGTGTAATTATCATCCAAAGCGAAACCAAGTTTAGTTTTTTAACTCTCTAGTAACAATATACTCTTATCTTTGCTTTAAATATACTAACAAAGAATCAATTCTGATATTAAACGACATCTCTATAGTTTTTTAACAATTATAAAAGTTATAAATGATTTCCATTATTTTAAACATATGAAAAAATGTATACTTAAAAAGCTTCATGAAGAATCTATCACTATTTTTGAAAAATGTTATCAAAATGTTTGTCATCGAACCCTAACTACAACTCCGTACTTCACGAATAAGATTTATAGGTTCACGAAAGCTTTAAACATTTTTTATTCAATAACTAACAGTTAATTACAATTTTCGGGCATTTTTAAGGACCGTAAAAAATATTTTAAATTATTTGTCGTTATGGTTCTTGTATTCATTATTGAAACAATTATTTAGATAATTTATTATACAAAATTTAAATGGATACTGCAAAACATTGTTGAAATTTACTTTTCGATTTCAACAATAAAAGTTTTATTAATAGTTTTTGACTCTAAACAATGTTTATAATAAGTTTTTTCAAATTAAACTTTATGAAGAAAAAATTTATCACGAAAGTATTTATAGGGTTAAAGAACAGATTTTTAATAAGAATAACACTGTAAAAATTATTCGTAAGTTTCAAGTACTTTTAACAGACGTTTTTACGAGAATATTCGTGTAGGCATAGTTTATTGACCTTTTACATTATATTTACTTCGAAAATTAAAAGTTAAATGATTTTTATGCAGAAAATAAAGTAATCAATATTTAAATTAATTGTTAAAATTTTATTGATATTAAAATTAAAGTATATATACTACATATTTATCAGACCAACACGTAAATTTTGAATAAAATTACATGGCAATACTCGCATTAAAAGTATCTCATTATGCTTGAAAATAATAAAAGAGTAATCCATTCAGAACTAAGGCAAGTGTGTTAAATATTTCAAGTACGTTAACGCTTCTTTTTAGGTACGAAGTAGTTCATAAATTGCCGCTAGATGGTGAAACAGTCGAAATTTCGGAAACCAAAACAGAAAAAGCAAAGTTTCAGCATCAAGTACACCCGACGGACACAATATCTGTCCAGACTCCAGAAATAGATCCCGAATCATTGGAACAAGTGAAGTCGATCCGGACAGATATTATGTCCGTCGGGTGTACAAGATACTTAAAATTGATTACTATACAATATATCGTCTTCCAGTACAGCGTATAATCAACATATGATTATAATTTGTCAATTTTCAAGTTTAGTACTTAATATTTCGACTCAATAAGTGCGTTTAAATTTTAATAAAAAAAATTTGAAAAGCTTATATTAAAATGTTAATTACTCCAATGCATTTGGAATTTTATTCAAATACAAATACGTTAAAATCATTTTTATCAAATTAAAATGACGATTAATTTAAAAATGGTGTATTTTAATCCATTTGATGACAATTCGCGAAATTCAAGAACTACTAGAAATCTCATTGTAGTAAAATTTCGAAAAAATACTTCCAGTATTTTACTTTAATTTTCGAGCAGAAAATTTCTACTGTGTTCTTTATATGAAATCAATTCTTCCAATATCATCAATAAATAAATTTAATAATAAAATTTAGAATGTAGATTTTTAAAGTGCATGAAAGTTAAAATTATGATTTTTACATTTGTTGAAGAATATTTCAAAAATCAATTGCATGAAATAGCTTCACGAATGATATTTTTTTCGAATATCATATTCATTTCCGGTTCCTTAATAATCAAATACGAAATTGAAATGTTTAATTGAAGTTAAAAAGGGTTTTCGCTAAAATGGTCCAATCCAAAATCTGCTAGTGTGTTTAATGACTGAAATCACACTTACATTTTCCTTTACTGTTCCCTTTTATGACACTCTCATAACTACGTTATAAATAACTCGCAACGATGCCTTGTAATTGTTCGTTTTCGACATAAAACAAACAATTTCAATTAAATTAATTTTTTTCTTTTACCGATCAAAAAAATCATTTTTTGGCATATCCATTGTAAAAAAAATCGAAAACCATAATTTTTCAAATTAAAAAATAAAATTTTAAAAATTTTTGAAAATTTGAAATTTTGTAAAATTAAAAAATATTGTCACCAGCGTTTATTGTTTTATTTGCCGTAACATACTATAATATTATTCACTTACATAATATTATTCACTTGTTGATTCTCATCAAGATGACATCAATTCATCAATATAGAAAAAAATGATAAAATAAAGTTTGTTAAAAAAATGAAATACTTGATTATAGGAAGCTCCCCATTGTCGTGGTTGAATTTTTTAATTTAAATCCATTGGTTACTGAGCAATGGAAACGTACTAGTTCAAAACTATTAAGAAAAGAACTATCATTTACAAGTGTGATACGACGATATCTCGCGGGGGGAGTATTAGAAGTATTTTTATAGATCAAAGCGTATTGCTTGACGTTTCGCTTCACGAGTGTAAGTAATACGATCCGAAAAAAGAGCGCTTCTTACAATCGCACATCCGACTTTCACATTATAGCCCAAGATTCGCGCATATTATCTGATATTTCATGAATGAGTTATAACGTCCACACAATTTTGTAGTACATACACTCATGCCTCGTATGAAACGTAGTATCAAGTCAGAGGACATCCTGACATCATTCATCTTTAGTTGTTCATACCAACTATAAATGTTCGTAGATAAAGAACATGAATGAGCTTATATAAAATGTCTCGGTAGCTTTCTGCTTTTGAGAATTGCTTTGCTGGGCAAAATTTACTTTAAACGATTTTAATGGCTGTTCGCAGCTTTTGATTTGAAGTTTTATACTTTTTAATAATTTGGGTTGAGTATTCTGTTTCGGATATTTTAATGGATGTAAACGACTTTTAATGTCATGTGAACGAAGAAAGAACGTCTTTCATACCTTCCGTTAGACCTTTTTAAAAACTAAAAACGATTCATTTTTATCGTTTACGGCATGGAAATTAGTTGTCCTAATTTACTTTTTTTTATAATTATCGCATACGATAAAATTTAAAAAAATGTGAATGCTTTTTAGGGCATTTGTTGCTTGTACTTAAATTAGAACTTCATCTAGTCAATAACATTCAACTTTTCTTCAAGTCTATAAAGCTCGCGCGGGACAAAAATAAATCTCTCCAATGCTTGTGAATAGTAGCTGTATATTTCGGCATGTATTTCATGCATTATTGTTACAAGATAATTAGGATATCGGTCATTAGTTGAGTATACATTACAAGTGCCATAAATCTATTTTCAAATGGCACACAAATTTCCACATTATTGAATGAATTGACCTCGATAAATTTAATAACACTTGTGATAATTCATAAAAATTATAAAAATCAACAGAAAAAAAAGTAAACAAATAATGAGATCTCACCCCTTCTGCGATGATGACCAAGCACGATACAAAAACGGCGACGAAGCTGTTGATCAAACAATCAATTGTTACTGCTTGCTTATGATATTACTTTCTTAAAACGATTTAATGAAATTGTCGCGATAAAACAAAAAACGAAAATTGAACGTTGCTCTCCGGGCAGCACATACTATTCAACGGAAGTACGAAATGTTAAAGTATAAAACGTGTGTTGCACTTTTTCAAGAAGAAGCAAAAAAAAAAAAAAGAGATCGCGCTGGAGATATACGATACCCACCGCCATGTCTGCCGGATCATATCAATAGATGTGCCGAATCGCACGAGGCGCGATTCGAGCCCCGTTCCTCGAGCGCGTGTCCACTAAACTTTCGGCAGGTCGGGTGGTGAGTGTGTGCGCGCGCGTGGTAATGAAAAAAAAAAAAGGACAATGCGACGACGAGAAAGAAAAAAGGTCGTGGTGGCCGTCGTCGCGAGCAGGAAAGCTCTAGCGCGGCCGCGTCTGCACTTAGACTGGGCTAACGAGGCGATGGCATTATGTGTGGCTGTGCACATCCGCGTAGGCCCACTCGGGCTTTCTTGTGCTCGGTAGGGGAAACCGATCTCGCTTGCGACGAGCTTCCCTGCGATGTGCTGCTGCTGCTGTGTGCGTCGAGCGCGCGGCGCGGGGCTGCTGCTAGCCGTTGCGCGGCCGTACGACGGCGGCTGCCGAGCGGCCCGTAGCCGAGGGCGGCCGGCGTAGTAATACGCGCGTTTCGGAGCTCTCTTGCCGCCGCCGCGGCCGTCGTAAAGCAAGATAAAGGTACTGCTCTGCGACAACGCACACATACGCTACCAACACTGTCGCACGAGGCGGGGAGCACGTGTGAATGGCGGGTGTGGTTGAGCGAACGGCATCTAGTGCAATCGGGCTCAGACCGAGAAAGCTCGCTCTCGCGCGAGCAGCAGCGGCAGCATCCTAACGCCTAAGCGTCGTGTGTTTTCTGCATGTATAACACGACGACACTAGAATGCGTTACTATTCGATCGTAACTTTTTGCTCTCTGCTCTTACTTGCCACTGTTTTTCTTCGCTCGCCGGTGCACGCAATCGTGAGTATAACGTCTATTGTGGCTATTACGATTAACTTTTTTTTTCTTTAATTTTTTTTTTAATCCAAGTGCTCTACCGTAGTTGCGTTTCGACTGTTCGAATTATCGCGGGTTGTCAAAAATATTTCTTTAATATAAATATTACGCTTTAACGATCAGTGCTTTATAAAATAACTTGAAATGAGTGTGCCGAAACTTTAATCCGTTGTGATTTGTGAACAAAGTACACAATAATAAGAAAGAATACGCGAACTATCTCGCGAGAGTAGGAGGTTCTAAATCGTGCTAATAAATCCAAAAGGTGGGGGAATTAATTTGGAGTGGGAGAGTAGTATTACGCCGCGGAGGAAATAAAGCAACAAATACAATTTTCAATTATTCCAATAAAATTTTTTCCCGTTTTCTCGAAATTTCAGAAATGTTTACGGAACATCACACGGGTACATAAAAAAATTTTTTTCCGTATTTTTAATTTAGTAACAACAAATTGTTGACCTGATCAATAATTTATTATTCAAAAATTAATTTTCATAAAATTGGAGTCATATTATGTAACGATGAGATATTTTTATCGAAAATTAACCAAACTGTCATTCAATATTATGATGGAAGTGATGATCTCTCACTATGAATTGAAACGGGTCTTTGTTTCCAATTTCGATCAAAAATAAACACCAAAGGAATGTCATTAATTATTAAAAATTTATAAATTTAATTTGTCGTGAAAAATTACACAAACAATTTGAATATTTTTTAAAATAAAACAAAATGAGTTATCGAATTTATTAAAATCGATTTATTATTACGACTTTTGATTTAATGGTATTAGTTTTTTTATTATATTTTTTATGTAAGTATAATCTGATTTTGAAATTTGATCAATCGAAGGATAATCAATTTTAAATTTTAAAAAATTAAAAAAAATATTTTATCGATTTTATAAGACCAAGGAGCTTTACAATAATATAGGCGGTGCTAAGGTACAATTTATGAATTTAAACAATTAATGACAGTCATTTGAAACTTAAGACTACGAAAAGTAGCTATTATTTGTATAAGCGAAAATGACACGAATATGGTCTGTTTTTGTTTCTCGCTTAGTCAGCTAGAAAGTAGAGTAACAACTTATCGCGCAGCAATATGATAGTTATTATTACTATAAATACTACTCGATTATGGTCTTCCCGGTATTTTAGGAGAATACAGATATTTCATTCTAATACATTCAGCAAATGATATTTCAATCAATTTTTGGTTACGGATATACAATTCGAATTCGTTATTGTTATATTCACTTAGCATAGTTATATTATTTACATTAAAATGATTTTTTATTCATAAAACTAATTATACTATATGATTCGGACAAAAGAATTTTTAGACATAAAAATCATAGGGCTTTAAAATATCTATGCGTAAAAAGGAAGGGGACTCCCGAATGAAATAAAGATCTTAATTTAGCATTTATTAGATCCGAAATAGATCTATAACTGAATTGGGTGTGTAAGTCAGAAAAATTCACGTGACTACTCTCATGAGAGTTCTATTTGATTAATCAAGATAATTTTTCCAATTTTTTTATTGAATTAAAAAGTGAATAAAATCAATTTTACTGCAATTTTTCATACATTTTTACACTCATTTTTCTTTCAAACTTGAAATGGTAAAATTTAAAAATACCCATTTCTTAAATCATATTTCACCCATCAAAAAATTAATTGATGAAGTAGTCTGAAGCTTTTTCGTATTAATGGAACCAAGCAACGACTATAGCTATTCATTTTTCATTCTTCACAATGTAATTTAAATTTTTATAAACACCATTTCACTGTTTTCAATATCGTTTGTATTTTAAAATTCAAAAGGATTTAAAACAGTCGCAATACTATATATTGAAAGGCCTTTTTCGATTTTTGTAAAATTTGGCTTTAACCTATTTTGTTCTAGTACTTTTTAGTATATTTTAGTTTGAGTTTGAAACACGTTGACTACTTTTACAGGATTTATAACTGAAAGTTATTGATCAATAATCTAAGGTCTTTTTGACACTATAATAAGTCAAGAATTAGAATACAATTAATATTTTTTAATTTCCATTAAATGAGAAAATAACTTCCTCTATGAGAAAGCAAAAATTGCCAGTGATAATAATGATAAATTTGTTTTTTAATTTTTTATGAACTTTTGAATGCTACTGGAATATTACAGTCTCTCTCAGCTTATTTCTTCAATCTAAAAGAGGCCAATATGATGAGAATAGAAAATTATAGAAAAAAAATTCATAAAACATAATAATGGTTCCCAATTGTAAGAGCTTTTTTGAAACGCTTTCTTATGCAAAACATCTAAATAAAGGTGACTAAGAATATTTTGAAAAATCCCTTAAACTTTAACTTAACTTAATCAACTTAAAATGACTCTGCGTAAAGTAATTATTTTGTAACATCTGTTTATTTTGTTTCTGTGGATTTGACATAAGTATACATAAGAGCATATGTGATGGATGCTAACAGAAATTATCTTAAGAAGTACGTTTTTTCGGTTCATACAATAAAATTATCACCAGTCGAGACACGTGCGCTACAGTATAAGATACTTTTGAATTGACGCGAAAAGATAAGTGGGTGTAATCTCAATCCTCATACAAAAAAAGTGATGGGCTAAATAGGGTGAGCAGTTCTGAAGCATTTTGATTGGTTGAAGATGAGTTGCGTTTAGTTTCAATTTTAAGCGCAAAGCTGAGCTTTACTCACTGAGTTCACAGTTATTTTTTAGCCACGTGTCTTTACATTTGAATTCAATTTCCAGTTCACTTTTGCAATTGATGTACATGAAGGAAATAATAAAAAACCATACACAAAAAAGTAATAAGAAATCTATTTTAATAATGTTTAATGTTAAAACTTAAGACTCACTTTCCAGTGATCACAGCATCGCAAAGTTCAAATCGCTGCTGTAAACTTTTAATATCTTAGAAAAAGAGCATAAATATGAATTAGAATATTTTAATTGAATTATAAAATATAAGTATAAGTTTATTTAAGCTAAAAGTAGCAATTCACGATCAAGTATAACACTCAATATGCTACTTGAATTACATGTAGATATTGACAACCCTACAAACTCTAAGCTTACAGTATATCACAAAAATACAAAGTAGCCATTGAGTATATTGATATCTGCCGGGATTATCTGCAAACTGACGACTGAAATTAATTGGGAGGACATCCTCGTGCAAGCTGACATTCGTGTACATATCAGTTGTTGAAAAATTGTATAAGTGTTTTGAAACAGCAAAACTGTTATTTTCAGGAAATTTAAAATGCGCTTAATAATTTTAACACAATTGTAGCAGACCAATCACCAAAAACAAGCTAATTAACATTACTATCTTACAACAATTACGATACAAAACAGGGTACTTCAAAATTTTTTTCCAAAAAGTTCATTTCGTTTATCATTCTCGATTGATTTATTGTACCTTCGTTCAAATATAAGTTACAAAATAATTTTGTACACGTAATATGAGTTAAATTATTTATAGTTCTCAATCATTCATTTCATTTTAAAACTTAAAGTCGCTAAGACTCTCGATAATTTATTCTTCATTCGAACTTTTGAAATGTTACCATATAATGAGTGCAATGCGATGAAAATCGGAAACCCACGAGCTTTCATGGACTGCTTAAGAACGTCATTTCGCTCTGGATCATGTTACTAGTGTTATCTTTCACTGGCAAGACGCTAATGAAGAAATTTTAGGTGAATAAGCCGTTGAAATATTTCTATAACTTCTTGCTTACTTTACATCTATGCGTTTGGGATTTCCATAACGTCGAAACACTAAAGCCATTTTGATTCACTATAATTTCAAGTCTTGCGTTTGAATTTCTTTTAATTGAGAAAACCTATGATTCTTATCTTTCAAACGCTATAAAAGCCCTTCATTACATCATTGTAAAACTAACATTATTTAAGAAATAAAAACACATAATTTTAGATAGCTTTGTAATACGATCGTAATACATTTGTGACAATTCGTAATTTATTCGTATAATATTTTTGCACAGCGAAATTGAGATCTGTACATTTTATCCTGAACTCGAATACAAATGTACAGTTTAGATAAACACGTGCTGTTTTTAGCGTCCATCATAAATACAATTCGCAGTAAAAGTACGTGAAATTTGAACAAAGTTTTAACGTGAAAAGCGAATGCTTTAGAAAAACATTTTTACGCAATCGCAACTTCTTATAAAATAATATTTAAAATATGACTTTAATATATAAAAACTAAATGCCACGTTTCATTCGTTTCGAAACTGAAATCTATTCAGTGGCAAATAAAATTGAAGTTTGACCCCGATGCGATGAGATCAGATCTTACGATGAGATCTAACGAGAGCAAACCAACGACATATTTTAGTATTGAAAAATGAGGTTGCTGAAGTTTTTGTAGGTCTGCACTTCCGTAGAAGCCAACGTAGCGCATTATCTTTTTAAAATAGTAAATGTAATCGTTGATTAAACAAATTAATTATTTCAGAACTGTCAAAATTACAAATGCAACTGCACGGGTATCAAAGGCAATCTAGGCCATGCGGGGATTCCAGGAATTCATGGACCTCAAGGAGAGCCAGGCGACACAGGCCCTGATGGACCGGAAGGTTCCAAGGGCGAAAAAGGTCAATATGGAGAATTGGGACTCATGGGAGAAAAAGGTCTTAGAGTGAGTAATTTAAATTATAGTTATTGATTTTAGTTTTATTAGTTCACTTACAACATAAAAAATTTAAAAAACAATCATGAAATCGACTTTTTAGTCAAAATTTCAATTACTCTTGTTATCTTAAGTAAATTATTAGCTTATTTTATTATGCATTATGCCCCTCGTAGTTCACAAAAACGTTTCGTTTAGTTAGCAAATTTTTTCACTATCCATACATTGCTGTGGTTTTCACACTAACTTATCTCAATAAAATCGTTTTCACATAGAGGAAACTGCTCTTAATACTCTGTTGAAAATAGGTTTGTTACTACTGCTATTCGATAACGCACTTCCCCTTGACAAGTTACTCGCGAAGTAACATCATTTAACCGGAAGTTTCGAGTAATCTCATTTGTAGATATTTATAATTTGCCTTTTCTTGTGCATTAATTCATCAGTGAACCTTTCTCGTAAATAAAATTTATTTAATGAAAATGTTGTAATATTCGACATTTTTGAAATATTAAATTTTATTTGAGTATTAAAATCAACTAAAAGAAATTGTATTATAAGTGATATAGAATATTTTAGAGGATAAGGACATAAACGCATGATAAATCTTGAACTGAAGTTATCGCTAACAATTTCATATTCAATGACAATGAAGTATTTTTCCATTTTTCCTACTCCCATTAGATGGAATAGAATAATAGATCATTTCTACTTTGTGAGCCCAATTCATTGAAAAAAATATCGTTAAAGACTTTCAAATTTTAGAAAAATTAAATTTTGGTTCAAGTGATTGATAATAAATAGTAGGTTTAAAAGTTTTAAAATTAAAGTTTTACGTTTAACATTTTTTAAATTACATTACAAATTTTTCGTAATCTCTATTGAAAATAATTACATCATACACGATTTCGAAATTGACACCAATATAATAAATATGCATTTAAGAATAAAAAAAGTTCAAGCGCATTTATAACGTTAATCGAAAAACCAATGATGCATTTAATGACATTGATATCAAGAATAAAGTAATATGTGATATCATTTGTTAAGTAATAGTAATGGATCTTAATGCATCAAGGAAATACATACCGATCGAAATGAGTCTGCTTCTTAAACTTTTGATCACCTCAAATATTTACAAGATTTATCTATTAAAAAAAAAGAAAGCAAAATTTATGTCATTTATTCTTAAACACATTTGATTCCGTTGTTTCACCAATAATATTAACGAAACTCTAAACTATCTAATGTAACACATCTTCGATGAAAAACATGAATTGTTACATTTAATAGGAAAATGAACAGTTTATTATGTCAATGTTTGAGTATCTGTGCTAAAAATGAAGTGTTTTTTTTCATTCATAAGTTAATTTCTAAAATTAATTTTAAAATTTGAAATTTTACAACTACTAGTAAAAATAAAATGCTTGTTTCAGGGCGAACAAGGGTTTCAAGGGTTTGTTGGGCGACCTGGTGAATCTGTAAGTCTTTATCAACAGTTTAGCTAAGATTTTTTGGCTCATTATTTTTTCAAATTTGAATGATATGATTAGGGAAGAGCAGGACTCACGGGACCACCTGGACCGGATGGACTTGACGGTTGTAACGGCACAGATGGTCGTCCCGGTATACCAGGTTACCCAGGTCTTCATGGTCAACGCGGCCTTTTTGGTCCTCCGGGATTGAAGGGGCCTCCAGGAGATGCCGGAGATGGTGGCGTTAATACCGTAGGAGTCAAGGGTATTCGAGGTGAACCTGGTCTTGATGGTCGACCGGTAAATAAAACGATTTTAAAATGAGACTTTTCATTTTATATAATTTTTCGATACTATCTTTCAAGGGTGTTCAAGGCTCTCTCGGACCTCGAGGCGATCTAGGCTATTCTGGACCTTCCGGTGATGTTGTAAGTATCAATACGTATAAAAATACTCTTATTTATCGTGATGAATTTTAAACAATTGCTGCTCCAGTTACTTCTCTGTGCTGTTTAAACTTTTTTCTCGGGATTTTCTTTTCTTAAAAAGAAAGAGTAGACGTTGATGTTTGTTTTTTTCAAAAAGTATTTCAATTTATACAACGATTATTTCGTACTGTAGGGTCCAACAGGATTCCAGGGTTTACCTGGCATGCAAGGTGACCGTGGTGATGATATAGTCGGATGGAAAGGTGAATCTGGCGAGCAAGGAGATCGCGGCGAAAAAGGTTTACCCGCTACTGGTAGAAGTAAACAAAATGATCTTACCGTGCGAGTTGGTCCACCGGGTGCAAAGGGATATAAAGGCGACATGGGTGAACGAGGCTTGAAGGGAGAAATTGGAGATAAAGGTCCTACCGTAAGTGACATACTTTTACTCACTATCCTTGCAAGTTTTAACTACATATTTTTGCATCATTGAATATTTTTATTCACAGGGCTATCCTGGTCGAGACGGTTTGAAAGGATTAAAAGGTGAGCAAGGTGACGATGGTCTTAGAGGAGTCCAAGGCTTAACCGGAGTCGCTGGTCCAGCGGGAGATAAAGGCGAAATAGGAGATGAAGGTTTTTCTGCTGGCATAGGTCCTGTGGGACCAAAAGTAAGGCATGAAACTGTACTTTGAGTGCTAACTTTATCATACTCTAAAGTCACAAAGTTCAATAATTATAACACGATTTCTATAAAATTCTAACTTCCAAGATAGCGGCTTTTATCAATATGCTTCTTGATGAAAAAATTTTTTTTCCATTAATTTTGGCATAGCAACAATCAGACAGCGAGAATAGACTAAAAATAAAATTTTTTTTATCCATTCTATCATAGGGTGTGATGGGTGATGCAGGGCAGCAAGGTCCACCTGGTCGACAAGGTGCTCCTGGAGAACCAGGAGAATATATTCCAGAATTAGACGAAATAATCGTAGGAAGTATTGGCATTCAAGGCGACGTTGGTAAGAACGTTTTTTTGTTATTAACTTTTTCCTATTTTACTTTTGATTGAATAATTTTAAATTATCAATTTTTCAAACATTCTTTCATCATAATCGAATAAATCATTGTACATTCGGTTTAATTTTATGAGGAAAAGCTAATCATTAAGATATATTATATAATTTATTTTTATATTTGTAGGCTTGCCCGGAGACCCTGGACCATCTGGAACGCCAGGGGAAGCAGGAAGAGTTGGTTATGTTGGACCACCTGGGTTTCCTGGTCCACAAGGACCTTCAGGTAGACCCGGACCAAAAGGAACTTCGATTAAAGGAGAAAGAGGAGATGATGGTAATTGTAATCATTTTGATTGAGTTCAGTATATATATGTCTGAATATTCACATTTTATTATTTTTATATTTATAAAGGAACCCCTGGACCAATGGGATATCAAGGGCCAATAGGTTATCCAGGACCAATAGGACCAACAGGAGAAAAAGGATTTCCTGGTATCACAATAACTGGACCTCCAGGATTAGATGGATATCCCGGCATGGATGGAATAGATGGATTATTGGGAGACCGTGGCGAGCCAGGCGATGCAGGTAAATTGAATTAAAATACAGTTCAAATATTTAATTTTCCAGTTCACTCAATCGAATAGATATAACGACTCAAAGTTTACAACCTGTACGTTTTAAACTTTCAATATTCAAGAGTTTCACGTTACCCTTGACGTGAAAATAAAGGAGTTTGTAATATATATTATTAATCCTTATGTTTTTCAATAAAAATCAGAGCTGTGTCATTTTTTATACTATTTTCATTATTTTCTTACAGGTCCAAAAGGATTTCCAGGAGTAGGTACGCCAATTGAAGGTCCAACAGGTGAAGCAGGATTGCCAGGTTTACCTGGTGTACCGGGTACTCCAGGCCGAAGAGGTGCAGATGGAGCTAAAGGCTTTAAAGGACCTAAGGGTGACGATTGCGGAATATGTACTTCTGGTAAGAAATTTGCCATGATAAACTAAAAATTCTTTTTTCTTCAATATCTATAGTTTTGATCATTTATTTCATTTTCTAATTCATTTTTTATCGAATACTTCTTGAAATTTTATTTAAATGGTTTCAGGTGCTCCTGGTGCAAAAGGAGATTCCGGCTCACCAGGCTTCGATGGTTATCCTGGAGCGCCGGGATTCGCCGGTCTTCCAGGTCCACGTGGTTACAAAGGTGAAATGGGACAGATGGGCATGGTCGGAGCTCCTGGAATTCCTGGAGAGAATGGAATACCTGGAATGGTTGGCGTACAAGGACCAAAAGGAATGTCAGGCAGAATAGTTTTGCCTGGCTCCATTCATACTATGTCCCCTCCTGGAGATTTTGGTGACAAAGGTTATCCAGGTCCGCCAGGTCCTCCTGGTTTCAGAGGCCCACCTGGACCGGTGGGAGATTATGGATTTGATGGACCTAAAGGAAATAAGGTATCAAAAAATAGTATGCTAGTCGAGAAAGACTTTGCAGTAGATTTATTTTCTCCTCTGTTTTTTCACTCGATTTCTTACTAATTCTTATCAGGGAGACTATGGAGTACCTGGAATACCGGGTCGCGATGGACAACCCGGTTGGGATGGTTATCCTGGTATCAAAGGAGACGCTGCCATAGGTAGTAAATATGAACTCAAAGGAGATCAAGGCTTCAATGGCTTTCCTGGACAAAAAGGAGAAAGAGGCAATCCTGGTCAAAAAGGTTGGCGAGGAGACTCTTCTCAACATAATTTACTACCTTTCAAAGGAGATCGTGGTCCTAAAGGATATGCTGGTGAAAATGGTAAGATATATAAATATTTTATCATTTTATTTATTTAATGATTACATTTACAAAAATATTTATAAAAGTGTTTATTGAAAAATTAAGGGCTTGATGGATTAAAGGGTATAAGAGGTGACACCGGTAGACAAGGCTTACCAGGAAAAGTTGGTGAGCAAGGTCCAGCAGGATTATCGGCTCAAGGCCCCGAAGGTCTAAAAGGTTATCCAGGAATACCTGGAGATGAGGGCTTCCGGGGTAATCCAGGAACTCCAGGAATTCAAGGACCTGAAGGGTATCCAGTAAGTAAATATTTTTTTTAACAATTCGGATGGCCAAATTAATAATTGTTTTGCTTATTTTTGTATTACAATAGGGTCTAGCAGGAATAAAAGGAGATCGGGGTGAAATGGGAAATATCTATAATTACGGTGATATCGGAGAAATGGGACCAAAAGGAGATACAGGCGATATAGGACTTGCTGGAGTACCAGGTTTCCGTGGTCTACCTGGCCCCGAAGGTTTCAAAGGTCGCAAAGGAGATAAAGGAGAGAGAGGCTATTATGGCTTCGATGGTACTCCTGGTGCAAAAGGCCCTCGGGGAGACAGTATTCAAGGTCATAGAGGAGAACCAGGAATGCCAGGACAACCTGGAAGACCAGGAATGATCGGTGACGTTGGATTGAAAGGTTGACATAATTTACTTAATATTGTACCCTAAGTATACTATTATCGTTGAAGAAATATATAAACAATAATTATCGAAATTATAGGTACCAATGGTCTACCGGGTTTCGATGGATTAAAGGGAATACGAGGAGATATTGGCCTACCAGGAAATCGAGGACCAGAAGGAGATGTAGGTCCTGTAGGATTTGTAGGAATGGATGGTCACATGGGCTTCATTGGAATTCCTGGAGAAGATGGAGATGCCGGTGAAGCTGGAGATGATGGTGTTCAAGGTTTACCTGGATTAGATGGAGAATCTGGTCTTTTGGGAATAAAAGGTGAAAGGGGTGAAAGAGGTTTTGCTGGCCTTCAAGGACCACCCGGTCCGACAGGTTGGCATGGATTAAAAGGAAATAGAGGACCTCCTGGGTTCAAAGGAGAACGAGGCGAAAATTCATTTAGTGGACCTCAAGGAGATTTGGGAGAACCTGGTTATCAAGGCGAACAAGGACCGCCTGGATTACCTGGAGTTGACGGACGACCTGGTATGATTGGAAACCCTGGTTTATCTATAAATGGCGCTATCGGCATTAAGGGTGAAGTAGGGCAACCTGGATATGATGGTTACAATTATACAATTGGAGAAAAAGTATGTAGAACTATATTAACTATTTATTAACAATCATAAGTGAGTTTGATAATACATGTAAAAAATTCAAAACGATAGGGCGATCAAGGTGATATGGGACCGCCCGGATTCGATGGTGAAAAAGGAGAAGAAGGTCAAAAAGGTTATGTAGGGCTTGCTGGTGCTCCAGGACGATCAGGTTTCAAAGGCAGCCGAGGTTCAATTGGACCACCAGGAATTGATGGCGAAAAAGGAAAATGTGGTCTTGAAGGTGATCCAGGATTGATTGGGCATCCAGGTAAAACATTATTTTAAATTAAATGAAAAACATCAGTTTTATTTTTAAAAAAGTCATACAGTTTGTACAGAGTAACGAAGTTGATCAAATCTCAAATAATAAATACACTTTCTGACTAATTAAATAAAAAAATTTAATTTTTAGGAATGCCTGGTGATATTGGACCGCCTGGGTTACGAGGTCGTCGTGGTCCACAAGGACCAAAAGGACCGCAAGGTGACACTGGTTTTACTGGTTATGCTAATGCAACGCGGGGTGATGCTGGTACCCCAGGACTGAGTGGTTTACCAGGAAAAAAAGGGGTCAGAGGAGATTCTGGCTTTTATGGACCTCCTGGACTAAAGGTTTTGAGTTTGCTTATTTTATTTCAAATTTTAATTTTTTTATACTCTTAAACAGGTACTTAAACTTACTATAATTTTCATCTTGAAAAGGGTGAACGGGGAGACTTGGGATTAAGAGGTCCTAATGGAACCATGGGAACGATGGGCTTACCAGGTATGCCCGGTGACATAGGTCCTGTTGGACCACCTGGTCCACCAGGAGAGTTGGCTGAAACAGGTGACGATGGAGAACCTGGCATTCATGGATTAGATGGAATACCAGGCCGCCCTGGATTAAAAGGGTTATCCGGAGATTACGGATTAGATGGTCCAGATGGTATTCAGGGTGAACCAGGATATAGCTATCCTGGTCCAAAAGGAATGCGAGGAGATGAAGGTAGATACTTTTTTGAGAAAGAATTAAAATTTCGCAACTTTATACAATTTTGTGGATTGTTAAATTAATGAAATTAACTTTAGGATTACCTGGATATTATGGTTATCCTGGTCAGCCTGGTTTAGAAGGAAAACCAGGTATTACGGGACCAAGGGGACCAAAAGGTCATCAGGGAGAGCCAGGTTATTCAGCAACTGCACAGAAAGGTGAAATGGGTGACTACGGATTACCTGGTTTAGATGGCAGACCTGGTTTGAAAGGCCCACGTGGACAAGATGGTACACCGGGATTAATGGGATTATATGGTTTGAAGGGAGAGCATGGTGATTTCGGAGCACCTGGATTGCCAGGTTTACCAGGTGCACCAGGTCGACAGGTATATTGATATTTAATTCATTCTTTTAATGATAAAATCATAGTATCTTTGAAATACGATGGTATATATTTTACAAATTTGCAGGGTCAAAAAGGTGAAAGAGGAACATACTTCGAACAAAGAGTTGAAAAAGGAAATATGGGTGAACCTGGATTAAAGGGTTATCCAGGTATGCAAAAAATTGATTTTGATTTCGTGATAGTTATGACAAGAATAATCTTATAAAACACTTTTTCCAGGTCTCCGAGGAATGCCAGGATTGATTGGCGAACCAGGAGAAGATGGATTCCCTGGAAGATTTGGTGAGCCTGGAATCCCGGGTCGCCCTGGTCCACCCGGTAAAGTTGGACCAGATGGTCCAGATGGATTAGAGGGACCAATGGGAATGACTGGATTCCAAGGAAAACCCGGTAAGATATAAAAAAACTTATTCGTATGCGGGTGTCTTCATTGTTCATAGAGGTTTTTCTAGTATATATTGTTAATAGTTATACTGACAGCAATTTTTTATATATTATATGAAGCTCTTTAGAATATTAATTTCAGAGTATTGTTTGGGAACTAAATAAACTCATGTACTCTGACAATTAGAAAAAAAAATTATTCCTTTGAACTGTTGATTGAGATTTTTAAAAATTGGATTTGAAACGTCCTAATTTGTTACTTGTATTAATTTTAAGAAATAATTGACGAATGATAAGTATTATGCATGACTAATAATTACTTTCATTTTTTTCTAGGTGAACCTGGTCAACCTGGACTTCCAGCCATTTCTAGACCTCGACCTCAAAATCGAGGCTTCTACTTCGCAAGACATTCACAAAGTACAATGATACCTCAGTGTCCTAAAAATACAATAAAGATGTGGGATGGATTTTCGCTGTTGCATATTACAGGAAATGCCTATGCTCATTCACAAGATCTTGGTAAGTAAAACGAAACGTTAGATGCAATTATTAGGTGAAATTCAGAAGTGCCCAATTTTTTTTCTTATTTTTTAACAAAAATTTAAAATAAGAAATTATAATTTTAATAAAAATTGCTCCTGTCTGTCAAGCAAAAAGCAAAAGAGTTATGTCTAAAAAATTATCGTTATCTAAAGAAATTCAAAATTATCATAATTGACTAGATACGATCGGATTTCATTAGTCATTATTGAATATTCGATTGTACATTATAGTAACGTGAAATAAATCTAGTTCAAAATCAACATATTCATATGATTGAAAATGTTCACAGGTGTACCCGGAAGCTGCATGCGTAAATTCTCGGTAATGCCGTTCATATTCTGCAATCTCAACAACGTGTGCGACTACGCGAATCGCAACGACTACAGTTACTGGCTCAGCTCGAACGAGCAGATGCCGATGTCGATGACACCGATTCCAGCTCGCGAAGCCGGTCCCTACATATCTCGCTGCGTCGTCTGCGAGGCACCCACGCGGCTGATTGTCACCCACAGTCAGAGCATGAGCATACCAAAGTGCCCGGGCGGCTGGGAGGAGCTCTGGGCTGGATACAGTTTTCTCATGGTAGGCATTTCATTCAATGAAAACTTCTCTCGAGTTGAAATAAAAAAGCAGCGCTAATTGTTAAAAAAACGTCATTGTTTCTTGCAGCATCGCGACGCGGGTTCGGTAGGCGGAGGCCAATCGCTGTCGTCCGCGGGCTCCTGCCTCGAGGAGTTCCGAGCTCGTCCGTTCATCGAGTGTCGCGGCCAGGGCTCGTGCAACTTCTTCTCCACGGCCATATCTTACTGGCTGTCGACGATCCACGACAACGAGATGTTCCGCAAACCCCAGCAGCAGACCCTCAAGATGGATCACACTCTGCGCGTGTCGCGCTGCACCGTCTGCCTGCGACGGCACATACCCAACGAGAGGGACAGGGGCGGTATTGGGGGCTCTCGCTGGCCTCCGAAGGGAGGCGCTTTCAGGCACGACGGAGCACCGCAGCAGCCCACGGTGAGTCTGCATCCGGACAACGTCAACAACGAGATCGGCCAGTACGAGCAGCAACAGCGAGGCTACGAGAACAGCAACGACTGGCGCTCGCTCTATCATCCGGGCGAGAACAATTATCAGTCGTATCGCAGAAATCCAAATACGAGGACGCGCAATCCTCCATATAGACAATATAAACCTCAATCCGATTATCAAAATTCTCGGCTGCAACAGAAGCCCTGATCGATAACGTAACACGATTGATAAGGAAAAAAATAAATCACTAGAAGTAATATTACGTATGTCATTAGATTAAGGCGAATAAACAAAATCCCATTCAAATTTTATGTTTCACGACATTTTGTAGTGCGATATAGCAGGCTATATTTTTGGAATATTGTACTTTTCTCATCGTTTTGCATGATTACCAAAAATAATGAGAGTTGATTTTAAAACCGTTTAAAGCGTAAGCTGGCCATAAATGAAATTTTATGTTAAACAATAGTCACAGAAGTTTTTCAGTTACCACAAAGAAATATAAGAGTCTTATATGAACTTTTTGAATGCTCATGTTATAGCTAATGTACGTTATAAATATCCTATAAAATTAATAAACATTTTTTTTAACTTTCTAAAGTTTAATTATTTACCCGAAGAATTTTTAAGCGTTCGGCATAATTCGATCAACCTATTCATTGTTCCCTAGTTTAAATGTAATTACAATATATAAATTACTTCACTTTTATAAGATAAATAAAAGACCAAATAGTTTGTTTATTTCAACCTGAAAATTGTTATTCGATTACCGACATTGTTGAGTAGAGTGACACGATAATAAATCGATTCAACTGAAAGTAGCATATTTTTTTCTTTTTTTCTTTCATTACTTCATATATCATAATGAGTAACTACATGAATCCAACTAGGAATGTACAGCACTTACGTTCAAATTTCAAACGCCAGAAATTTTAATTCAATTTGAAAATAATAATTTCAAGCGACAATCTTATCTGGTATTAAAATCCTTTATGAATAATTTGGAATGAAATAATTTTTAACTTGGCTTTCATAAACGGATTCTGTACTTACTATAACGCTTTAAGGCAGATCTGATGCAAGTTTGATAATTTCTGAGTCGCGTATCATTTAAAAAATCCAGTAGTCAATTAAACACTCGCCCTGAAAAAAATTCTCGATTGATCGGCGCATAAATAAATGCAAGAAATAAGTGGCCAAATTTAGTTTAACGATAAAGCACCACCATGAAAGCAACAAATGTGTAATAATAGTTGAATTAAACACGAGGTTCTGATGAAACACAATAGGCCTAATTTTTATTGAAATTTGAATAAAAACATATTAAAAGTATCTATAGATATTTTTCTCAATTTTTCTCAATTTTTCTCAATTTTTCTCCTGTTTGTCGCAAACAAAATCTTTGCGACCTTAATGAACGGTTTTTCGGTGTCTGAGCAGATACGCTTTTTGTCCAAATTTTTTCTCGCACTTGTCACATGCAACTTATTTACGATCTTCGTGTATCATCCCTTGGTGGGGGAGCAAGTGACTTTGTTGTCCAAATTTCTTCTCACATTTGTTACATGCGTAATCTTTGCGCCTTCGTGTAATGTCTTTTGGTGCCTAAGCAAATGTTGTTTAAGTCCAAATTTTTTCTCGCACTTGTCGCATGCGAAATCTCTACGACCTTCATGGATTGTTTTTTGGTGAACAAGCAAATTCCATTTTTGTGAAAAATCCTTCTCGCACATGTCGCATGCGTAACCTTTGCGACCTTCGTGTACTGTCCTTTGGTGCAAAAGTAAAATCGATTTTTGTCCAAATTTCTTATCGCAATCGTCGCATGCAAAATCTTTGTGACCCTCATGTACTGTCCTTTGGTGGATGAGCAAATACGATTTGAATCCAAACATCCTCTCGCATTTATCGCATGCGTAATCTTTGCAACCTACGTGGATTGTCTTTTGGTGGAAAAACAAATACTGTTTTAGTGCAAATTTTTTCTCGCAATTGTCACATGCAAAATCTTTGCTAGCTTCGTGAACTGTTTTTTGGTGCAATAGTAAATGCTGTTTTAGTCCAAATTTTTTCTTGCACTTGTCGCATGCGAAATCTTTGCGACCTTCGTGTAATGTCTTTTGGTGCCTAAGCAGATGCACTTTTTGTCCAAATTTCTTCTCGCATTCATCACTCGCGTAATCTTTGCTATTTTCATGGACTGTCTTTTGGTGTTTTATTAAATTACTTGGATCCCCAAATTTCTGGTCGCATCTGTTGCATGCGTAATCTTTGCGACCTTCGTGTACTGTCTTTTTGGTGTTTCAACAAATCTGATTTTTGTCCGAATTTCTTCTCGCACTTATCACACGCAAAATTTTTGTGACCTTCATGGACTGTCTTTTGGTGTCTAATCAATATCAATTTTGTTCCAAATTTCTTTTCGCACTTGTGACATGCGTGATCTTTGCGACCTTTGTGTACTATCTTTTGGTGCCTGATCAATTGCATATTTTGTCCAAATTTCTTCTCGCACTTGTCGCATGAGTAATCCTTGCGGCCTTCGTGGACTGCAGCTATGTGCGATAGTAAATATTTTTCAAATCCAAATTTCTTCCTACAATGCTCACATGAGTAATCTTTGAGGACATTCAAGGCCAAATCTTTTTGACGTTCGTGTACTGTCTTCAGGTGAATGAGCAAACTCTGTTTATTTCCGAATCTCTTCGCGCATATTTCACATAAGTAATCTCTGAAAACTTCGTGGAATATTTTTTTGTGCTTGAGTAAAGTGGATTTATTTTCAAATTTCCTCTCGCACTTATTGCATGAGTAATCTTCGCGATCTTTGTGTACTAATTTTTGGTGCGTAAACAAACTCGATTTTTCTACAAATTTCTTCTCACACTCGTCACATGCAAAATCTTGGCGGCTTTTTTGTTCGGATATGTGGTGTCTACTCAAATGACTTCGGAACTCAAATTTCTTTTCACACTTTTCACATGAGTATTCGTTTCGTTCATTGTGAATTGTGACTCTGTGTGTCATCATACTTGATTCTATTGTAAATTCCTCCTGAAAAATATCACAAACCTGTTGTTTGATGTCTGAAACAACATTGTTATTTTCACTTAATTCATCTTTAGAGGCAACCTCTTCGGATTTCGTCTCACATTTATCCATTTTGGGGTCTTGATTGAACGATAGATCCTTCTATTTGGTGCCACGAAAAATGAATGAGTAAAATTTACCTTTCGGTATTATGGCTTGTTTCATCGGGAAGTATACGACTCAAACTAATTTATTTTCACTGTAAACATGATTATATTGTCTACAATTAAAGTACTTATTTATCTGTTTATGTATTATTCTTATAATATTTGAAGACGACGAATTCTTCGAAGAATTTTCGGCCCTCCTAGTTCACACAAAAAACATCAAGTAAATGGACCCTAATTCGCATAAATAATGAAAAATTTTGATATTCATTCCTAAATTTTCCGCCATATGGTGTGCTCCATAATCTAACAGCGATGACAACGATAATTATAAGTAAATGCCTTAATTTTATCTCGAATCGATTCGCTCTACGAAAAATTTCACAGGAAACCAATTTAACTAAAGGGTTTATTGTTACATAAGATGTTCGCAGGACATGAAAAAGTCAAAGAATAAATACTTCTCAAGCAGTTAGACTTGACTATGTAAGCCTGATACCATGATAACCCAATACATTTTATTTTTAATTTTTCAAAGCCTATGAGATCAAACTGCCTATAGGTGGCTTCATTATTATGTTATGTCCTAGCAGATACTCAAAAAAGTTTGGTGAAGATCTTTGACCCAGAGATGGAAGGCTCTTCTTGTTAGTTTGAAAAGACTACAAAAACTTGATAAAATCGTCATCAAATTTAACTTTTAAACTGGTTCAAATATTGTTATTATAGTGTATACACAGATAAATTGGTAATTCAATTGTATTATCATAAACAATTTTGACATCGCTTGTTGAAGCACTGAACATGTTTATAGAGAATAAATGAGTTTGAATCGTATATTTCCCCATGAAACAAGCCTTATAATACCAGAAGATAAATTTGACTCATTCATTTTTCGTGGCATCAAATGAAAGAATTATGGTTTATTTTATGCACCAAAATGAATCAAAGTGAGAAGAAATCCGAAGAGGTTGCCTCTAAAGGTGAATTAGGTGAAAACGAGATTGTTGTTTCGAACGACAAAAAATACATTTGTGATATTTGTCCAGAGACATTTACACTAGAATCAAGTATGATGACACACAGAGTCACAATTCAAAATGAAAAAGAAAATTACTCATGCGACAAGTGCGAAAAGAAATTTGAGTTCCGAAGTCATTTGAGTAGACACCAAATATCAGTACACAAAGGCCGCCAAGATTTTGCATGTGACCAGTGTGAGAAGAAATTTGTGAAAAAATCAAGTTTGTTAACGCACCAAAAATTAGTGCACAAAGATGGCCGGGAGCATTTCAAGTGTAACAAGTGCGAAAGAAAATTTGAAAATAAATCAACATTACTCAAGCATAAAAGAATATTCCACGAAGTTTTCAAAAATTACTTATGTGAAATATGCGCGAAACGATTTGACAGTAAAAATAGTTTAGTCATACATGTAAAGACCATCCATGAGGGTCCCAAAGATTTCGCTTGCGACAAGTGCGAGGAGAAATTTAGAAAAAAATCGGATTTACTCTTCCACTTGAATACAGTACACGAAGGTCAGAAAGAATTCACATGTGACAAGTGCGAAGAGAAATATAGAAAAAAATCGCACTTATTCTTTGACCTAAAAACAGAACATGAGGTATTCAAAAATTACTTATGTGACAATTGCGGAAAAAATTTTGAACTACAATCAAACTTGCTTTCGCACATAACAACAGTCCAAGAGGATCATAAAGATTGGGCATGCGACAAGTGCGAAAAGAAATTTGGAAGAAAATCGTCTTTGCTTTTGCACCAAAGGACAGTGCACGAAGGTCGTAAAGATTACCCATGCGACATTTGTGAGAAGATATTTGGGGATCAAAGAAATTTCAGAAGACACCAATATACAGTTCACCAAAACCGCAGAGATTACGCCTGTGACAAATGCGAAAAAAAATTTGGACTAAAGGCGGATTTGATCAGACATCAAAAGACAGTACACGAAGGTCGCAAAGATCACTCGTGTGAAAAGTGCGGAAATAAATTTGGACTAAAATCAAATTTGCTCTCGCACATTATACGAGTCCATGAGGGTCGCAAAGATTTCGCATGTGAGAAGTGCGAGCTGAAATTTTTACAGAAATGCGATTTAGTCAGACACCAAAGAACAGTCCATGAACGTCGTAAAGATTACCCATGCGACAAATGCGAGCAGAAATTTGCACGTAATCAACATTTAATCAGTCATCAAAAGGTAATTCACGAAGGTCTGAGAGATTTCACATGTGACAAGTGTGAGAAGAAATTTGGAAGAAAATCGGATTTGATCAGGCATCAAAGGGTAATTCATGATGGTCGCAAAGATTACGCATGTGACAAGTGTGAGGTGAGATATGGGGAACGAGGCAATTTGAGAAAACATCAAATAACAGTACATGAAAGTCGCAAACTTTACGCATGCGACAAATGTGAGCAAAAATTTAAAACAAAAATTACTTTGATCATTCACCGAAGGACAGTCCATGAGGGGCACAAAGATTACACATGCGACGAATGCGATAAGAAATTTGGATTTCAAAGCAATTTGATAAAACATTTTTTTTTTTTTTATAGATAGAGAAATGCATTACGCACCGTAAGGAGGTTGGAGTTGAAGTCAACCCCGAACCTCCCCGTGTGTGGGACTCGCCCTCAACCGATTTGCGTCGGTGAGGGAATACCCACTAAAACTCTATCTGCCCGAGCGATGGAAGTGCTCAAACGCGGCTTTATTTCGTGGTGCCGTCTTAGATGGTGGGAGACCACGTTCTCCAAAAGATGTGCGCGAGATGATGCCAAGGCTACCCTATGCCTTCTCTTCTACCTGCAGAGTTAATACCTGTATAACCACTGATGTGCGTGGTCATTTTATTCCACCGGAGCCAATTCATGTACGAACCACGGAGAGCTCTAAACTTAATGGAATCCAAACATTTGCTCAATCCGAGTTCGCACAGACTCGCGGCGGAAGCAGCGGACCAGAAAGAGCATTTGCTTGTCCACCAAAGGACAGTTCATGAAGGTCTTAAACATTGCGCATGCAACAAGTGCGAAAAGGTATTCGGCCAGAGAGGACATTTGTTCAGGCATCAAATGACAGTCCACAAAAATCATTGAGATTTCGCACGCGACAAATGTGAGACATCAAGTCTTAAACTTATCGAAAAAGATAAAGTTTCTTAATTAGCGAATACTAATAATAAATTATAGAATATGTTGATTAGAGTTCTGATATAATTAATCAAGTTCAAAAAAGTTTTATTAGATCTAATTTTATTTTGCATAATAAGACGACCTAATTGTGAAATAACCACGTTCATTATGACACATTTTATTATTTTTACCCTTTAGAAATCTTACAAGTGCTTTTTTTATAATTAAAACATGCGCAAATGCATCGAATATATTTCACGTTAAATGATAATCCATTTGCGTTTATATGCTTCGACTAGCACACATTTCTTCAATGAAATAATGAAAAATTCTGATTTTTTGCTTAACAATTATAAATATATGTATAGATAGATACGTACAAAAAAATTTTTCTAAAACTTCAATAAAAATTGTGTAATTCTGATTGTGTCTAAGCTGAACCTCGTGCTATCAACTATCATTACATCTTTGTTCACTTGTTGTTGTTCTTGTTCGTTTGTTGTGGTTTGTGATGTACTTTTTAACAAACGTGGAAATGATTTTATTGTTTAATTTTAAACCAATAAGTGTTTTCTACATTCTTTAAACTTATTAGGAGCTTTCCTAATTGAAAAATAAACTTCTTTGATACTTTTATCAATACACTATCTCATTTTAATGCTTCGATTTTAATTTTTTGACTTTTCAACAATCAACTGCATTTAATTCAGCGTCAATTAATACTTGTGGTGGAACTGTAATTTTTCAAATCCACCACTGATTAAAGTACATTACAGGTTTTGAAATTTTTGTAATAACTCATTTTGATCTCGATTAACTTGGCAATTGAGTTTCAAAATCGCGAAACCGTTACTCTATTGACTTTGATCAAATCGCCGATCTTAATTCATCATCGTTTCAAAATCTGATCCGCACCGCACGAAATTCATGATTTCCGTGTGATAAATCGACATCGATCATCGCATACACGTCTTCACGCTTATAAAGTAGAGAATTGACTCGCTTCAATTGGTCTCTTTTACTCCTCGCAGTCGGTATAATCGCGGCGCTTGTTGTTCTGTACGGTATATACGCCGAGCAACGCTTGTATCTAGTACCCACACACAGACAGTACAACCTCGCCCCGCGCAAGAATCATATGATATACCTGTAGTCCATAGATCAGAATTCGTACAAATGATACTCGCTGACACTGATTAATCAACTATGATGATCTTTAAATATTAGGTACCTGTTTTCTACATTTTTCTACGAATTTTTCGCTCTGCTTTAATATACTCATGATAGCTAAACTGCAGCAGGAAGGTGAGCATTCAGAATATCATTAAGCTTGCATCAACATTATTATTTCGCTCACCTTTTTACCAGCCATATTATATAGCTTATGCATACACACACGCTTAGCATAGCGGCATAAAATCAGCCTTTTTTTTACATTATTTTATATTCGGAGGGCGTTTTATTATGACAACAAATGAATCATGAGCTTATTCATTTAATAGCTATTAATTAAATTTTACCTTCTATTGATTCATATAATGCTTTCTACAGTATGAAGTAGCAATTATTTACTAATTGGTTTTCTGCGCGATGTACGAAGGTTATTCTTTTTTTTTTTTTTTTTAATAAATCGTTTAACAATGCGATTATTATTTATATAAGCTTAAAATATAAAAAAAAAATTAAACTAAAGTAAAAAGATCACGCCGGCAAATTTTATCAATTATTTGTATTGATTTGATGACAGCTACCTAGTGCCTTGAAATAATATTGCTAGTTCATGAAAGCAGTAGACAGTTGTGTTGATAGTAAAGAAGCACATAAGTTAATGGGTAAATTATAATTTGTGCACTCTATTAAGAAAAATTATCAACAAGTAGGTGAAGTAATTTCTAATGAAGTAAATAAGAAATGTAGAAAAATTAAGTTGGCAATGTATTGAATAAAACTGTGCTTACACATAATTGAATAAATATATTGCAGATGCCATACATTTTAGTACGAGGTAACTTAGCCTCCTATGGTCACAGGTATCCGTGGAGAGTACTTGTGTCTGGTTTAAAAGGTACAGTTCATCTATTATTAAAATATGATGAAATTAATCCTGCATTTTGGTTGATCATACTATTTTTGAATATTCAAAAAAATATTCAACTTTATTCGTTTCATTGAATTTAAATTTAAATTAAATTTATTTAAATAAAATTACCAGTAAACTTATGATGCTTTTAAACTACCCTTCAAATACTTACTTTTTTCATTTTTACTAAATAATTCAATTTATTTTTCTAGCTACTGATATTGAACAATTGAGTCGATTTGCATCAGGAGGATACTGTGACGACTCAACGATTGTATATTTACAACACCCCTGCGTCATACTTACAGCTTTAGAAGTTTTGGGTTATAAAGTTGTAGCTTCATCTAGTACAAGTGTTAAACAAGATTACAATGAGTATATGTGGACTATGAGAAAAGATTTTGCAGAGCCTGAACCAGACTTGAAAGCAGAAGCAGTATTAAAAGAAGGTATGTATTTGAATTATATTTATAATCTGCCAATTCAGTTCATTTCAGTTTTTAATTATATTTCTTAATAAGCAGCAAGACTTTATGTTGATAAAAATATCAATTTTCATTCATATTTATGTTACTATCTTCAGTTAAAATTAAGCATATACTCAAAATGAATAAACAAAGAATATTTCTGTAGAAATTATTAACTTTTTATTTTCACTATAAAAATCAATATATACTTTTATTTTAGAACTCAAAGCTAACGAGGTGTAGAATTAATATTTTGGAAAAATAAATAAAATATCTGCAAAAATGTCTGATAAGCTGGCACAGATTATTAAACCAGACACTTTTTACTATACTGCTGTCAAAGGATCACCCTTTGCTCTAGATTGTGTTGTTTTTGGTTTAAGTCAAAATGAAATTTTAGCTTTATCTAAAAGATTTCCTAATACAGGAACAGATGTAGTAAATGGTGTAGTCATAAAAGGTATGTTTCATAATAAAGTGATTGGGGTAAAGTCTACAAAAGTTTATTTTATATTTTAATTTATGCTACAGGATCTCCACTACCTGTTATCAATGCTCTTGCAGAGCTTGGATATAAAGTTATTTGCAGTACAGGTGAAGCTGAAATTTTATGGACACTTCAAAGAGAGATTTGAAATTACATAAAATGTACTTCATTCTTGTCGTTATTTACATTCTTGTTGATAAAAATTGTAGCAGTAATTAATTTTGCTTTAGTTATTATTTAAATGTGAAATGCCTATTATTATTGAAATATAGTAACTTAAGTATATGTTCATTAATTATTTAGTTTTTATTGTTTATAAGTGCATTAAAAAGCTTTAAGTCTAATAATTATATTATTTTAAGAAATTTTAAATAATTTTAATAATGAAAAAAGTTTGCAATGAAATAAAAAGTAAAATGTGAATTAAGTTAAACTCAAATATTTAACTATTACAGTACACAACCATTTAATAACTCAATATTTTTTGTTATTTATGTGCACCTTTTTATTGAAAATTTGTTTATTAATTCATTATAGGTTATAAAGATGTATTATTAAGAATAATATTTGTGTCTATGTATTAAAACTAATACAATTAAATTCAGGCAATGATACAATGACATCTATTGGTTGCTTTTTTATATTGGATTGTATTTTACATTTTTACAAACATTAAATATGTTTATTAATAAAAAAAATTGTATTTCATTTATTTCAATAATTTTGTGCAAAAGATTTATAAATTTTTCAATTTTTTTATGTTAAGTGAGTTTCAGATCTTCACATAGTTGTCTTTGATCAACATGGAAAATCATGATGCTTGTCATTGCAAATCAAGTGATTCGACGAGACAAACATTGGAGGAAATGGATTTTGAAAGAGGAATATGGTTTGCAGGTATGTTATTAGTTTTAAAATTTAATTAAAAACTTGTTAAATGTCATAATTGAAAACATTAATTTTGTTCAAAAAATGCAGCCCAAAATAATGATATGGAGAGGCTGAAAACTCTTCTAAAAAAAGGAGTTTCACCAGACATAGAAGACCATTCAGGATATACTGCTCTACATTATGCTGCACGCAATGGACATGTAAATATATGTAGAGAATTGTTAGATCGAGGAGCAAATGTTAATGCTATGACAAGGTCGGGAAAAGCAACAGCATTACAAAGAGCAGCTACTCAGGGATGCAATAATGTGATTGAATTACTATTAAAACGTCATGCTAATCCAGACATGCAAGATTCAGATGGCTTCACTGCATTACATCGAGCAATGATGAGTGAATCTGTTGGAGCAGTAAAATTACTGATTCCAAAAACGAACTTAAATTTGTGTGATAAATTAGGAAGAACTGCAAAACAACTTGCAGAGCAAAAAAAATTGCAAAACTTATTTTTAGAGAATTAAAAACGTTTGTTACATTTCTTGGTACTCAATAAATGATTTTACAATAATTTTATCAGTTTGGTGCAAAATCATTTTTTATTAAATAAATCATTTAATTGGAATAATTAAATTATTTTTATCTTATAAATTTGTTCGAAATATTAAATTAAATAATATTATTTGCAGACTTTGTAACAATTTTCACTTTATGTGTTATAATAAGGAAATGACTCAAGAAATGCATATAGTTAAAAAATAATATTTTGATAGATGTCAACGAAGTTATTTGGATTTTTTTCACAAATACTCAAAAAATAATCATATTAAAAAACATTAAATTTAAACTTTTCTTCTGTGAAAAAGAAAAATTTCACGAGACATATTGATTTTTTAATGAAAAACAATAAATTAATTTTATTATGAATAAAAATAAAAATAGTTATTTATGTAACAAGTGCCCAAAAGGCGTTTTTGGGCACGAGTGTGCGGAAAAAGACACGAGTGCCGGCTATGCCGGCACGAGTGGGTGTTTTTTCCGCACACTGTGCGCAAAAAGCTGGGCACGTGTTGCATACAAAATTTTATGCAATAGTAGACGAAAAGTACTTTCATTTAAATGAGACGTTTTACCGCACACCCGTGTCCAAAATGGGGCATTTTACCGCACATAAGTGTCCAAAAACGCTTTTTGCGCACTAAAAAATGTGCGAAAAAAGACATTTTTCGTCATACTATTGCATAAATAATATTCCGATATCGAAATCGCTTTAATTCTCGTTTTGTAAGTTAAATTTATTACATTAACATATCATAATTAATTCTGAACAGTTATCACTAGACGTACGCTCGATTGCCCTTGAATCCACCTGCTTCCGTTTTTAGTAAGAAAAAAGCGTATAATCGGAGAAATTTTCAAAATCTAGATAAAGAGTATATTTAAAGATATCGCGGACGCGGCCGTGTGGCGTAAGCACACCTTTACCGCATGGTGTATAGCTCAAATGTCGGGCATGAGGTGGCAGGTTTTTTTATCGAAGTTCCGAGCGCTCCACTTTGATAAAAAGCTTTCATAAATTCGCAATAAACTTCCGATATATTTTGGTAGTTCAAGGACTTCCTCTTCCATTTAACTCGAGGTAACTAATATCCTTTTCAAAATTAAAATACATTAACATGAATCATTGGCGAAGATCGATCGTCTTTTCAATTTCATTATAACGCATACGGTTATATAGAATGATAAGTCATATTTGTACAGTTCTAAAATTTCGGTAAGCCAATAAAAAAAAAGTGTGAGCCCGACTATATCTGATACTGTTCCGCGACGACGACTTCGACACGTAAATTGTAGAAAATCTACGTAACACGAATTGACAGATAAGATACAATACACACGACGGGGCTCGATCCACGTTTGCCTCCTCGTTCGCTGCTGCCCCCTTAAGGAAGTACTCGCGAACACAGCACGAGTTTGCTTGCGAACGGAGAGAGAAAGAGAGAGAGAGAGAGAGACCACGGTCCACGAATCGTAGCAGGCAGCAGCAGCATTGGGCATACCAGTGTTACATACAGCCGTATGCTTAGCAGTAAATGTCGTTAAACGTAGAGCAGTAGTGATAAATGCGTGCTGGACAAAGTTTAGTCTCGATCGTTTTTATTATTATTTGCGCATTTCAACGATACGAGTTCGCGGGTCAAGATGTGTCAGAGGATAATGTGTCGTGCTAATTATAGAATAAAGTTTCATTAAGTTCGCGGGACCGTAGTTACAGTAGGCAGCAACAGCACAGCAGCAGCAGCAGAGTAAACGCGTTTTTGACGCGAGTGTGCTGCGTGTGCTGCGTGTGTGTATCTCTCTACTCTCTTCAGCAAGTGTCTTGATTGTGCAGTGCGCCAATCCGTGCGATAATTTGGACTAGTACTACTCGACGAGACGAAGGAATGTTATTAGAGTCGGGTCTCGTAGCGAACGAAAAAAAATACGAAAACAATCGTCCTCCTGCTGCGACAAGCCTGTGCGTTCCGTATAGTTTTCGGCGAGCTTTAAAAGAGAGAGAGCCAAAGCATGTAGGTAAATGTTCCGTAGGTGGGCGCCTATGCAAGTTTTTTGAGTATATAATTCGCAAGCATTATGTCGTCGTCATATAAATATATCTCCTATAGGCCTCTTGCATATACCGTGTAGGAGTCCTCGTCTACTGTCTAGTCGGATGTAGTCGAGTTACTGCGCAGCCGCCCGAGAGCGTCGTGGATATAGTAGCGTTATACACAAGCGCTACACATATACGAGACAGCACACGGACACACCGCTGCTAGCTCGGCTAGCGGAGCAGCGCGCACGACGGGCCTACTATAATATACCGCTTAGACGAACTACGACACTACGTGCGTCGCATGCACGATAGAGAAGAGGTCTCCTCCGCGCGCGGCTCTCGCGAAGGACGGCAACTTTGAGAATATTGCCCATCGATATATAGGCAGCACACGCTCTTTCTCCTGCGCGACGGAACGTGTCGCTGCCTGCAGTCAGCAGAGTGTGCTGCTGTATATGTTCTCGCTGTAGTGTATAAGCGCTGTGCTGCCTCGCTCGGGCCTGCCTACGCTGCTGCTGCGCGATGATGATATGAATAACCAAGTGTGCTTACTGTTTATTATATATATGTATACACGCGCTAACCACACTCTCGCTACTCGCTGCTGCCTGTGTGAGAGCCAGCCGAGAGAGTAGCAGCAGCAGCAGCAGCAGCAGCAAAGCAGGCTATACCCTAGCGTGAGGGCCACCGACAGAGGGCATTGCCACATAACGCTATTAGTTTCGTTCGATTCTCGGCTATGCGTAGTCGACTAACCTCGACTTTCCTGCCTGCGATAATCTAACCCCAAAATTTTCATATATCAAGTACAAAAGCTGCTGTGTCGACGTCGTCGGTGTGCGTGCGTGTGTTGTTGTGTGTGCGCCCGCGCGACCTACGTGTGTGCCTGTTTCTGTGTGTGCGGCGACTGCGGACGGATGTCGTTCGATGCTCGTGTCTATGCTACTGCTGCTGCTAGCTCGCGCACATATGATCGTCGACGTCGTCTACGTCCGATGTGGCCCGCAGCAGCACGCCATTTCCACGCCATTCTCCAAAAACAATCGCCGCGGCTGACTTAGCGATACATACTGCTGCGACAAGTAGTAGTAGCTGCTCTCCGCCTGGCCGATCTCCCTGTGCAAGTGCATCGCTCGAAAGTGTGTGCAGTTCGTGCGTGCAGTTTTTTTCTCCAAAATTGTGATCGCAGTGATACGCAGACTTCTTGATGCCGAGAATAATCATAATCACAGTGCTCGCGCGTCGAAACTGATAATACACATCATTGACGTATCGATCCCGCATCTTGATCCAACCGAGTCAAGAGATCCGATACGCACTGATACACGCATACAAAATTTGCGCTTCTGCATCGAGCACCGAGAGTTAGTGTCTTTTGCAGCTCTTTGCTGGCTCTGCCCTCAAGGACGCAAGGCACATGTCAATTGCTGCTGCTGAAAATGCAGGGTGGGTCTCTTTAAAGATCTTAGCTTTTTAGTCGGATGCTAGTGTAGTGGTAGCTCGAAACATGCGATCGATCGATGAAAAACCTATAACCCAGCTTTTCCCATATCCTATCGAGCTCTTGGTTCGATCAGCTGATTTTAAACACGTCTGGTTTGCATATACATCTGCTGGAACTTTCTCCTCTGACGTCGTTAATAACCAATGACCGAATTGTGACCCAAGCACTTTCGCTATCGATGTTGTAGTGTCTAATGTACGTAATAATTCGCTATCCAAACGAGTTCCGTTAATTGGCTACATTATCGATTACAAACAAACTTACGATAAACTTATCGGAGATTTCGGAAATTATTTTACGATGATCAATTTGATCCTTACTCGAAAGAAAAAAATTGCAAACTACCTAATTCGAAGTAATTTTAGAAATGGGTCTCGCCCTATTATTCGGTTTTTCCAGCAGAGTCGATTTTCACATTGAGACAGACTAGTCTAGAAACAACTATATGTTATATATTTATATGATAGTTAGACATAATCCAAACTTTTTGGAGCAATTATAACTCCACTGCTACATATTTCCTTCATAAACCAGTAAGAAAATTTTATGGCTTTCAAACTTTTGAGTATCAATGTAATTTAATTAAAATGTCATATAAGGATAGGTTGACCATTTTTAATTGTCTCTAATTTTGATGTGAGATCTCATGTATTGATTACTCAGGCTTCTGATTACAAAACATAAACAAACAACTTTTTTAAAATCTATTGGTCAAACAAAACATCAAATCTAAAATGAAATTATGAATAAAAATATTCAAATAAATTTTCTATTATATTAAGATTACTTAAGTTATAAAAGAACTCTAGAAAATTACAAAAAACAAATACTCTATTGTCAGTCAATGAATATAATTTTACTTAAAGGAGTAGGGATTCTCATAAAAACCACATTTTTAAAATTTTCACTGCAATTCAATAGATGAATGGATTGCAATCTTCATATTTTTCTGAATCCTTTTAAACATTCAACCTTGAGAAATAAACATTTTTTACAAACCAACAAACCTAACCTTCAATATTTAGTCTCTTTAAAGAACTAGTCATCTACAACAATTAATAATATTTAAAATACATTCTCTGGAATTTCTTCTGTCCATTTTTCTAAAAAGCAAAGCAGATTATTAAAAAATCAACAAAGTAACAGTATTTATGCTGCTCTTTAAAAACATAACTGGCACAAATATCATAAAATACATTGAAAAATTTTTACTTTTACCTTTGTTGTAGAATCTCTTTCAAAACAAACATTACATAAGTTTGAAGCATGGATATTAATAAACTTTTAATACACATGATAATTAAATACATTGATCATATATTGATATTTTTATATATCTTGTATATACAGTGTATTTAATTGCATTTAATCTTTATAGGGCAGAGATAGTAGACTTCCATCATATATTACATATTTCTACCATCACTGCTTTTGAAGGATTGTTCAAGATACTTTGAAATTAATACAAAAATTTAAAACCATAGCTAAAGTTTGAATGATTACTACTGTTACTCAGTCTGCTGTCCTAAAAACTTTTTTTAACAGTCTTTTTAATGAATTGACCATCATTGAAGTACATGTACTTATTTTTATCATACTGAATATTTTTCAATTCTAAGTACCAAAATATATTTATTGTATAATATATTCATAAATGCTGATAATACAAAAATTGCTACATATTGATGGAAAATTTTTAGATACATTGTAAACAGCTATTAAATTATAGAGTTTACAATTGTACATATATATCATATTATTTAAGGATATACCAAAGACACAATTACTGAAATAATTAAAAATATATTTTATCTAATATTTTTTTTTTGTATATAATGTTTTTTGTTGTAATGTATTTCTAAAAAAACAAATTATTTCCTAATTTTATTCTAAACCTAGCTATAGAAAACCCATGATAATTACAATTGCATAAAAAAAAATGACCATGAACTAATATCATCTATATTCATATGAATGTTATCATTTTTGAAATCTGAAGAATCTCACTTTTGAAAGCTCATTAATTACAACACTTATTTTCCCATGCCACCTACAGTTGAAACTACATTTTAATTTTTATTTTTACAATTGCTTGTTTTGGTGATGGATTATCTGACAAAAACATTCTCTAAAAAAAATATTCTTTTTTTAACTCGACTGGATTTCAAAAATTCGGCTTGTTCATAGCCTATGGGTCATCATTCGAGTGCACGTATTAATAACTAAACTTGGATTATCGAACTTGATAGCTTCCAAGCTCGCTTATCCATAAAATTGGCTCTAGGCCTAAAATTTTTAGCCAAAAAAATTGCTCTAACGTTCCGATCGATTAAGTTCCGTTGTTTCCGCCCATAATCTGTGCATGAATGAGTCACGTAGAAAAACACAAAACGTAAGAGTGAGAGAGAGAGAGCTCTTGCTATGTATGTTGAAATATTTGTGTGTGCGTTACACGCGCCTGCGTGTATAAATTATCTCTTACGTTTCTCGTGTTCGGCGCTCTTGATTGTGAGCGACGTTGCCACATCTCTCATTTCTTAACGCATCTTTCTTCAAATGCAGTTTGTTTATTTTTATTTTGTTGAAACGATCGAATCATTAAAAAGCATTTGTTGAAACCGATCGATTGCGCTGAGTTTGCTTACACTTTTGATACATAACATTAATGAACATTTCTTCGCATTAACTCGTTTTTAAGCTTGGCTGCTTGTGTGCTTTCGCGCATGTAAATATTGGAGTGAAAATGTACCATGCATGCGTAAATCGCAGAAAGACTATGAATATGTCATGAAAGTATCAATAAGGGATGAACTAATCGGCCTTGAATAATAGTTATTGAAGAAAACGAAAAAAGAAGCATAGTTATTACATTTTTCCTGCAGAATTTAAGATAATTCATTAATTTTACCAAAAATTGTCCGATGAAAGTACTAATAAAAATAATTTTAGTAAAAATAATAAATGATTCGAAAATTGTCACTTACAATGCCTTCAATTTACCCTCAATCCTAAACAAATAATTGAAGAATTTAATTGGTTAAAATTTAATTGGAATAATATCGACTGCATTTATAGTTACTATCCGTGATTTCGATTAGTGCATTTCCTATTTGAAATCAAGAATTTTTATTCATCGAAAACTTGCCGAAAAATTCTGTGCGTTAAAAACGTAAAATGAATCCAATTTCAATTTTTTTTCCTTGAGATTACATTATCATATTCATTTTTCCAAATTTGCAGTATATTACCATGTAAAAAGATTTAACTATTAAGAGAACCTTCTATTTTGTGTGATCAACTTGCTGAATTTGAGATAAGCTATTCGTCGTAAAATAGGCAATTTTAAAGCTTCATTTCAAACGCTTTTAATCAAGGTAAAAAAGAAGGTGAAAAAAAGAATTTTTTATTGGGAATTCGGAATGTTGAAAATACTTTTATTCTGGTTCTAACAAACAAAAAATCACGTAAGACTGTTTTATTTATTTTTTCAAGCTACATTTCTATTCATTCAAAAAATTTTTCATTTAATTTTTGGACCTTAATCTTTACAGTATTCAAATATTATATTTAACTTTTTTATTTAGAGTTTCAGTATTAAAATCACATAGTGATTTAAAACACAGATACAGATAAAATTTTTACATGCAGCGTTTTTATGAAATTCAGCGACTTTAAGGGTTTGTTTCGATCCTGTTGTAAAATTTAATTGACCTGCGTGATTTTGTATTATTAGCTTCACCCGGGCATTTGAGCTTCCTTGATGATATATCGAACATATAACTCGACTTTAATAATTTAAGTATTTATGATTTTATGGTTCACAAGTGAGATGGTGTAACTAATATTACTCTTCTGTGTCTGATTCTTCACTTTTAATACTACTTGATTCGACAGCATGGCTATATTCCTTTCGATTGGCATGGTTTTTTTTATAACCGGTTTATTAAATTTTTTAACTGGAAACAAAATTATAGCATGAAAGTGAATAAAAGTTTAATTTTTCATGATTCTTTTAAATAATCAGTACTTTCCACCGATAACGAAGTATATCAGCTACAATTTATCATACGTTATCTTACAAATGGTATTATTGTAAATTATTTCTGCGAGTCAAATTCTTTATATTTTTTCATCGGTTTGTCATCGATTTCTTACTTGTACAATTCAATATGTAACGAAGCTCGTAAATGCATTAGTATAGACGAAATCTATCCCACGTAGACTAAAATATGTAATAAATCCATTATAATAATTTTCCAAATTTTTAGTCTCACTCACGTTTACATTAGCCAATCAATGGTCGTTTAACGAAAAAATAAAATATCATTGATTAAGCTTATGCAGTAAATTATAATTACTACCTTTATAAAATTGGTTCTTCTTTCGAATCTGTTTCAACGTTTGTATTTTTCTACTTATGAAAAGTAATTGAAAGAAAAACAAATCTTTTTCGTTTTAAGTAATTATATAAATTGCAAAAGAAGTAATACGTATTTGACATAATACATGAATTAAGCTGTCCCTATCTGATACCCAGTAATTTCTTTCTGAAAAATATTTTTTTATTTGAGTTCCAAAAGGCAGTTTCAACCCTCAGTCCAAAGGGAGTTCAGTTTTCGGTAACATCCAGTAAAATCATCTTGAAAATATTTAGATTTAAATATTATTTCTTTATCGTATTGAAGAATTTTTGGAAATTATTTGTTAGTGCGGAGAAATATGATAGTAGAAAGTTGAAATTATATTGCAACAAATAACATGATTTGATTGTTTGACGAATAATCAACGTAAGAAAACTTAATTAAAATTTGAATTGTCGTGATTGGTTAAAAAAAATATAAAATCTGTTTAAACTACATGAACGTTTTAATGAAGATCATAAGTCTTTGTCCATTAATATAATTACAAAGCTTAGCAACTGCGTACATGTGTATGCGCAATG